TAAGATTACACTGCATATTGTTTCTTTCAAATTGATTAATCCCGTATAATTATCATGTGAGATGTGTTATTTACCCCTATGGATTTTAACCCTTAACCTGTTGCAAGCAGTTGCCACCAATACAGAACCAGGTCTGTCAATACAGAACCAGGTCTGTCAATACAGAACCAGGTCTGTCAATATAGAACCAGTGCTGTCAATACAGAACCAGTGCTGTCAATATAGAACCAGGTCTGCCAAAATTACAGAGCCAGGTTTGCCAAATATAGAAACCAGCCTGTCTCGGCCAATATTGAACCAGGTCTGTCAATAACAGAACAAGGTCTGTTAATACAGAACCAGGTCTGTCAATATAGAACCAGGTCTGTCAATATAGAACCAGGTCTGTCAATATAGAACCAGGTCTGTCAATACAGTTCCAGGTCTGTCAAAACAGAACCAGGTCTGTTAATAATATAGAACCAGGTCTGTCAATATAGAACCAGGTCTGTCAATATAGAACCAGGCATGTTACAGTTTCTTCCTAATCCTGTAAATTTCACTAAAATTGCATTAGAAGTATTAGAGTTGAGTCTAGACAAAATTTAAAAAAATATATTCAAAGACCATAACTCTGACAAAAATCATAGAACTGGAAAATTTGATTTGGTGATGATCATTCCTGTAAAGTTTACATGAAACTGCGCCAGTAGTTTAGGAGAGTAGCCTGGACAAATTTTGGATGGAGATGTGATCTCTATATGTTGCCGGCTACAAAAAGGTGAAGTTGTAGTGAAAATTTTGAATAAGTATTTGTTCATGCACGTATATCACTTGTATTTTAAGAATAATATGGATTTAAAATAAATATATTAATTTAAATAATTAAATAGATTTATTCTGCATTTTAACATATAAACCAACCCAAAAGTTGTCTTTCTAGCTTATTTATTAAAAACTATTTAAAAATACATGTTAACACATAATCAAAATTTTTTTTGTTAATTTAATAAACCCAATAAAATATTCTCCAGTGACAACTCATCTTCAATAAAATCATAATGATTTTATACTTTCAAAAGTGTTATTACAATGTTAACCAATCTTTAATGTTAACATAAAGACTATATGGTACTCAGGTTACATTTGAATACCCTCTGTACCTGTAAACACATGTTGAAACCATGGCATCTATGTTAATATATTTATTGATATGTTTGCTTCTATACAAGAAAGAAAAGTATATAAAGAGACTTAGGAAGCAAAATGACTTGTAAATAAGCCCAATTACCTAGGGTAATGACAAGGAAAAATGGGAAAATAAAGTAACCTTGTAATTATGATAAAGGAAACAATTTTTACATAATTAACTCCCCTGTTATGATTCCATTTACAAAACCCTAATAGTCACTTTAAGTGGCATTGAAAATATTTTTGATATTGGTGCAAAGAACCCCAGAAAGTTAAATGTGTTCAAGAATTTAACAAACATCTAAAACATATGTTAACTTTGCTTATTTTGTCAAATAATGACCTCCAAAATGACTGTCACTGATGTACATATATAACAATCTAATATCACAAAACTAATATCACAGAAATCTGAAACAACTACCTCAAGTATCATACATTATAATTACAAATAACTTCAATACATAAAACTCTGTTTAAAGACTTATAACTGGCAAAATATTTTAATTAGCCAATATTTCCTTTAGTGATATACACTTTAATTATAATTTATACACAATACTTGAAAAAAAATCTATAAATTGTCTACAAAACTAGATTTCAGTTAAATTATGTTTTATTTAAAGACACTGCCTGTTTACTTATTTCAATGCGTTTTGGTACATTTTTGCTACAGCAACATTAGAGCATTTTAAACCATACATGTAATTGAAATACAATATGTAAAACAGTAGCTATAAATATTGATTATAAAATTTAACAATGCTTGACAGAGATGGTGTATCTTGTAGAAAGTTATACACAGTAGATTATCTACATTTTATGCCAAATAATACATTCTAACACTATCGGATTTTTTGCTATATAGACAAAGAAGGCCCGAAGCGTGCATTATTCTACAACAATGCACTCGCCGTTCTTATTACCTCCCTGTGTATTTTCACATTGAGGGCGCCATTTTGTTTAAAAAATCTGATAAATAAAAACATTTTTTTGTCGAATTTTGTTTTGTGAAAGCTATCTAGAATGAAAAAAATGGTCTAACTAAGAAAATGAATCCGAACACCCAATATCTTTAATTCAGTCGTTAACGCTGTACAGACGTTTTAAAGTGTTGTTTACGTGACGTCACAATGTAGCGCCAAACAGCACGTGCACAACAATTCAAATCAAGAACGCTTTTTTAAATGTCGCAAAACGAGTTAAGTTTTACACTTATTTCACTTTTAATAATTTGTATTTTCGCTTGAAAAATTATAGAGTAAAATAAATAAACAAACAAAGATTTATCAACGTTTTTCAAAATTCGTTATTCTCAAAAATTTTCTACACACGGTAGTTTAACGACAGTTTTTTTTCAACCCACTGGAACAGCCTTTCAAGAACGTTTCTTTTGGAAACTCTGAAGCGACAACAAACTTAACCTCCAAAAATATAGTCCAACTATATATTTTTTCTTGACGTGTTTGAATAGATATCTATTCTTCATGCATTGTTGTATAATAATGCACGTTTTTCGTTCAAATGCTTTGTAATTAATCACTCAGGCCTATCGGCCTTCGTGATTATATTACTACGCATTTGAACTCAAACCGTGCATTATTCTACAACAATGCACTCAGAATTGATATCTATTTCCTAAATTTACTATAGATAATTGTGTTAAATTACAAAGTAAGTAGAGAAATGGGTTAACCCAGGTAACATAACATATATCAATAAAAGATTCTTGATTATTAGTACGAAATATTTTAAAATGTTATACACTAGTAAAACTGTTTACTCTGTGTTACTAAGTTTACTTTGCTAAAGAAACTAAAAAGTTCAATCAGGCACTGCTGTAGTTTTTATACAGAAACATGAGGACTGTGTTACTAGTAATGAAAGTATGAAATTAAAGATCTGATAAGCAATCACTACAGTTTATTCATAGATAAAATATCAAACAGAATAATAATATAAGATGAAGGTATATACAATTATGTTTGCCTTGTTATAACATTTATACAAAATGAAACTATCATTGGAAAATTGCATGATCAGCAATAAATAACATAAACATAATGACATCATGCACCAAGGCCTTGTGGTGAAGGGCATTCTAAGGACAGAAAGTTGAGGTAAAGCAGCAAGCTGTACATACATGTATATAGGTCTTCACTACAATGACTTCATTAAATATCGGATATAAACAAGTTTAAAATAAATCATTGGCACTACTGGACTATCAATCTATGGGCTAAAACATGACTTAACCTTACCATATAGTTTCCTATCAGCACACATTACAATATTTCAAATTAGTGGAAAAACTAATTTTAATCCATAAATAATAATCATCAGTGATGTTGAAAGCTGGTTTGAATTACATATTATATAAAATGATTGAATGCTACTTGACACTGGCAGAATTAACTTGTTTTGTTTCAAAGACATATTTCATTGGTAATATTTGATAAAAAGAAATGCTTACTACTTATAAAAAACATTACAGTAAAAAAAATAAATAACCCTATAATGATCATGCTTAACACCTATATATCAAATAAATTACTAACTCATAACTTTTTTGTTCATTTTCAGCTTTCAGAACCTAATTCAATGCAAATTATGATAAAACATGTCAATTTTAATGTACAAAAATAAACAATTGCGAATGACAAAACATGAAGTACTCTGCTGTAATTGTTCTAGTAAACAATATGTCTCACTGACAGAAAAATGCAATAATCATATGTACCCTTATATTCTGTAGAACAACATTTTCACTATAATATATGAAGGGACTGCTGCCATATGTAAAACTTGAGTTAGATATATCACTTTATGGATGTTCATTCCACATATGAATAAGACTCAAATACCCTCAAATCAAAATGGGTAAAATGTGTAAATTGTTACAACAATTTCGTAACAGAACTTAAAAACCACAAAATATAAACATTTTTTTCACAGATTTGAATGACTCTAGTTTATAAATAACAATTAAGGAAGTAAAATGTCTATGTCTTCTACTTTAAAGAAACATATGCGACTCGATGTGTTGTTCTCTTAAACATGTACACTTAAAATACTATGAAATGCCAGCAACTGAACTAGTACCAAATACAACTGAAGTCTTTTCAACTTTCAACAGGTGAGAGAGAACCATCAGATGTGCGTCGTTTTGTATAGGTGTCATCTTGACGCTTAACTGCAGTGTCCTCAAAATCATCATCATCATAATCATCAGTGTAATCATGAACGCTTGCTGACCTAGAGCCTCGACTCTGAACAAATTCTTCATCAAGGCCAACACTTCTCAAAGTGGCATTAAATTTCTTCTCTGCCTTTTTTTTAGCATTTACCTAAAAATATTAATAATTCAAAAATGATACAATTTTTTATAATTTTGTTATCAACTATCCTTTTCATTTTGAATTTGAAAGAAATATTATATACATGATGATAAAACCAATATCTCACAAAGTTAAGCAGATCAGTCTGTCTAAAAACTGTTGGGAGTTCCAAGAAGGATTATACTGTTCAAGATATGTGTTGCAGTTTGGATTGTAACATCCATTCTTGGGTACTTGCCATGGCCAAATATATATACAGTCAAACTTGTATTAAGCGACCGCGCAAGGTAAACACCCAAAATGGTCGCTTAATGAAACGGTCTCTTAAGACCTAGCATGACATAAAAGTCAAAATTTACAAATGACATCTTTCTTATGCGGTGGGAATGTTTAACAACTTCATTTTTATATTAATGTTGAATAATTAGTACGCTCGCTAATCTGTAAAAAATAACTTTCTGTTATTTATTTACAAAACAGTTTTGATCCATTACGTACATGTTTGACATTTTTTCCAGATTTTTTTAACTTCTCCGTTGCTTTTCCTTGTCTCCAACATGAAAACCCTATTAGTGAGGATGTTTTTTTTTGTCGTGCATTTTTCATTCGAAATAAACAAAGTACATCTAATTTAATTGCTGATCAAGTTCAAGGTCATTTCAATGCAGTCTAAATGTCAACAAGCGAAGCGTATACACTACATCAGTAGGGGCGGAGCGTTGCATTGTTTAATCGATATTTTTGGATAATACACGTCACGCGTATACTGCTTACGCTAAAACGGTTTGGGAAATAGAGTTTTTCACACATTTATTTGTTGTGTTTTGATTGTTGACACTTGTGAAATTACGAGGCGGCATTCTCTAAAAACACAATTACTTGACAGGTAAAAGTGGTCGTTTAATGAAAAGATTGCTCTCAATTAGGTGACTAATTAGCGGTCGCTGGTTGCGTTGAGCAAAAGTCGCTTAATACATTAAAAATATAGAGAGGAAATGATCGGGGGGAATTTAAAGTGGTCGTTTAAGACAAAAGTCGCTTAATACATGTGGTCGCATGGGCAAGTTAGACTGTATATACCATGTAAATTAATGTCAATTCCTCAATTACAATTTTATTATTATAAAAGTTCATAACAGCAAATTGACGACATCCTAGCACACAATTTATTCATAAAATTCGCAAAATGACATCAATTTGGAGCACTAGATGCATCTGGTATTCCTCGTGCAAGAAAATATTTCCAGCATGTGTAAGTGTGATGTGTTAGAACATATAATATAAAGTTGTATGAGAGATGATGATTTACCTGAGATTCCTGTTCAAACAATAATGGTCTCCTGTTAATTCTGTTCTTCATCTCCTTCATTTCTCTTTCATACTCCTCCATTCTTGCTCTTTCTGCTTCTCTGTTAAATAAAAAACATTTTATTCTTCATCTTTAGCCCTTTAAATTTATCTAATGAAAAACCAAGACTATGGAATAGAAGCAGCTTTCTGTTAAATTTAGGAAATTTAGTATCAAAAAGCTAAAATTAAGCAGTAACAGTACACTAGTACTACATATAAGTCACACAAACACTGTAATGGTCACATGGCGACTTCTTAGCTATACAGGTGGAGGAATACCTCAGGTACCACTACAACTTCTGTATGTTGGCTGGATACATGTAGCTTTATCATTGTTAGATATTCAGGCTGCTAAAGCTATGGTAGAAATCTCTAGGTAAATTTTGTTTGATAATTATTCTGTGAAAAAGCAACATTTTGCATTATGCAAAAGAAGGGCCTCTCTCTTGGTATTATTCTCTTTGATTTGTCAATGGAATCAATTTGATACTTTATTTGATCTTGCCTCCCTTATAGGAATGTGTTACATCATTTTCTTTCAACATAATTTTATTCCTGTACTGATATTTTGTTTAAGGATTTTATCAATTATTAGATAATGACAATAGCGAATAGTAATGTTTAGAAGCATTTTCAGTTGTAAATGTGCACCTTGGACTTTATTATTAACAATGAAATATTCAATTAATAAAAGATATTTTGAGTTTTCAATATATGACCTTGCTTAAAATAACATAGTCAATAGCTTTAGTGTTATCATATTTTTTGTTACATACCGTATGTGCAAAACATATTGTAATACAGCATATATGTTTTGCAATATATCCCAATATTATAGTGATAAAATTTACCTAAACTTTTTCTTTTTTTCTTCTGGATTTTCTCTTGGTGTTTCATGTGCTATAGTTTTCTCTTGGATTTCTCGTCTCAATCTCATTTCCTTAACACGGCGATGTCTGTCTTCTTCTATCTCCTTCAGCTCTTTCTGTGATAGCTTCTGAAACTGACCCCTGCAATTTTTTTTTAAAATAAATATATTTCAAGAAAACCTGACTTAAATAAAACATACAGGACCCAACTTACATGAAACATACAGGAAGAAATAGTTTTACACAAATTGCTGCCAAGCTAAATTTTATCAAATTTGAAAACTGAACATTTTTAACATAACAGATATGTTAAAATATATAAAAATATAATAAAAAAATGAAATAAAAAAAACTGAAATAAAAAAAAATAATGAATTTTACCATATTGAAAAAAAACACCTCTTAATAGCTAAAAATATTTTAATAAACAGATCGTATATCAAAAGTTAAAGAAAATAAAGGGAGAAGAGACCAACTGGTCTAATGGTTAATATGTCTGCCTCTCAACCAAGGGATCATGAGACTGAGTCCTAAAGAGGTCACAATAATCCTCAAAAATGACACAGATCTTTGTTTGTTGAAGATTACTTTAGAATGGTTAAAAATAAGCTCACAAGTTAACTAAAATAAGTATGTTTATATTAAAGAAAAGAAAATGTGCGTGAATACCTAGTTTTCCTTGTTCTTGCATCTGCAGACCTTGTTGACTTTGTTGGTAATGCATCTAGGGATGACGACATGTGACCTGTAATCATAAATCTATATAATTGCATTTGTTTTATGGCATGAAAAGCAATAATAACAACAGAAACCTTTTTAAAAAAAATGAACAATGGGTCACAGTAATGATGATTTGGAATTTATCATTTAAAAATGAGTATAGATGCATTTATATAAGAGTTCTTAAGTTACATGTAGACACAGACTTTCTTCTAGTTATCATCTAACAATACTTTAAACTTTAAGTCTGCCTTATTTAAGATTCAAACCTACTGCAGGAAGAGGCAAGTGTTTCAAGATCCACTTTGGACGTTTAATTACAAAAAAAAAGTTATGTTTCAAAAAATAAGACAGGGTAGCATTACAGTTGTTGTACAATTAATTTTTATTCAACATCATTCAGCTATATTTCAATTTTTATGAGTCATTTAGCAGGGGCCGTTGATAGACCCCTTCCCCTCTGGTAATTTAATTACATATATATGCATCATGTTTTTTTTCCATCCCCATTTGCAAAAATATCATGTTATTATTTTTCGCCTGAAAATATAAGGGAAGGGCTCATTGCCCATGCTGTGAACACAGGCCCTTGACACATTTAGTGTGTGCATAACTATGATAAATTTTACCAAATCATCTTTTACTAATAAACAAACTAAAATCATACCAAGTTTAACTTTCGTTCTTGGAAGCTTGTATGGCCATCTATTTTCTCTCATTGTTTCTTCTTCCTTTTCAATTTCTTTTTTTATTCTCTCTATTGTAGATTTGCTAGTTCTCCCCGTTTCAAGTCTAAATGGTTCAGCTACAGTTGATTCTTTCATTCCTTTCCTACGATTTAATTCTTGCTGAAATTGGCGATATAAAGCATCATAATTTGGGACTTCATGGTTGATTCTAAGGCGAGTTGCAGTTTTCATTCCCCTACCTTTCCTTTTGTTTTTCATTTTTTGCTCTCTTTCTTTTTGCTCCTTAATTTGTTCTCTTGCATTCATATTTGGTGGTAAAGATGCAGATCGTAACATTTCTTCTGCCCTCATCTTAATTCTAATTTTTCTATATTCTTCTTCTTCCATTATTTTATCATCTACTACTGAATCAAAAATATGCTTTGGCACTGGATTTGCTTTGAAAGCATCTGGCTTCTTTTGAATTCTTGTTTCAGTTTTGCCTAATTCATTACAATCTCTCTCCATTAATTGATGATGCTTTCTGTCATCTTCTCGTTTCAGAAAGCTAAAAGGCTTTTCTTGAGATTTCAATAATTCAGCACTCAATTCTTTTACATGACGACGCTTTTCCTCATTCTTCTCTTTAATTTCATCATACAGTGGTAAATAAACATGTGCTGGTACAGGTCGTGCTTTGAATTTCTTTTTGAGTTCTTCTTCTTCTTCAATTTCTTTTTGATATTTTAGCTCTTCAAACTCTTGCAAATTTTTGGATTTCCTCTTTTCTTTCCTTTCATCCCTTAATGTCATTGTAAATGGTTTAGGTATTGTGAGCCTATGACGCCAGTTGTCTTTCTGTTTCTTCTCTTCACGAGTTATTTTTGCTGATGATGGCCGTTTAATGGTTCTGTCTTGCAATGATCTCCTTGGTGTGTAATCATTAATAGAAAAATTTTGCCACATGTGTTCAATTCTTGATAATGATCTATCTTGCTCTCTGTAAGGTTCTGAAACTGTATCATCTGGAATATAATCTCCCTCACACTCTTCAAATGATTTCTTTAGGCCAAGTGTTGCAGAGCGGAGATCTTCTAGTGATCTTGCAATATCTCGTGGAATCGGTGCAGATCTAGGACGTGACGGGGGAGATGCAATAGATTTTGCTGTAAGTGACATATGAGGTCTTCCTGTTGGTGGTTTGCTTAGAGAATCTCTAACACTGTCCCTGTATGGTGACTCAGCTCTTGGTGGACTAAATCCTCCACTGTCTTCCATTGGTGAAGCAGATCTAGCAGGAGACCAAGATCTTTGTCTCCTTGTAGATACAAGAACACCATCCTCATCAACAAAAGTTTCTGACCTATATGTTTCATCATAAGATTTTGTTGTTCTTTTTGATGTCTCAAATTGCACATCATCTTCTGGAAACGTTGGGGCTATCAGACCCTGGTGTTTTTCAATGTAAACTTTTTCACACTTTTGCAATATTTTTCTCTGTTCATTTTTTAATTCTAATAGTTTTTGATAGAACTCCTCGTCTGAGAGTTTACCTAACTGCAAAAGATCTGGTGCATTCACTGAACTTGGCCTTGATGTAAACCTGGGTTCAAAGATTTCTTTTTCAGCCTGGCTCTCTTGGTCATAATCGTCGAAATATATCCCTGAAAATCGCCCAAGAGTTGGGCCGGGTCTTTCATGCAATGATGCTGACAACCCAGTTTTAGGATTTCTGGGAGGTTTTACGCTAGAGTTTGTCAAAACCGACAAACCATGGGTTGTTGCCATTGTTGCCATGTTGTGGCAAATATGTTTAGGTCCGCACTGAATAACAGGTGCCCGCAAAATTTTATCAGATTTTGAAAAACCTTATTTATGTTTAAATGGTAACTTACTATTGAAACTATGTTAAGATATATTTTTGCTGATTTAAAATATAATTGAAATCATTGCATAATGTTTTAAATTTCAGTTCGAATTGAAAGAAAATTTTATGTTGATGACGACGATTTTTGCTAAATTCGTAAATAGTTTTTACCGACCTCTCCAACAAGGGATACAACTCTGATCATCTCCCAAAATGGCAACAAAACTGTTCACACAAAAGTGTTGTCATTGTTTGGCAACGGCAAAGCAGCTGAGATTATTTCGGCCAATGGTTTCAAGACATTATCAGACAAATTATGGAGACGAGCAAACTGCAGATATTGTCATCTCTGGTGGAGGGATGGTTGGAGCATCAATGGCCTGTGCACTGGGTAGGGTCATGACTGTTCAAGTCCATTTAATTGTCTAGCTAGTTAATTAAAGTGACACTATTTTGTAGGGCCGATTTTGTATAATGAAACATCAATTTTGTTGTTATTTTTGAACATAATAAGCATAGATAAATAGATAGTTGTGGGCTGGCTGTCACTTTTTGTATTTTCTGATCGCAGATCAGATAATAAGCTAACATCCACGGTCTAACACAAAATTTCCTAACAGTCCTAACAACGCAAATTAGTTCTCACTCAAAACTGCTTAAAAACCAGCAATTTAAAAGAAAGAACAATTTTTTATTACAAGTGTCCAACAAATTACTACACCTTCAAACTTTTAAAGTAGCGTTGGCTTATAGAGTTGTCAATAAATGCACACTCACAAATTACGCGGATGAATATGATTTTAATCAAAGAAAATGCTATTTTAGCGATGTCGATTACCGAATACTACACAAATAAATCTGACTGCCGAGTAGTTGAATATATAGTTTCTACATGTTGGACTGTTTGGGCGAGAAGATTTTTGCTAAATTATTTACTTCAATTTTAAACAACAGGTTTACCCTGAACAAAATACCTCGAAATTACCATAACCCGAAATGCAATGGAAATTCTAAATTTAGAATGACTTGATTTTATTCAGCTATTGATTATAAAACTTCTCCGTGGTGCAGGGGTAACGCGCTCGTTTGGTGTGTGAGAGGTCAGGAGTTCGAATCCCAGTCTAGTCAACATTTTTTTAATTCTTTTTTTTTTAGTGTCTTTGTTAAGGAAATAGCCACGATATGCAAGGATAAAGTGTGGCTATCATAAAAAATGAACATAAATTATTTTTTGATGCAACTCAGACTAGTTATGCAAAATTCCGTATGTATCAAACTCTGGTGCCCTGCAAGATGACTTATAGTACATAAAAATAAACTTATACAGGAAAACACATACAGATATACAGTACGATTTAGATTCCAGGGATCAGAAAATACCACAGAGCTTGCAGCCCTTTGATTTCATCTGTTGGCTGCAACATTAAAGTTTTGGTCACAGACGGTTGGGAGTGAAACGTCTCTGTAGTAAAATGTCTTGGGAGTGAAACGTCTGGCATTCCGATTGGGGGTCAGATCCTGCCCCCAACCTGATATACCCATGGAAATACTCTATTATATTTTAATATCTAAACACGAATGCAACTTCTGTTACAACAATAAAACTGGTTTTCAAAAAAATTTTACACACAATTTTTAGTCACGTACGACTAGCCAAGACACACTGTATTGTCTAGCCGTAAGACATTTTCAAAATTATATGGAAGTCGAAAATGCGTATGTTATTTTGTGTCTTTAAATGAGGATTTTAATCAAGTCTCCGCTTTTGTCCTTGTGTGTTCACTTAAATAAAGATGCTCCGTCACTTTGTAAAAAAAAATGAATACGAACAAGTGTTGTATAAGCTATCTTGATAAAAGTGTCAAAGTTGCGCATCGTTGATTTTCATGCTTATCATTAGCTAAAGAGACTTCAGCGAACAGGTTTTATAGTAGGCAAGACCTGTTCGCTGAAGCCAATCCCGTATCGAAAGTCAACCAGAACCGTGACATATTTATGTCATGCTGTAATTCAATAAATTTGCGTGATCTGGACAAAAGCTATTTTAATACAGGTAGTTGGATATATTTGGGACACTTCAGTCTATATTTTTGAACACAGAACATTAGATTGATGAAATAATGCCTCAAAGTTTATCAGTGGGTTCACATTTCATAAAATTCGCCGCCATTGCTGTCCTAATTATCACGTGACTAGCGAGAATTTAGGTTCGGATACCTTTGCATGACATGGTGACCTGAGTGACCCAAATGCTATTTTTAATTGCAATTGTGAATAACGGTGTATTTATTCAATAACAGACATTGTACCAAAAACATGTTGGACTTATATTGTTTTGAGTGATGATTCATGAATTATCTGTTTGTTTCAATTTAAAATCGTACACTTACTAAAAATAGTGTATGGTCCGTTACTAAAAATAGATGCTAGAATTCCCAAAACTTGAAGTCCCGCGAGATTTCATTTGAAAGCAGACTCCATATGGTAAACATTTTCTTCATATTTCCCTAACAAATAGTTGGGTACACAATGTTATTGAAGTTTCATTTAAAAACAAAACGTGAATTGATTCAAAATTGATTTGTTTATCAAATGGTATTTTTATTTGACCCAAATTTGATTAATAAGGGTGATTTTAATAGGTTTTATGTATGGCACTCGAACTGCCAAAATTCTGGTAGCCTTTGCAAATAGGGTTGACCGATAACTGTACTGTCGCAAATGTCAAAAAAAAAGCGACATATAAAGTTATGGAAGCCAGAACTAGCTTATCATTTGTCGTTTTATTTGTATGAAAGATGAATTATTAAATCGTTTTTGTTAATTAAGCACATGGATCGAATAAATAATGATTGGAGTGGAATAAATAAATAAAAAGAACATTGAAAAAAACAGTGAAAAGCAAAAATAATTAAGTAATCAAGGAGAGGATGAAGAACAACACGTCAGGAACACCAGAGTGGGTTTACGTTAATTTATTTATCTACCGGTTTCGATCATATAATGACCTTCATCAGGATAATACCCAAAAAGCAAAAATAATTGTATAATTAATTAAAGCCTACCCAGGGACTGACAATAGAATTTTAGAATGCGTTTCACGGAACATGCAAACTTTCTTTAATGTCCTGGACAAACTTCTCTACTGTTGGTAATTGACGCAATTATCAGAGCCCAACAATTATTTTCGGTGTTTTTTTTTCTTCTTCATTTTAAAGGTGTCGAGAATTAAACTTAATGAAACAAAAAAAAAAGAAAAGGATTATTATCAAAATTTTGTAAACTATTTCAATTTGTGTTATTTAAATGCAAACAAACGCTATTTTTTCTCGACATCTTGAGATGACAAAGATCGATAGCCAACAAGGCGATTAATCTCTAAAAAGTAAACATATGAAGACAATTGCTGTTTCTTGGTTAAAATCCTCGCATAAAGTCATAAAATAACATATGCATTTTCGACTTCCATATAATTTTGAAAAGTGCCGTACGGCTAGCCAATACAGTGTGTCCTTGCTAGTCGTACGTGACTCACCTTACGGCTAGAACTTTACATTTGAAAAAGTACTTAATATACAGTATTTAAATATAGTTTACTTACACTGTTACTGAGAAAGCCATAACACAGATTACACACTGTTACTGAGAAAGCCATAACACAGATTACCAGTCAAATCATAATTTTTTATACGCCCGTTTGAAAAACGGGACGTATTATGGGAACGCCCCTGTCGGGCGGGCGGGCGGCGTCCAATTTTGTCCGGAGCATATCTCCTACATGTATGGAGGGATTTTAATGAAACTTCATAGAAATGTTCACCACTATGAGAAGCAGTGTCACGCTTATGAACCAGGTCTCTAGGTCAAAGGTCAAGGTCACACTTAGAGCTCATTGAAAAATGCTTGTCCGGAGCAAAACTTCCACATGTATAGAGGGATTTCAATATTACTTGGCACAAATGTTCACCATTGTGAGGTGGAGTGTCACGCGCAAGATTCAGGTCCTTGCGGCCAAGGTCAAGGTCACACATAGAGGTCAAAGTTCAGATAAAAATAATTTATTATGAAGATGTGTATATGGACCATTTAGTCATCATTTATTGAGGGATTGTAACACAAATGGTCATTATCAAGACTATGGCTGTGATACATATAATTTAGGTCAATATATACAAGGTCAAGGTCACTAAAGATGATGAAATATCCAGATTTTGTCCGGAGCATATCTCCTTCACGCATGGAGGGATTTTAATGAAATTTCATAGAAATGTTCACCATTATGAGAAGCCATGTCACGCACATGAACTATGTCTCTAGGTCAAAGGTCAAGGTCACACTTAGAGCTCATTGAAAAACGCTTGTCCAGAGCAAAACTTCCACATGCATAGAGGGATTTCAATATAACTTGGCACAAATGTTCACCATTGTGAGGCGGAGTGTCGCGCACAAAATTCAGGTCCCTGCAGCCAAGGTCAAGGTCACACATAGAGGTCAAAGTTTAGATAAAAATATGAAGATGTGTATAGGGACGATTTAATCATCATTTATTGAGGGATTGTAACACAAATGGTCATTATCATGACTACGGCTGTGACACATGTACTTTAGGTCAATATATGCAAGGTCAAGGTCACTAAAGATGGTAAAATATCCAGATTTTGTCTGGAGCATATCTCCTACATGTATGGAAGAATTTTTATAATACTTTATGGAAATGTTCACCACCATGATATGTATTGCTCCATGCATGATCCAGGTCTCCAGGTCAAAGGTCAAGGTCACACTTAGAGCTCATTGAAAAACGCTTGTCCGGAGCAAAACTTCTACATTCATAGGGGGATTTCAATATAACTTGGCACAAATGTTCACCATTGTGAGGCTGAGTGTCGTACGCAAAATTCAGATCCCTGCGACCAAAGTCAAGGTTACACATAGAGGTCAAAGTTCAGATAAAAATTTGAAGATGTGTATAGGGACCATTTAGTCATCATTAATTTTATTGATGGATTGTAGCACAAATGGTAACTATCATGACTACAGATGTGACACATTTAATTTAGGTTAATATTTGCAAGGTCAAGGTCACTGGAGATAATTAAATATCCAGATGTTGTCTGGAGCATATTTTCTACATGCATGGAGGAATTTTAATGTTACTTTATAGAATTGTTCACCACCATGAGACGTAGTGCCCTGCACATGAACCAAGTCTCTAGGTCAAAGGTGAAGGTCACAGTTAGAGCTCATAGAAAAACGCTTGTCTGTAGCAAAACTTCTACATGCATAGAGGGATTTCAATATAATTCGGCACAAATGTTCATCATTGTGAGGCTGAGTGCCGTGCATAAAATTCAGGTCCCTGCGACCAAGGTCAAGGTCACACATCCTGTGCATATCTTCCCTACTGATTTGTTTTAAGGTTCATTTAACAACACAGTGCCAAGAATAAAAACTTGCTTGCTAGATAACACTTATCCATAATGCCCCCATCTCCATCTAAAGCTTTCATAAACGGGCGTATTTTGTGACTATGGCACCCTTGTTTAATATTCTGATAAACCATTATTAACTATCAGATGTAATTGACAATAATACATGATTTTTGCATGAAAGGAGTTGAAATTCGAACCCTGTAAATTCAACAACTAATTTTTAAAGTTCATTAAAAAGTTACTCACCAAATTATGCGAGTCGAAAAAAATGTATTATACAGTAGTGTTAGGTATCGGACTCAAAAATCACTTTTGTTAATTGGACCACCACAATTGATTGTCTGCCGATAGTATAATCAAGTTTAAAAAGAGGAAGGTGTTGTATAAATTATGCTCAATTTATTAAGATGCCGTAGATGTACATCGGCGACTGCATAATTATCATGTCACATAAATGTGTTTTTTGCAGTAAATTTTCGGCAGTAAATTTCAATGGTTAAAAGATATGCTCGAAGCCGAGGATTAAATTTATTGTGCTAAGTAAAGATTTATATGTAATATTGTAGATGAATTTGCTTGGATGTTCAGGCAACAAAGTAGTTCAAATTGCCCACTTTGTCACTAGCCATTTTTTTTTATATTTCTTTTTTGATAAGGCAAACAAAAAAGACTAGGATTGAATTAAAGAGATTTGGTCGGGAAACTTCTATTTGACCACAGGTTAAAAAGTTATGCCCTAGGCAATTCAGCGGTGTTAGAACATTAAAATTATCGATTTTTAAAAAGGACTATAGATTGTCGCCGATTTTTGGGGTGGTCCGATTAGTTATCGATTTTCAGAGACAATCGGGACAACACTATAAAATATACAGTATGTAATAATTGGTAAATGGGCAACATTTGAAAGAGATATCTGTTTTCTTGTTGTTTTTATAGCTCACCAGAGTACAATGTACTCAAGGTGAGCTATTGTCATCACTCACCATCTGGTGTCTGTCCATTTGTCAGTCCACACTTCTCTTTGAACATCATCTCCTCCTAAATCACCGTGTCAATGATATCAAAGCTTTCTAGGAATGATATTTAGGTGATCTTCTTTTTAAAGTTGTGAAAAAATATCATTTCATGCTGGTGCCATGGCAATCAAGAGAATAACTTTAAAAATTATGTCTGAAACTTTAAAGACAAGAGCTGAGGTAATTGGCATGAAACATCATGTAGTGAACCTATACCAAAGTTATTAAGATAATAGCCTTGGGGACAAAATTGACCCCTCTCAAGGGGATCCATAACGTATGTGGGTTTTCCTTACATGTATATAATAAAATCTTTTAAAATCATCTCCTGAGAAACTCTAAATGCTAAAGCTTAGATAATTGGTAAGAAACATCATGTGAACTTGTACCAAGCTTATATTGCTTACGCACGCACAATATTCATGTGTGCTTAATAATAGAAACTTTTTTTATGTCACAACTATTTCAGGAACCATTCATAAGATTATGGAAACAATATAATTTCACAGTTGATAAATTTTATAAAAATATTTCATAAGATAAAGCTTTATACCCTTTAATGTGTTATTGTTTATTTTAAATGCCATATATGTTTTTTTCATTTCAGGTCATGAAAGTATCTTGCAAAATAAAAGAATAGTTTTATTAGAGGCAGCTCCTAAAAAAACACTAATTTTGAGTGAAAGTTATGGTAACAGGACCTGTACACTTAGTCCTGCAACTGTTCAATTGTTTGAAAGTAAGACAATACATGATTATATATAATATTAAATCACAATATCATTAGTACTTAAGGTCAGTCAAATATGAGAGACATTCATTATTATTGTGTCGCCTTGGAAAAAGGCGACACATATAGGGGTTACTTTTGTCGGTTGTTGTTGGTGTCCGTGTCCCTTAAAGCTTGTCTGGAGCATAACTCAGTCACTATAAGTCAGATGGACTCCAAACTTGGTATGCATGCTTCTTTCAATGACTCGAAGTGCAGTGCACAAGAATTGTTACTCTGTGCTCCTTAATTTTTGAGTTATTGCCCTTTGTTTATTTTCATACTTTATTTTTGTCCAGGCCATTTCTCCTTAACTATAAAAGCTATGGACTTGAAACTTCATAGGATGATAGATCCCATTAAGGAGAAGTGCAGTGCAAAAGAATCTGTACTCTGCACTTCTTAGTTCTTGAGTAATTGCCCTTTGTTAATTTTCATAATTTATGTTTGTCCATGCCATTTATACTAAACTATAAAAGCTATGGACTTGAAACTTCATAGAATGATGAATCTCATTGAGAAGAAGAGCAGTGCACAAGAACCGGTACTCTGTACTTCATGATTTAAGAGTTATTGCTCTTTGTTAATTATTGTACTTTATTTTTGTCCGGGCCAATTCTCCTACACAATAAAACTTATAAAAGCTATTCAAGCTACATATATCCTGATGTAACGTTATTACAATCAGTTCAAATGCCACTAAAGTTCAAGGTACATGTACATTGTAAGAGTGGTGTTTATAAATAACCTATATTTAAGAAGGAATGCCTTAGTGACAGCTATACTGTTCACAAGGTGACCCATCCGACTCAAGGAGTTCTAGTTTACAAAAATTTAAATAATTGATTGACTGCTTTGCCCTTTCATACAAACCATATAAGCTCATGTTTCATTGCTCTTTCTGTACTTATTGTATTGTTATTAAATTCTGATGCAAGATGAGTTTAAAATTGTAACCAGACAGCAGGTTTGATGCAAGATAATGTTATTCTGTTAACAAGTTTGCCTATTCAATGCCTGTAAACATTTTTGGTCTGTATTTCTACATCTTTACATTTGAAATCATACATTAAGATAATTAGTCAATCCAGAATATGCTGTTTTCCATATAAAAAACTACTGAGACAGAGTATGACCCATTATGTTATTAGATATAAAATCAATATGCTAGAGAAAATACAGCTACACAACAATTGTTATATGTATACCTTTCAAATTATTATGCAATTAATTATTCATAACACTAAATTTGTATTTTTAGAATGTGATGTCTGGTCAGAAGTTGAAGATATGAGATGTCAAAAAGTGTTACGAATGCAGGTTTGTGAGTTATACCAGTATTTCTCCTCTAAACACAGCAGTTTTTCACCTTATGAAACAGAGACCTATATAAGGCCTCTTCCCAACAGATATTTTCTTTACAATAATGCAGTTTTCTCAAAAATCTAAACTTAGCCATTTATTTACTTTCTCAAAATTGCAATTTTAGTGATAACTTGTCCCTAAATGAAGAGGTTTAGCTTTTTTTTCATTAAGAGAGCTTTTCCCTAAATGAAGAGGTTTAGCTTTTTTTCATTAAGAGAGAAAAACCCTTGATATAGCTAGCCTTATTGAGTAATTTCGCAAATGAAACTCATTTTTAGCTCGAATTTATGCTGAATACTAGAGGTAACGCAGTCACCCATTTTGTCAGTGTTGGCGTCCAATAAATCTGATTTGCTTTTTTTACATATTTATGCCCTTTTTTTCAACTTGGAAATTCTTGGTTAAGTTTTTGCGTGTTAGCTGGTATCTCCATAACTATTGATGGAAATGGATTGAAACTTCACACACTTGTTCTCTGTGATTTATGACATGATTGGCACAAGTCCCATAATTCTGGTTTGCATTTTTGCATAATTATGCCCCTTTTTCGACTTAGAAATCCTTGGTTAAGTTTTTGCGTGTAAGCTGGTATCTGCATAACTATTAATGGGAATGGATTGAAACTTCACACACTTGTTCTCTTTGATTATCTAACATGATTTGCACAAGTCCCATAACTCTGATTTGCTTTTTTGCATAATTATGCCCCTTTTTTGACTTAGAAATCCTTGTTTAAGTTTTTGCGTGTAAGCGGGTATCTCCATAACTATTGATGGGAATGGATTGAAACTTCACACACTTGTTCTCTTTGATTATCTAACATGATTTGCACAAGTCCCATAACTCTGATTTGCTTTTTTGCATATTTATGCCCTTTTTCGACTTAGAAATCCTTGGTTAAGTTTTTGCGTGTAAGCTGGTATCTCCATAACTACTGAAGGGAATGGATTGAAACTTCACACACTTGTTCTCTGTGATTATCTTACATGATTGGCATAAGTCTCATAACTCTTGATTTTTTTTTTTTTCATAATTATGCCCCTTTCTTGGCTTAGAAATTCTTGGTAAAGGTTTTGCTTGTAAGCTGGTATCTCCATAACTACTGAAGGGTTTGTGCCTTTTTTGTGACAATTTTATGCATTCATAATAATAAAGCAGTGATTTACTCGATAAAACATCTTAATAACAAGCCATTGTTCTTTTTTGGGACAATTTTATGTATTCATATAGGTAAGCATTATTATACTCAATGAAACACCTTTGTGACAACTTTTCGAATAGTCGTGCGTTACTGTCCTCCAACAGTTCTTGTTAGACTTTGAAATTCCTGGTTAAGGTTTTACGTGTAAGCTGGTATCTCCATAACTACTGAAGGGTTTGTGCCTTTTTTGTGACAATTTTATGCATTCATAATAATAAAGCAGTGATTTACTCGATAAAACATCTTAATAACAAGCCTTTGTTCTTTTTTGGGACAATTTTATGTATTCATATAGGTAAGCATTATTATACTCATTGAAACAACCTTGTGACAACTCTTTGGAATTATCGAACGTTGCTGTCCTCCAACAGCTCTTGTTCATTTTGTTGCCAAAAGTTCACTTTAATTGTTGCCATAAAATACTAAATTGTATTTTTAACTATCTAAAATGTTATATTTAAAACTGATTTTTGTATTTATAGGTGTGGGAATCTTGTTCAAATTCACTGATTACCTTTAATCAAGAGAATATGGCAGATGAGTTAGCATATGTAGCAGAGAATGATGTGATACAAGAAGCTCTTACACGGAGACTTGACACACTCCAGGGTCGTGTAGAAGTCATGTACAAAACAAGAGTAGATGATATTAAAATACCAGGTGTATCTAAAGATATGGACTCTAATGCTTGGGTCAAATTAGTACTTAACAATGGACAGACACTTAAAACAAAACTTTTAGTAGGTTTTACTCCTTAATAAATTTATTTATACCAATATTTGAATATGGCAATACATGCCTCTTTTATTATATGATTTAGCTGCAGATAAATAATTTCTCTGTACATGTACTTATATTGTTTCTTTGAAAAGACCTTTATTTTTAATATAAACATTATGTATGTTAAATCAAGATTTTACAACTAAACATAATGATTTGTTATTTTGAAACCTGAAGCAAATATAGAAATTTGTACAAAAAATACATGTCTGTAAAATGCAAATAACTAATTGTAATATTTTAAATGTTGTGTATGATACAAATGTAAACATAACTTTAACAGTATCGTTTTGATCATTACTATATAATATTGACAATAAATCCTTGTTTAATGTTATACAGTTTACACAATCTCTATTTTACCATCTATGTATGTTTCTTTAGCTTATGATTACTAGGTACACTAATTTGCTAACTTTTAAAACGTATAAGAAATGATGGAATGCTTATTAAATGCAAGTTTTTTTTCTTCAATACTGTTGTGATGGTATGGTTTTATTTATTATTTCAGATAGGATCTGATGGTATGAATTCTTCTGTAAGAAAGGCAGCACAATTTCATACAGTAAATTTCAGTTACAACCAAAAAGCAGTTGTTGCTGTATTAAATATTCTAGGGGTAAGGTAGCATGCTTAAAACACAGTATAAAATGTTTTTCACTAACAATGATAGTGTCAAAATCACTAATATGTCTGTGTCAGTGAAACTTTTATTTTAAAGGTGTCTGGATAGACATACTAGCTCATTTTAGTTGGGATCTCTGTACACATATATAAATCATAATCTTGTTTACCTTGAACTTTAGTTGATGAATTTAGAGGTCACTTTATGACCTCTTAACTTTAATAAGATTTTGATATTTTGGGTATGTGATAAATAGATTGTTATATTAGTGTAGGTTCATAACTAAATTTATTGAACAAGTTGAATGCGAGCCTCTATTTAATCTACACTCATTTAATATCCTCTATATACTAGCAGTAATCAGCACTCCATATACCTTTGACTAAGGAAATCTTAAAATCCATGTTTATAATACTATTAGTGTCTATCAAGTCCATATATAATATTAAAACATTAAAAATGTTTTTATTGCAGACTGACAACAATGTTGCCTGGCAAAGATTTCTACCCACAGGTCCAATAGCAATGTTACCAGTAAGTAAAACAAGCACTCTTATTGATTTATTTTATTCCGAGGATTTTAAATTTGCATTTTATCAATTTTAGTCGTTCCCCCCCCCCCCCCCCCACCCCGAATATTTGGCTGGATTGCCTGCAAAACTACTTCTTTTACTGTAGCTCCAAAATGCACCTTGTTATAAAACAAGTTCTTTGAAATAGCTTAAAGTATGCAGTAAGACACAATTCCACTTTAAAACCTTGTTAAACTAAGTAAAGGTATTCAAGTCTTAAGTATACCAAATGTGCTGAAACTTTTACTTGTATGTTTTTCATTTACTTGTTCAGTAATGCAATGATTTAAGAATTTCATTACTTACAGCTGTCAGATACAGTGATGAGTTTAATATGGACAACATCACCAGATCATGCAGAACATCTCTCCTCATTGTCAGATGAAAGCTTTATTGATGCTGTAAATGATGCTTATGTAGGTGCATTCTCTTATTTTTATTCAGCTCAACTGAATTTAAAATTATTGACTTAATCTCATGGTTCATTTCCTATTTTATTATTTTAACAATTTGTAAAGTGTTATGTTACCAATTAGAGTTTTCAGTGAAAGTAGTATACTATTTTAAAGTATTTTCATTTGAATTTATTTTATTATTATTATCTGTATAAAAACTTTGCTGTTACTTATAATAAGGTAGTATTCATACAAACGTTTCTTTGTCGTTGACAGGAAGATTAAAATAAATGAAGAAAATTCTGTCACTCTCTGACATGATGTCGTAGCCTGTATTCATATTGAAATTAGGCTTGCACTCATTCATAACTGCCTCTCAAACAAACTTATCATTTATCATGAGAAAATAAAACTGTTAATTTCTTTAATCAAAGTTTGAGAGTCAGTTATCAAGACTAGTCCCATTCCATAACATTTTAGTTTGTAGGAAACTCTTTGTGGGACTTAAATTCATAATCTCTCTAGCTTACAAAGTCATATATGGCCAAAGAGTTCCCTGATGCAGGTGTCATTGGTTTTATTTATAATCAATGTAGAGGTACAGGTGTTTGTACCAGTATGTTTTTGTTTTGATTTCAGTGGCATGACAGGGACATTAATGAAGTTGCTAACAAAGTTTCAAGCACGTTCCAGAGTTTGGTACAGACACTGTCACCAGGTATGACATTAATACTTGTCATTGTTTTATGGGATTTGTTTTGTATTTTTGTTAATTTTCACTGAAAGTCACTTAGATGAGTAAAATTACAAAATTAAACCATCTATATTTGTGTGAACGTTTTATCATTTAAATCATTTAAATGCAGTGAAAGTTTGTAAAGGGAAGTAGTTATAAGATGCATAACAGTCACAAAACTGTACACAATACATGGTTTTCTATCTGGTCATAAAAAACTAAGAATATTGAATCAGTTGTCTAACAGTTGTGTTCCAACATCATGGTGACATTGGATTCCATTATATAAGGGAGCAGATGTATATGCAACTGCAATATTACTTATTAAGTTGTTTAAAATCATATATGAAATAAATATTTTTTGATAATGTAAGACATACATTATTATAAAATTATAAAAAGGAAATAGGGAAAATTTAGTAATCCTATCACAATATACATCTGACTACATTCTTGGAATCTGTCTTAATGATGTATCTCCTACTGGCTGGTTTTGAACACTGTTACAGTTTTTTCCCCATTTGACCTACATATATGTCATAATGTAAGTAATGTCATAATTGTGTATATTTACTACACTAGGTGGGACATCATGTAGACAATTACCACCTACAGTTACAGGTGTACAGAAAGGAAGTCGTGCCTCATTTCCACTAGGTCTTACACATTCTTCAAACTATGTTAGACATAGAGTAGCTTTAGTTGGGTAGGTAAAGTTCTATAATACACTAAATGCTGTACAAAATGATAAATGATTGACATGTTTTTGTGATCTGATATTCAGAGGGTCTTGCCATCTTACATTCCGGAGTAATAAAAAACTTTAGATGAAATTAATGTTTAACCCTCCTGATATAGCATTACTTTAAGTAAATTTGAGTTAAGTTATTGCTGCTATGTTTTATTTTTTATATTATCTTACCCAAGCATTGGTGTCCGCATCGGCATATCACTTTTGCTAAAGTTTTACGTACAACTTCTTGTACAACATCAACCACTTAAGATATTTGCGTGCAACTTCAGATCATAACAGGAGGTCACTTTCCAAACCCCATCTAGTATTGATTTTGACAGAATTATGGTCCTTTCTGAATTCCTGGTCAAATTTTTTGCATGCAAAACTACTAAAGGTTTTCGCTTGAAAATTAATTAATGTCTTTTAATATAAAGTCTTTGTTCTTGGCACGTACATAAATGACATCCATTTTTGCCCAGTTATTTTTGCTTTTAGCATTTCAAATAGGTATGGTTAAACTAATCCAGCAAGTTGGATACATCTGATATCATAAATGTATAGCAATTGTGTCATACACACTCACTAGTACATAGTTCATTAACTTGGTAATTTACATAACTGCAGTATCCATTTACATGCATAACTTTACTATCCATTTATGTGACTTATATTCTCTTTTTAGACTATGGAAATATGTTTTGTTAACCTATTTTAGCAAATTGGATAGATCAATACTTATCACTTTATACTGTACACACTTTCTGATACAAGGGCAATAATGTTACCAAGTCATTTTGCTCACTTTCATTACTATAAATTAATGTTCTGTTTCACATTTTCTATTACCAATACAAAAGGGATTTCTTGGCAGATCATGTGACTGGTATTAATCTCTCTTTCATTGTCTTTAGAAATATGTTTTGTTAACTATTTTGGCATGTTTGATACTTAGTATACATATGATATGTGTCTTTTATAATAAATTCTATTAATTTCTAGCTTCATACAGTACATAACTTACAAAGGGCCTTATTCTTGCAGATTCTTTTTTGCTATTTACTAATATACCACTTGACATGCTAAAAATAGGGATGGTTTATGGTTTAAAATCTATTTCAGTATGTTTGATACATTGAAAACTTTACTGGTACCAATGGTTCCTTACTATAGTCACTTACTTGTAATGATCTTGGTAAGATACATAACTTCACCATTCATTTTAATACACCCAAAACAACAACAACAACATTACTTGATTACAGGGATGCAGCTCATAGACTTCACCCCCTTGCTGGACAAGGAGTGAACCTTGGTTTTGGTGATGTTTCTAAATTATCAGAAGTAATATCAAGAGCTGCTTCTGATGGCAGTGATCTAGGTATGTACATTCATATATCACAGTGATAACTATCTTACTTTTTATCTAGCTATAGAAATTAATTAGAAAAAATTAATAGAATAAATTAATAAGAAATTAAATTCCAAACAATGGTATCAAACAATTACAGAGATGTACTTAGTTACTTATTAATTTCAGTGTGTATGTCCATCTTAATGCTTCGATATTTTTAAGTGACTGCAACAATAACTGTAGTCCCTTGTGCAAACGTTTTATCATAAAGAAAAATGTGTTGATTTTCATGAAACTATACATGTATGAATATAAATGAACTTGTAAACAAGGGGTTTTTGTAACAAGGTTGAATCTTATTAAAAAGGGTAAATTCAATATTTTCATGTTGATGCATCACTAGTAAATGTGAATCTTCTAAATGCCAGCCCAGTTAGCTTTGATTGGAGACCAAGAAGTCCATGGATTTGGGATTCACAGGGGTCATTTCATTTATATAGACTTGCATAGGAAAGGCACATCTGAGACTTATTGCCCCACCTTTGCAGTGCGCTTGTTCATTCCTTTTTATAGAGCTTAAATATTTGGCATTTAAAATCACTTTGTGGACCACAAAATAACTGGTATTAATCATGCCCCTTGGGTCAATATTGATCTGGGTAAATATTGTCCTGCCACTTAGTTGATATATTTTTGTGTGGAAAGGATATTTAAGTCTTATTTTGGTGAAACTACAATGTCTAGAGTTTCCATATTTGACATGAAGCATTGCCTTGTTGGGCTCTACAAAACTGGTATTAATCATGCCCCTTGAGTCAATGTTGACCCTGCCCCTTGGGTCACTTAGTTCATAAAGTCTTATATGAGAAAACACATTTCAGCCTTATTTTGTGAAACTATGTACAATGCCAAGAGCTAAGATATTTAGCATGTAACATTACCTTGTAAATATCTGCAAAATTGATATAAATCATACCCCTAGGGTCAAAATTTGCCTGCCCAAAATTCATTTGATTAAAAGGAAAACACATCTAAGGATTATTGATAAACTACATAGCCCAGAGCTTAGATATTTGGCATGTAGTATCAATTTTCAGATTTCTACAAAAGTTATCTTAATCATGACCCTCAGGTCAAAATAGGCCCTCTCCCTGGAGTGACTTGCCTCGTGTAGGATGTAGGAAAACACATCTTCTTGTGGATAATACTATGCATACATGTATATATATTTGGCATATAGCATTGTCTAGTATACTTAGAAAAATTATGAATTTTATAGGGTATTTTCATGTTTGGATATGGCACAAATATTAACATATGTATCACAATGTGAATTTTGGCTAAAATTATCTTCATTTGTTGCTGATTTCCAAATAATTAACCTGACAGGGTTTTTTGTGCATGTTTTGCATCATTACAGGTCAACATTGATTATATATTGCTTTTAGTGTATTTTTGATAATTTTCTCTATCTTTATGTTGGATGTCTAAAATGACAACAAAACACAACAACACTGCTTCAAACATGATTTGCTATTAGTGAGGAACTGTAAAACAATCGATTGCATTTTGTATTTATTTTTTTCAATTGATAGATCCCTACTTTGACCTCAATTTGAATATCAATAGATTCAACCACAAACGTAAGCATGTGCTCTTTTGTTAACAGTGAAATTCTTATTGTCAGGGATCTATGCATTATAGCTCATATTTACAAAAATACTTCAAAATTCTCTAACCGTTCCTGAAAATGGTGTCCTATATGGGAGTTTAACCAGCATACATGTTTTTACAGCAAACCCACATACATTGTATCTTTCTAACTAATGACATTTCAGTGAACCATATGAAGTTAGTCTTCTGTGATATAGGTGCGTGGGTCAGATGCTTTATGACAATGCACAAATCATCAGATTGTGAATTAGCACCTTTAAGTTAATACTTTATTTTTTCATTATAGGAACATTGTCTTACCTTAAGGAATATGAGACAGATCGTCAAAGAAAAGTGCTGCCAGTAATTGGTACCATAGATGGCCTGCACAGACTTTACAACACTGACTTTACACCTATTGTATTACTCCGGACACTTGGTTTACAAGCTGTAAATGCATTGACGCCTTTAAAGGTTTGTCATGCTTTTTTCTGTTTTACTATTTCAAATTAAAAAATTATTTAAATCAGTGCTGTGGTCACCAACTCTTAATCAGTCACTCAATACTACCAAATGTTCTTTTCATTCATGTGTGGAAGCCATTAATTTAGTTAGTTCTACTTAGATACTTACTTGTGCCTTAATAATTTCCTATGGGAACACTGGGAAATATTTTTAAGACCTAAATGAAAACTAAGAAATTAAGTTTATCATTGATGCATTGCAGTCTTAGAATTGGAAAATGAGACACAAGCAAATTTAAATGTCATTATCAATGTATTTGGATAGTCTATATGTAATGATACAAAAAAACACTGTATTGAATTGAGCTACATATAAATGGTAATTCAACCCTTCATTGGCTTTGGAGCCAAGGGAATCTATATCTTAATTTGATCTTATTTAGGATGAGCTGTGTCATTGTGTGTCTATAAAACCATCTCCTTAACTACTTGGCCAATGATGTTAAAACTAAGCAGGAATATTTCTACCATGAAGCTTTTTCATATTTGTTCCTCCAACAGGGGTCACCCAACCAAGGGCAGCAACTTGTTTGCCCAAGGGATTCTGATGCAAACTGCAACATATGAGAGATATTATTATTCTGAAAACAAAGGCTAGAGCTTATTTTAATGGCGAGAACTTTTGCAAAAAAAACATTGTCTAGATGATCTTTTCTAATTTATTTTAAATTTCTGCCCTCTAATCAAAATTGACCCTGTCTATGGAGGTCATTGATATTCCTAGTAGGCCTATATATTGTGGAATTATACATAGAAAAGTCGCACAAAAAAATTTGAAAAATCCTCTCCACAGAGCATGCAGTCTGTAGCTTAGATATATGGCATGAAACATGACTAGTGGACCTCTTTAATGATTGTTCTAATTATAGCCCCCCTCCCCACCAAGTCATAATTGTCCCTGCCTAAGGGGTAATATTTCCCTTATGTATTATTTTTAGTAAAAACAAATCTTTTCCTCTATACTAGCCAAATGCTAAGACAGATATTTGGCATTAAACATTGTCTAGAGAACCTGCTCCAGGTGGACATGACCCAGGGACCTAATTTTTGTGTTGCCTTTAAAAAGGCGACATATAGGGGTTCCTTTTGTCGGCGGTGGCGGCCTCGTTGTCGCCGTCCCCTTAAGCTTGTCTGGAGCATAAGTCAGTCATTATAAGTCGGATTGACTTGAAACTTGGTATGCATGCTATGCTTCTTATAATGACCTGAAGTGCACTGCACAAGAACCAGTACTCTGCACTTATTTTTTGAGTTATTGCCCTTTGTTAATTTTCATACTTTATTTTTGTCTGGGCCATTTCTCCTAAAGTATAAAAGCTATGGACTTGAAACTTCATAGGATGATAGATCTTATTGATAAGAAGTGCATGCTGCTCTGCATTTCTTATTTTTTGAGTTATTGCCCTTTGTTAATTTTCATACTTTATTTTTGTCCAGGCCATTTCTCATCAATTATAAAAGCTATAGACTTGAAACTTCATAGGATGATATATCTTATTAAGAAGTGCAGTGCACAGAAACTGTTGCTCTGCATTTCTTATTTTTGAGTTATTGCCCTTTGTTAATTTTCATATTTCATTTTTGTCCTGGCCATTTCTCCTAAACTATATTGTTCACAAGGCGACACATCCGACTCGCGGAGTTCTAGTTTGCTTTGAGAGCTACAGCTTTGAAATTGGACTTAGTGCTTGTGTATGCACAGTTTCTAATGCATTTATCAGTTCCTCAAGATGTTGACAAAATGGCAGCTTTTAGAGCCAGATATAGGGCTTCCATGGCCCTTTTGTTTTATAAGCACATATCTTTGTTTAAAGTAGAACAACCAACTACTGACCAGTACACAAGTTCAAGACACTGATTGCTTTGTAATTGCTTTGTAATTTTATGTATTTCAGGACAAAATAATTGAACAGGCATCCAAAAAGTGATAGAAAAAAGGATGGAATATAAAAGGCTGTTGGTGCAATAAAGTTTTTCTAAGACTGCTAGAATGTTGTTATTTTGGATTGTACACTTTTGTAGAAATAAAAAAGGAAAGATTTTTTCATTTTGAGTGCTGTCATTTATTCAAACAAATTATGCCTTGCTTTAGAAATAAGATTTAAGTCAAAAGTGAATGGATTTTACTCTTTTTGTACATTTCACAAACTGCAGAGGCACAAGAATGCATTTATAGCCTGAGCTTGAAGGATTTAACAAGTCTGAGGGTCCCTGCAGATGTTCATACTTAAAAAAGGTGTATTAGCACTTTTCTTGCATAAAAGTATAAATCAAAATCAGTTATTTTGTGTTTTGTTATATTTTGTATCAAGATACCATTGCTTGTTTGATGCTTTCCATATGGTAGTGCAACATCATTTGATAGTTATATTTTGGTAATAAAATTTATATTTTGGTAATAAAACTACTGGGATGATCATTGTATTAAGCTGTTTTGAACATTGCACCCAGAGTCACGCATATGAAAAAACGAGCATCAGTGATGCATGGTCACAAGAATTTATCAGTTAATACACGTTTTGTCATCCATTAATGTATACCTGCCTGCCCAGTTTTTATTTAAGAATAAGTATTGTGTTTGTAATACAAAATACTCAATTATTGTAACAAGGGTTATGAGAATGAGTGATCATGAAGGATTTCAGCGACTGTTTTTGGTGACTTGGGATGCAATAAACTCATTATTAATGTTATGCCCCTTTTTAAGCAATTTTTAAGTTTTCGATAGTGTTTATTATTTAGTGTGCAAGTAGGTTATATTGAAACACAGGTAAAGTTCAATTTAAGCTGCAATCAAAATCACATTAAAAGTTATGCCCCTTTTAAGTGGTAATTGGTTTCAGCAGAAAACCAAGATTTCAATGTTTGTGTTATTATTATTTGGCATGCATGTTTGTTGTTTCAAAACAAGACTAGAGTTATATGCGATTGTCATTGCAATCAACTCGTTTCAAAATCACATTCATGCCAAAACACATTTACACCAATTTCACAAAAAATTGCTGAAAAGGGGCTTGACTCTTAACAAGCAATTTTTTGTGAAATTGGTGTAAATGTGTTTTGGCATGAATGTGATTTTGAAACAAGGTCAAGGTTTGATTTTCTCTGCATTTAACTAATTGCAACCTCGATTTTAATGATTTCTTTTTATCAAAATGAATTCACAACATTCAATTACCTTCTATTACATATATGTTCACATCTGATGGAAAAGTCATAATCTGAGTAAATTTGCTATCTTATAAATAAGGCACATTTTTTGCCTTCTTGTCAAAACTTGGCTTTCTGTGACTGCTTCTTCTTTGAAAGTGATGCAACTTCATTAGGTTTCATTCATCGGTTGCATAAAAATTTTGGTCAGATTGTCTGGTAATTTATGTTAAACATAGGAAATAGTTTCTGAAAGTCTGAATGCTATTTGCTACTTAAAGACAATATGAGGGATTATATATTTTTATTCTCTAAAGGTATCTGTTGGACAATAGCAATAACAACTGGCATCAGGATGATGCTGCTGCGTCTTGGCAGTAGGACCAAGAGTCACTCAAAGAAAAGAAGCATAATAGTGTCTTTATACTTGCCGCTTAAATATTCAACAGATTAAACTTTGTTGAGAACCTCAAGAGGGAGTTGATACAATGCACCCCTGCAGCCTTTAAGGTCTTGTGATATTTAAGCCAATATTATAGCACAAACTAAAAATTTTCTTGCAATTCATAGCCCCGATTCCAGTTAAACATGTTGGTCAAGTTATGGTTCTTTGACACTGCCTTCCCTCTACCAAGATTAATTTAAAATATGTGTGATATCATTGATAGTGTAGATGTTCTACTCCAGATAAGCATTATTAAGCGAAGTAATCAATAGTTCTTTGACACTGCACTTCATCGCTGCTTGAAGTTTGAATTCAAATTCTTAAGTACTTTTAAAAGTTATTCTCCATACAAGAGTGGGAGAGATGGACAAGGCAGCGACTAATTTTATGCCTTCCCTTCAGGGAGCATAAACGCTTTTAAGTTGGTAGGACTGTTAATTCAAAGCTGTCAGTTGGGCGCTCTCGGCAATAAGAAAAGGGGCATAACTTAAGAGGAGTCAGTTACTGGACCTTTGCCGATCATGTGAGATAATCAGAGGACAAAGTTCTGTGTGAAGTTTCAACCCAAACACTTCAGTAGTTTTGGAGTAAAATGCGATGCTAATGTCTGGCCGAGTGGAATAGTTAAACTAAACAAGATTGCATTTGTCAAAAATGCCATGCCACCGCATAAATACAACACTAAATAGTAATGTAGGAACACAATTTTTTTGTTTCTATACAGATTGCCATAATGCATAGATCACTAACCTATCTGTTATTATCAGATTAGTACCTTCAGACAATAAGATTTTTTACTATATGTACATATTGAAAATCAATGACCCCCAGGGTGGGGCCAATTTTGACCCCAGGGCTTTAATTTGAATAATCTTGCTAGAGGTTCACTACACAATGTTTAACGCAAAATGTCTCACCTCTAGCCTTTGTCAATTCAAGTAGATGATTTTTTAGTTTTTACTATATACATGTAAGGAAAACCTATGATCCCAGGGGCGGGGCTAGTTTTGACACTAGAGGCAAAATTTGAACAACTTTGGTAGACTACCTATAGATGATATCATATAACAAATATTAAAGCTCTCAGGCTTGTACCTTCAGACAAGATTTTTTGATTTTTTACTATATGTACATATTGAAAATCAATGACCCCCAGGGTGGGGCCAATTTTGACCCCAGGGCTATAATTTGTACAATCTTGCTAAAGGTTCACTACACAATGTTTCATGCAAAATATCTAACCTCTAGCCTTTGTGAATTTAGAGAAGATGATTTTTTAAGTTTTTACAATATACATATAAGAAAAACCTATGACCCCCCGGGTGGGGCTGACTTTGACACTAGGGGCAAACTTTGAGCAACTTTGGTAGAGTACCTATAGATAATAACACATACCAAATATCAAACCTCTAAGCCTGGTACCTTCAGACAAGAAGGTATTTTAAGTTTTTACTATATGTACATATGGCTGCTAATGTTTGCGGATGACGTAGCCTTGATTGCACAAACAATTAGAGATTTACAATATCAACTTAATGTATTAGAAACGTTTTGCAAGTCTAGTTGTTTGCAAGTAAATATATCAAAAACAAAAGTCATGGTTTTTAAAAAGGGCAGTCGATTAGCGCGTAATGAATGTTTTTATTATAATAATCAGCAACTTGAAATAGTTAATTCTTTTACCTATGTTGGAGTAACATTTACATCTACTATGTCGTTAAATATTATGAGCAGTGAACTTGCAATGAAAGCTAAACGAGTATTATTTTCTTTACTTTCTTCTTTGTATGATTATGGACAATTGCCTTCAAACATATTTTTTAAATTATTTGATACCAAAATATTACCGATCCTTCTGTATGGATCCGAAATATGGGGTTTTAAACCCCGTGAAAATTGTGAGCTTATTCATCGTTTAGCTTGTAAACGATTTTTATGCGTAAATAGAACATCTAGTAATAATGTAGTATTAGGCGACTGTGGTCGTTATCCAATTTATGTAGAATCTGCCATGCGTTGCATAAAGTACTGGTTCAAATTATTGAAATTACCTAATGACAGATATGTAAAAATTTGTTATAGAATGCTTTCAAGTACAACATGTGCTAAATATTTTAATTGGGCAAATGAAATTGAACATCTTTTATGTAGTAATGGGTTTGGGCACGTTTGGGTTGAACCAAGGAGTTCAAAATGAAAGATTGTTTCTCCATTTGTTTTGTCAAAGACTTAAGGATAATTATTTGCAAGGATGTATAGCAAGTTAGATTCTAGTGATTGTCTCTCATTGTATAATCGTATTAAAAATAATTATGACCAGGAAACTTATATATCTATCTTAAATATCAGGAAATTCAGACATTGCTACGCTCAATTACGTTCAGGGCTTTCACATTTAGAAGTGACTAAAAAGTCATATAGAAAAAATTAACACGAATGATTGGAATTGTAAAGTATGTTCCTTAGGATTATTTGAAAATGAATTTCACTTTCTACTAGTCTGTCCTGTATACGCAGATTTAAGAGCAAACTATATTGCTAAGAAATATTATACTTGTGCAACAGAGCACAAATTGAATATATTATTATCGTGTAAAAATGAAAATGTTATAAAAAGTCTTGCCAATTATGTTTATCATGCAACAATTCGAAAAAAGATGATTATGCAGTTTTGATTTAGATACGTCTATATTTTATCATTAACAATGTAATTTGTGTGAATTGTTATAATATATTAATGAGTGTATCCACATAACTTTGTATCTTTTTAATGTTACAATTGTATATGTTATGGGCTGGTGGCCTAAATCAATAAATTCTGTTCTGTTCTGTTCAAAATATAGTGAAAATCAATGACCCCCGGGCAGGGCCGATTTGGACCCCAGGACTATAATTTGAACAATCTTGGTAGAGGTCTACCAGACAATGCCTTATGCAAAATATCTAAGCTGTAGGCCTTTTGGGTCTTTACAAGAAGATTTTTTTAATTTATTCTTATAATTCCTTTTGGTTGCCATGGCAACCAGATTTCTGCATGGAATGAAATTCTTTGAACAACTTTGGAAGCCCTTCACCCAAGGATCAATCCTGCCAAGTTTGGTTTAAATTGGACAAGTGGTTTTTCACAAGAAGATGCTTTTAAATATAGAACGTCAAACAGTGATTTTATAGCATAATAACACACACTTTCGGTTCCTCTATGTTCAATAGGGAAAAATGCGGGTCGTGTTAGAATTAATAGTAATTCACATTTACAAATTGTGGGAAATTCACAATTTATCAGAAATTATGCTAATTATACAGTATTATTTTAGCAATATTTATGTTGTTTCAAGATCTTGTTGGTTGCCAGGGCTATGTTGTTCAATTTGCTCACAATGGTGTAATTACATTTTCAGAGCGTGGATGGCACTGTATATTTATAGGAATTTACAACTCTTTTTCCTCTTCCAGGTTTAAGTAAACCACTTCCCGGTCGACATGCCAGTTCATTGTTAAATTTCAAGAGAAGCAACTCTCAGTGGTTATCTGCCTCTCAACAGAGGTTTCAAGTCATACGGAAATCATGGCCAGATTTTCACGGACAAGTTCTTTCTAATCTGGAGTGGTTCAAGAATGCTACAAACTTTTTTCACAATCTAGTATAATAATACAATAGTTCAAAAGTTGCTTGTTCTTTGACAAGACTTTTTTTTACCCTTGGTACTGGGACAATGTACATGTATTATAAATGAACAGTGTACTGGACAGAATGATCAAAATCATGAAAATTATATGAATAAACTAAAATTCTTCAAGATTGGTTTGATAGTTTAAACTTCTGTTCAATGCTATGTATTTATAATACATGTACATGTTGTATAAGATCGGATATAAATAAACACAAACTAGTATATAAAGTTAAACCAAAGTTTATTTAAGATTTTTATTATTAAATTTACACCAAATGTAAATAATTGTATCTGTTCTCTATGTTTAATATAGGCTGCCAACTAGCAAATTGGACCATATACCATTTCAAGCTTGTAAATGCAACATTAAAAAGAACAGTAAAATAAGGACATTCAGTATTTATTTGTCCATTTCAAGTTTTTTTCTGATTGCAGCCTTTTAACATCTGACTTTTTTTACAAGCAGTATGGAGGACAGCATTATCTCAAATTTGAAGGAAGGTCCAATTGGCAGTCTTTGGCCATTAATGAAGAAATTTTCAATTGTGGTTTAAAATAAACTTTTTTCATGAAACTGATAATATATTTTACAAAAACAGAAAATCCTAATACTTGAAATTTAGAATTTAAAATTTTGTGGTCTAAAGGTCAGGTAAAATCATGCTGCGAGCCGGCTACCCAACCCTACTCCGTCGTGGGAGGGGGAGGTATGATTTCCCAGTGCTCAAGTCCAGCTAAAGGATGTTTACTCATCCCCCTGACCATATTGGTGATTTGATAGTCCAAAACAAAATGACCTTAAATGACCATATACTACACTTGCTTTGCATATCTATCTTATTTTTCCTTGGTACTAGCTGTAAAGTGATCTAGTGCTCATCAGCTAAAGGGGCTTCCCAGGCAGAATTCCAATAATGCTGGTTCATGCTTACGTAACTGAAATAGAGCTTCAAGGAAACAACCATCCAAACAAACAATACCAACAGAGAAATGCAGCAATTTTAACAACTGAATAAAGGAAACCAACTTTCAGACCTTATGACAAAAGCATAATAGTCAAAACATTTCCAAAACAAGTCATTATAAATATATTATGAAAGTGGATAAATAAGCATGTAAGATTATAAAGACAAATAGAAGTCTAATAAACAACTGTAAATAAATATAAATCAACTATCTTTACACATATTTTACTTCAAAATACATTCTCCAGTATCACAGCACTTCATAGCATTCATTAGGACTTTAACTTTCTTCAAGCCTAAAATATAAAGCAGCTCAAATTCTCACCCCTCCCCTGTATATTTTACTTAACAATACACTTTTACTAAACTATACATGTATTTTAATAAAAGTATTTATCTAGCCTGAAACTATGATAATTAATGACAAAGGAATGCAATATCTGCACAATGTATCACTACAGTCAAATATTCACAAATAAGATATCTTTGGAGAATAAATAATTTACTTGCTGTTTGAACAATGATGTTCCATCAATCTTTCATTAACACCTTTCAGAGGATAAGAAATCTGTTCTTGGAAAAAAATATGGTTTTCCTTCCAATTCAACTAAAATTGGCGACACCTACAACTACATTATACATCTCCCAACAAACAAAACATTTATAGGCAAGTACAATATTGTTAATTTTTTTTTTTCTGTTGATTAAAAGCTGTAAATTTCTCTTATGTAAAATATTCAATCTAATGCTCAAAGCTATATATACAACAGTCTTCAGAAAAATCATAAAGGGAAAAGTATTCTAGTAAGCAACAGTTAAGGTAGTAAGTAATATTTGTAGTTAAATAATGTTAACCCGATTACATACTAATGTTTTTAAAATGCACCTTAGTAATTTCAAACTTATCTGAATCATTCTTGGTTTGCAATACATATATTTACCTTTCACATTTCTATATATTTATTCTTTAACTGACTAAGATTTCTTTCTCCATACAAATCTACACTCACATTACTGCTCATCTTGGAACATTACACTGGCCTTGAAAGCATGGCCATCTTATCACTTGTTCCAGATAATAGGCGTTTTCACAAACAAAAAAGTCTACTTTTTCTTATCTGAAAAGATTGCTTTAAAATGTTACCAGGTCCCACCCCCCTAAAAACAAGACTAAGATATTTAAACTTATTAAAACTTTACATATACTAAAATCAAAGAATTTACTTCAATACTTTTTAATATAAGACTTACTTAGCACTTACAATTTCAACTATTTTTAAAGTGTAATTAATTTCAACTATAGAAGAAATTTTATAGAACATACAACACAAAATTCAGACTCTACATACGTCCGTCATCTTATTCTTGATGTGTATCTTCCATGTTTCAGCAACTTTAAGCAGGTTTTATCTGCAACAGTCTTTAAAAATATAAAATCCCCCCTCCCAATTAAGTTAACATCTTAAATTGAAGTATATCTTTACTTAACAAATTTCAGTGCATATATTTATTTTCAATTCTTTGTGATTTAAGATAGAAAAGGATAACTGCAACACATGACTTATTTTACTACTAGCACTTCAAATCATTTACTTGATAAAATAAATAATGAAGTTGCTTTCCTAAATAAATGAATTTGTTACAAATGGTGATGGCAATTCAGTCTCTCGTGAATGATAGATGGCAAATAAGTGAACTGGAAATACCTTTTTACTCATAGCCCTGTAAAAGACTAAAAAAAAGAAATCAGACCCCACCCTATTACCCCCAATAAGTTTTGATTAATAAGACAGAATAGCTTACAAAAACACAAAGTAAAAATACACAGGCAGAAAATGAACAATAGTTTACGCATGATATTCTAATTTTTATAAATTAAGCTATAGTTGAAAACACTAAAAAAAATAGCATATGAAAGCAAAGGCCACTTGCCAATTGTTAACATTTGCACTTTATACCTTGACTGGCATCTTTCAAAAACAACAATTTTTTCATTAGTTTGAAGGTGAACACCATTCTGTTAAAAATGTTCTGAAAGAAAAAACAAAACACTCCCCACTCCACCTAAAAACAAATCAAGGCAATCAAGTTCCCAACAAGATTTGAACACAATGTTAGCTATTATACAACTATAAATCAAGGAAATGCTAATAAAATTCAGAGTTACTTTCATCTTATAAAATAAAATAATTTTCAGTGAACACACACTTAAAACCTGCAATTATGAAAGCTCAAGTCAAGCTCATATTGTATAATTTTCTGTTGATTAAAAGCTGTAAATTTCTCTAATGCAAAATATTGCTAATCTCATGCTAAAAGCTATATACAACAATCTTAAGAAAAATCATTAAGGGAAAAGTATTCTAGTAAGCAACAGTCAAGGTAGTAATATTTGTGGTTATATAAAGTTAACCCAATTCCATACTTATGTTTTTAAAATGCACCTTAGTAATTTCAAACTTATCTGAATCATTATTGGTTTGCAATACATATATTTACCTTTCACATTTCTATATATTTATTCTTTAACTGACTAAGATTTCTTTCTCCATACAAATCTACACTCACATTACTGCTCATCTTGGTACATTACACTGGCCTTGAAAGCATGGCCATATTATCACTTGTTCCAGATAATAGGCATTTTCACAAACAAAAAAGTCTAATTTTTATCTGAAAAGATTGCTTTAAAATGTTACCAGGCCCCACCCCCTAAAAAAACAAACAAGACCAAGATATTTAAAGTTATTAAAACTTTACATATACTAATATCAAAGAATTTACTTCAATACTTTTTAATATAAGACTTACTTAGCACTTACAATTTCAACTATTTTTAAAGTGTAATTAATTTTAACTATAGAAGAAATTTTATAGAACATACAACACAAAATTCAGACTCTACATACGTCCGTCATCTTATTCTTGATGTGTATCTTCCATGTTTCAGCAACTTTAAGCAGGTTTTATCTGCAACAGTCTTTAAAAATATAAAATCCCCCCTCCCAATTATGTTAATATCTTAAATTGAAGTATATCTTTACTTAACAAATTTCAGTGCATATATTTATTTTCAATTCTTTGCGATTAAAGATAGAAAAAGACAGAAAGGGATAAATGCAACACTGACTTATTTTACTACTAGCACTTCAAATCATTTACTTGATAATACAACATAAGTACTTATGAAGTTGTTTTCCTAAATAAATGAAATTAGTTACAAATGGTGATGGCAATTCAGTCTCTTGTGAATGATAGATGGCAAATAAGGGAACTGGAAATAGCTTTTCACTTGTAGCTCTGTAAAAGACTAAAAAAAGATAAATCTGACCCCACCCTATTACCCCAATAAGTTTTAATTAATAAGAGCACACAGCTTACAAAAGCACAAAGTAAAAATACACAGGCAGAAAGTGAACAATAGTTTACGCACGATATTCTAATTTTTAAAAATTAAGCTATAGTTGATACACTAAAAAAATAGCATATGAAAGCAAAGGCCACTTGCCAATTTTTAACACTTTATATATACCCTGACTGGCATCTTTCAAAAACAACAATTTTTTCATTAGTTTGAAGGTGAACACCATTCTGTTAAAATGTTCTGAAAGAAAAAACAAAACACTCCCCACTCCACCTAAAAACAAATCAAGGCAATCAAGTTCCCAACAAGATTTGAACATAATGTTAGCTATTATACAACTATAAATCAAGGAAATGCTAATAAAATTCAGAGTTACTTTCATTATCTGATAAAATTATGTTCAGTGAATACACAATTAAAACCTTCATTTATGTTTGTTAAAGTCAAAGCTCACATTGTATATTATTCAAAACCTATTATTTCTTATCTTCATAAGTTCAGAAATAGTTTCTGCTTACAATATTGTCCATCATTAATGTTACCTTAACTTTGATAAATTACATGATTCTGTCATGCAAAGGTCAAACACATTTCTAAGGGTGAACACTCCCATTTTTTTCTCAAGTTATTCTGAAATATAAATAAAACTTGCCCCACCCTACCTACAACAAATCAAGCAACAAGTCTTTGAACAATATAAATAGTGCAATTATATAAATCTAAAAAACCGTGTAACTACATGCTGTATAACCAATACATTTTAATGTTAATATTTAGTAACATCAAGCTCTTGTATGTGGATGCTTATATTGCATTAAATTTAATAAAACCTTTTACACACTTTTTATATCTATCTTAATCTGTTTTAAAAATCATCATTTCAATCAAGTAATGGACTAAAACCTATTTCCACAAACAAAATATCTAACACACAAAAACTAGAGCAATAACAAAGAGAAAATTGGAATAAGTTGCTTTTGTGAAATCGATGAATAATTGAGGAAACTAAGGGAGAATTTGACTCAACAGTGACACAATTTCAAGTTTGCAACTGATACACACAAATATGATGACCCAAACTTCCCCATGTACAATCATAACTAAAAAGCAGTGTATACAAGTACAATATTACAGTGAGAATAAATTTAGGAACTATTATAAATTCCTATCAATAAGCTAATAAGATATCTATTACTATTCCAATTACTGAAAACATAATGTAGATAAAAGCAACAACCACTTGCCCCTTGTTTTAACTTGTGCTTTAACTAGAACTCAAAACTTGCAAGAAAACATCACAAAAATTCAGGCCAAGTTTGATGATTAATCAACTACACACCTAGCTCTGAAAAATAAAAAACAACATACCCCAACCCCATTAAAAAGCAAAAACAGCAACAAAACATTTTGAAATGAAGAAATGCTGACGTCAAATTAAATTACACATTACAGACAAGAAAACTTAAATATAACGGCTAGTATAATCATTTAAAAGCTAATTTATAATTAAAAATAAGAGTATAGTGAAGAACCAAAATTTTTAGTACATTTTATAGAATTCATTATCGAACTACAAAAAAATATTTGCTTACTTCTATTTTCTGAAGATAATGCAATACATAAACTTCTACTAGAAGATAATGCAATACAAAAACCTTGATGTATAAATGATTTCTAAAAATATATTATTGTTAGAAAAGAAACCAATGTATTCTAGCCATAAACATTATTTTTTAATTGTGTACACAGGTATATTTATAAGAAAAGTAAAGACTCATGCCTGCTACAACTGTTTCAATACAATTTCAAGACTAAAATCTTTACAGCATCTGAAATAATCTCAAGAACAATTATATGCCCCAATCCCAACCCAGTTAGTATCATTTTCTTTAATTTAAATAATAGAAATATACAATACACATCTATTATAATAGCTAATTTAATAAGTTATAATTGAATAGTTAGTATTTAATGTATTGCCTCTAAACATATTTGAGGTAAATTTACCACATTTATTTACCTATCATATTATTTTATATTTAAGGTATATTTATCACATTTATTTACAGATCATATTATTTGACAAATAAATAGGAAACAGAGCTAAAGATAGACAAAAATTGAGTAAATTATCTGGTTAAAGTAAACTGATTACAAAAAGCACACTGTGAATACAAATAAGGAAATGAAATGCATAAAAAATATAAATAATTCTTTAAAATATATCTACCTCAGTACTTGGTAAAACAAACGAGCATAAAAAAGAAATGACAACAGCTTGTCCTATATTCTCACTTGGACCACCAACTTCCACACTTCAAAAACTACTGGATATATCCTAGTTTAGTCTTTAATATGGTAATTATTTTAAATTTAGCAAGTTGATCTGAAAGATAATCAAAATATGCCCCATCCCCTAGACAACATAACTGATTTAACAAAATTCTTCGATATTTCATTAAAAATTGCAGGTACTAATTTGGCAAATAAGACTTACATGTCTAAGAATAGATATGTCTCTAAAACGAGTATTGAAATTTGTTATTATTAACCACATGCAGTAGTTCTTACAACAATTACATTTTCACAATATAAATTTAGCACTGCATCTGCAATGTCTAAGGGGAACACCAAATTCCAAGCAAACAAACAAGTGTAAAAAAAACTGTCAAACTTGAATCTTCCAAGATATTCTTGATCATTTCACATAGCTATTAATTAATACTTATCTAATAATACTGTGTTTACTTCAAATAGTTTTTTTTAATGAAGCATTTATTCTTTTTAGATCAGATGCCTTATGTTAGTTATGAAATAATGTCAAAACCAATCTGTTAAATACCTTTCCTCATTACTGTTAGCTGCAAAAGTCAGACCCCAATTCCTAATGGTATTACTCTTAAAGAAAGTCTGTGCAAACAAACAAAGTATGATATGCAAAGCAGTAATTCAATCAAACAATGAACAAAAATATCTAAGTTTAATCAAATTATTTTACTAAAAAAGTGCAAGTATACAAAAGCAATGGCCACTTGCCCTAATCCCAACTTTTGCTTTCAATCCAAAAAAGCTGGCAACTTTCAACTTCTTTGAAATAAACATCAACAAGAAAACTGATTAAACCTGAAGGCCATTCCTCAACTGCAACTAAATCTGAAAGATAAACAAAATATACCTGGCCACCCCGCCAAGCAACTCCAAAGACAAAATTTATGACAAAAGCTGATCAGCCAGTTTGGTATTTTGAAAAATTATCAGTGAAAGAACTCTTTACATAAAGCAACTTCTCACTACTGAACATTCATTGTCAACATGAAATAATTAAAATCTATCACAATTCCTTAAATCATAACCAGAAAAATAAGGGTCACAATTCTATAGCAAATTTCAATGTTAAAAAATTGTTCTCTTTCATTACTAGGCCAGAAATACTATATTTGGCCAGAAATATTAAGAAATTATTGTTTCTTCTCTGATTAACAAGAACATCTGTTTTGATTTTCCAGAACTGTAATGTTACATGTCAATCTCATCAGCATCTGCAATAATCTATGGAATTATTATACCCACACCCACCCCAACAAATTATGGAATTTTAGTATGCAACATAAGTTGATATTATAATATTAACAATTTTTAAGAAAGTAACAAATCTCTTTAACATCATGTACTTGCAGAAGTCAAAATAAAGACAAAGAATTACATGAAGGTAATCAAATATTTTGAATGATGGTTGACTATGTACCTGATAAACGATGACAAACAGACAAAGCTTTTCCCTTCACTGCCACTTTTCTCTGCAAAAAACTAGAATATTTCAACCCAACTCTGCCCCCCAAATAGCCGACTATAATGCAAATACAAATTACAATGTGGAGAGAAATATATCAATGACAAACAAGTAATTAAATAAAAAATGCATAGCAAGTTGTCTAATCTAATGCTATTAAAAATATTGAGCTATATACTATTGAGATAAAGCATGTATATATGGCCACTTCTCCCTTGTTTTAATATAAGCTTCAAACACTTGGAATTTGCATCCTACCAGAAAGACATGCAACATCAATGCTGTTAAAAAATCAGTAAGTAAATACACAAAGCGAGTGTGTTTTTGAAGTATAAACAATACATTCCTCACCACAATCAACTTTAAGGAGAAAAGAATTACTCTGATAATGCAGTAAAAATATCCAGATTCCTATTCTACAATCATATTTGATGGCAATCTGAAGTAATTTTCAAAATGCATTCTCTTTTGAACTTGTCATCCTCTTCCATGAAAAACTACTTGAAGCCATGGAGTACTTCATTATTTCGAAATCAGTGCTATGAAATCTGCAATATCAAACGGTTACATACCCAAATGCCAAAACATGTTATTTTAGACAGCAAACAGAACGTTATGCAACTTTATTTCAAAATTAAAAGAACTTGTGCTTCTTGAAATTTGTCAGTTTAGTGGTGCAGACCATATGTCTCTTAGCTAAAGCAAAAAAAAAAATATAATCATTTTAGTGGTGCAAACTGTAGGTATATTAGCTATAGAAAGACAAAAAAGATCTTATCAAGTATGCAACCATCTGTATCTGGTCAAAATAACAACATGAGGGAACTGGGACAAAGCTTTTCTCATCACACATTGGAGATTCTGCAAAACACTAAAAAAGTTCAAACTCCCCCCTGACCCCCAAAAACAGTAAAATAAAAAAGAAATGCATGTACAGGATTCAAAAGCATATAATGAAAAAGAAAGGTAATTTTTTTTAATTGATGTGTAAATAATATCACAAAATATCTGGATATTTGTTATAATTTTAATTTTATTACAATGAAATACATAAAGCATGTTAACTTGCCACTTGCTTTAAAAAACATGGAAATGAACTTGCTACTTATATAAATATGGAACCAGCATCTTTCAATTGTACGAAATAACACCAATGAATTCTGGTCTAGTCTTAGGGTGGTCACTTTACACGAAACAAGTTATTCTGAAAGATAAACAAAATATGCCCCCCCATCCCTAAAGAATGTGATAGAATTGCTTATGATAGCAAAAAAGAAGAAAAAAAGAAACACCTCTTAATTCAAAGGTGGAAACTCTTAAATTAGTACACAGACATCATTTTCAATAGCAATCTGAAATAATCACTGAAAATTAGTGTTTCAATTATTAAATATATTAAGCAAACTTTACACAAAATCTACACTAGAAAGACTTGAACATCAATTCTATTAAAATCAGTAAGAAAATATACAAAGCAGGTGTTTTTTGAAGGATAAACAATACATTTTCCATCACAATCAACTTTAAGGAGAAAAATAATCACTCTGATAATTAGTCAATATATCATGATCATATTTGATGGCAATCTGAAATAATCAAAATTAGACCTTTCGTTTCCCTCAATTTTCAAAATGCATTCTTTTCCCATATTTACATATGAAAGTATTCAAACTGGGTTATCCTCTTCCATGAAAAACTACTTGAAGCCACGGAGTACTTCATTATTTCGAAATCAGTGCTATGAAATCTGCAATATCAAACTGTTACATATCCAAATGCCACAACATGTTATTTTAGATAGATAGCAAACAGAAAGTTATGAAACTTAATTTCAAAAAAATTAAAAACTTGTGCTTTTTGAAATTTGTCAGTTTAGTGGTGCAGACCATATGTCTCTTAGCTAAAGCAAAAAAACATCATTTTAGTGGTGCAAACTGTAGGTATATTAGCTATAGAAAGACAAAAAAGATCTTATCAAGTATGCAACCATCTGTATCTGGTCAAAATAACAACATGAGGGAACTGGGACAAAGCTTTTCTCATCACACATTGGAGATTCTGCAAAACACTAAAAAAAGTTCAAACTCCCCCCTGAACCCCAAAAACAGTACAATAAAGAAGAAATGTATGTACAGGATTCAAAAACATATAATGAAAAACAAATGGAAGATTAAAATTGATGTGTAAATAATATCACAAAATATCTGAATATTTGTTTTGACGAGCATTACATTTTATTACAATGGAATACATAAAGCATGTTAACTTGCCACTTGCTTTGAATTTGCTACTTATATAAATATGGAACCAGCATCTTTCAATTGTACGAAATAACACCAACACATAAATTCTGGTCAAGTCTAAGGGTGGTTACTACACATAAGTTATTCTGAAAGATAAACAAAATATGCTCCTATCCCTGAAGAACGTGTTGTTTCTTCCATATCTGAAAAACACTAGGTTTAAACAAGAACCCCTATCATTGTACTATTTTGATTGAAACTAGAAAAGTGATGGTAAATATGAAATAAGGATGATGTTTAATGACTTGCTTATCATATATCTCTAGAATTACATTTCTCAACACAAGTAATTATGTAAATGTTCATTATAAATTACAAAACAAGCATACACATCTGGTAAACTATATATTCTAAACAAATATTAGTAAATTCAGAGTAAAGAATTTTACAGATTTGTATATGCAAAGCACAGTTATTAGAAAATGGTGAAATCTATTTGTAGTACTAGCACAACAACCTGGGAATTATGGTTTATTGGTATATATACCTTTGCATTCTATTTTGACAACAACACAATCACTGAAATAAACTTTCAAAATCATGTCACTTCATACACCTAGTTTTGAAAATGCATTAAAACCAATCCAATTTGAAAAGATATAAATACAAAAACAGACATCAATTAGTAGTACATTGAATAGATCTAGAAATGAAAGGTGGAAGTACTGTGTAGTTAAAGGCTAATCATCTCATCACTACTGAAATCTTTAATAATTACACCAACAATCTGTTGTCTGGAAGCTATTAACAAAATTATATATTCAATTCCCATAGAACTTCTTCTAACTGGACAACTTTAAAGCTATTTCTTCAGATATAATAAAACTTATCAAATCAAGTTTGATATATAAATAAAGATATTTATTCAAATTATTAATATGAAAACTCTATGCTTCAAATAACCTGGAAAACAAAATAACTGAACCACTTGATACATAGTCACCTAATAAGTCTAATGATATGGTCACTTTCAGTCTATACTTTGAAATCAAGCCATAGATGTTGCATTATACCCAGATACTGCTTTGAATTTCATGAAAACTTGCTGTTTAACCTGAAAAACTTGTTTCATTTTCTCCAACTACTGACACAATACTTATTTAATCTAAGTGCAATGATTCTTAGAAATATTAACAAGAAATTGTGCAATAAATTCTAGCATTATCTTCTATTCTATCATTATAGTATGGAAAAAAAACAACTAAACAAATTACATTAATACTATAATAACTTACATTAATGATGCAAAATGTACAACGTTGAACTATTAAAAACATGAAAAATATGTATGTTACTATACAAGGGCTTCATGTCAACCAATGGGTAAACTATTCAATATTGTTGTGGAACAATCTTCCATTTAGGAACAGGACTTCCTTCAAACAAAGCTGACAGGACAATATTCTTAGCTCTTTTATTGAATTATCTGAAATAAACTGTTGCAGTTCTCCAAAACAATAAGCATCTATTATTAAAAGTTTCTCCTTTCAATTAAAAATGATGTCTATATCTTTAAAAAAATGACCTTTTCATTTGATTTAGTTTACAAGAATTTTATACTTTTTATACTTTTACATAAACCATGTGTTTTGTCATTTCATTCAAATCTATTTCTGTCAATTCTTTAAAAAATAAAGGCAAATTAGAATTCTTTCGCCTACGACCTGTGTTGTCATCAACAAAATATTACCATTACAATTTCATTTTAATACAATATGTAAGCACTGCTGGATGAATTGAAACCTTTCACCATGCCAACTTTTGCTGAATAATAATTGTCTGCTACTTCTCTAGAGCTGAAACAAACTAGCTTTCACCTTTTCCAAACAAACTTTACCATTGTTATACCAAACAACTAGTTTCTTTTTTAAAACACTTAAAACTTGATTACAGACTTGGTAACTTTTCAGATGCTAAAGCAACTGTGTGTGATACCTTAGTTATAATTTGAAAAAGTCCTGATATTATAAATTACAAGAAAAATACAACATGCAGAAAATCATTATTCAATAATACCAAGTAAACATGCCAATGCACAGGGAAACAATCAAATGCAAAGGTCAATATATTTTATACCCTTCACAATGTAACGATGCCCTAAAGTATATGCTTCTTCATGGGTTGTTAATTCTATTCAATCTGCATCCAGGGTAAACAAATCTGAAAAGAACTGGCTTCATTTTTCTCCTAACAATGTATTCAAAAACTAATTTTGACCATAGAATTTGGTTTAATTGGTTACTCCCTTTAGCTTTACTTAAGACTTTAGGCATATAAAAATGATCTCAACATAATCAAGGTCAATCCAGAACATTTTAGTAGACTTTGTAAATGGCATCTCTTAAAGACTATAGGAAAACCTATTTCTTTCATTTCTGTCAATACATGCCTTGCAACATATACATTTCATTGCTTTTGGCATTTAAACCTGTATTTAATTAAAAGAATATCTACTTTTAAATAATCCTCAAGAGTTTTACCTTAAATTTTAGGATACATCTCTTAAAAGTCAACCTTGGCTGTTCATTTCATTCTGCTGGCAAAATGCCTGCTTACTTTGGCTTCTTATTTCAGGTCTACCTATTAAATGCCTTATTGATTTGCTTCTGCTGATAACCATCCCGTCAGATTTTTTTAATTCTAGAAAAAAACGTTTCATATTTTCCGAACAGACAAAATCACTCAAGGTAAAAAGTTCAAATGTTTATAAAATTAGTTTAATCTAAGCTACATTAACAGAACATCTAGTAAGAAAAGCTTAAAAACTTGTTATTCATTCTGGATACAAGATCACTGCTTTGTTTAAACTTCAAAAGTTAAGGTCTTACCCTCTTCCAAATGAACAGAAATAATACCATTCTCATCTAATGTGTTTATCTCTATAAAGTTTTCATCACAACCTACTTCTATTGCAAGGAAATCATTCCATCAATATAAGGGGTGGTAAATCAAACCTTGTCCCATTTAAAAAACTGAAGATGCCGTTGTTTGAACATGGATTACATTACTTCCAACTTAAAACTTCCAAGCTGTAAGGTCAGTGATCCCCACTATAAGAATCTGAAAAAGACTTCATTTTCCTCCAACGTACACATTAAAGAAATTGCTCTTATTATTATTTTATGAAGAGAATGTATCAATTTTTAAATAATTGTGAATTTTAATTGAAGAATACCTCTCTTGACAATCATAGCTCATCATTTCATTTTACTGGCAAACATAACTGGTCTCTCTTATTTTTGCTTGTATCTTTGCATCAACCTTGATATGTTTTAACTGCATTTTCAAAAGATGACCATCAAAACTGAAGAAAAGCCTTGCTTCAGGTGATCAATCAGCAAATGTAACCATACCAATGCAAGGGGAAACTCTTGAGATACTGTTGGCATGAAAACTATTACAAAGGCTATTGAAACGTCAACTTTTGAGGATTTCACTGAGTTGGAGAGCTGACCAAAGGCACTTTCTTTAATATGGATTACTTCACATCTGGCTTTAAACTGAAATCTTCTAGACGTGAAGTCCCTATCACAGGCTATTCAAATCAATCTGAAAAAGACTTCCTTCACTTTCCTCCCAAAATATACATTAAATTGGTATTGGCTTTGTTAAACCCATTTTTTATGATGTAAATGATATTAAGTCACTCTTGAAGTAAGTTGAGAATTTTTACCTTGAATTTTAGGATACCTCTCTTTACTCCTATCATACCTATTCATTTCATAATACTGGCAGAAGTCTCTCTTATTTTTGCTTGTATCTTTGCATCAACCTTGATATGTTTTAACTGCATTTTCAAAAGATGACCATCAAAACTGAAGAGAAGCCTTGCTTCAGGTGATCAATCAGCAAATGTAACCATACCAATGCAAGGGGAAACTCTTGAGATACTATTGGCATGAAGACTATTACCAAGGCCACTGAAAACGTCAACTTTTGAGGAATTCACAGAGTTGGAGAGCTGACAACAGGCACTATCTTGAATATGGATTACTTTACTTCTGGCTTTAATCTGTTAAGTCAATGTCACAGGCTATTCAGATCTGAAAAAAACTACCTTCACTTTCCTCCCAAAATAAACATTAAATTGGTCTTGGCTTTGTTATGATGTAAATGATAAAGTCACTCTTGAAGTAAGTTGAGAATTTTACTATGAATTTTAGGATACCTCTTTACTCTAATCATATAGCTTATCAATATTTCCTTTATTGGCAATCATCTTACCTATTTTGGCTTGTATCTTTGGATCAAACTTGATATGTTTTAACTGCATTTTCAAAAGATGACCATCAACACTGAAGAGGAGCATCGCTTCATGTGATCAATCGGCAAATGTAACCATACCAATGCAAGGGGAAACTCTTGAGATACTGTTGGCATGAAGACTATTACCAAGGCCATTAAAAACGTCCACTATTGAGGATTTAACAAAGTTGCAGCTGACCAAAGGCACTTTCTTTAATATGGATTACTTTACATCTGGCTTTAAACTGAAAACTTCTGGACGTGAAGTCCCTATCACAGGCTATTCAAATCAATCTGAAAAAGACTTCCTTCACTTTCCTCCCAAAATATACATTTAATTGGTATTGGCTTTGTTAAACCCATTTTTTATGATGTAAATGATATTAAGTCACTCTTGAAGTAAGTTGAGAATTTTTACCTTGAATTTTAGGATACCTCTCTTTACTCCTATCATACCTATTCATTTCATAATACTGGCAGAAGTCTCTCTTATTTTTGCTTGTATCTTTGCATCAACCTTGATATGTTTTAACTGCATTTTCAAAAGATGACCATCAAAACTGAAGAGAAGCCTTGCTTCAGGTGATCAATCAGCAAATGTAACCATACCAATGCAAGGGGAAACTCTTGAGATACTATTGGCATGAAGACTATTACCAAGGCCACTGAAAACGTCAACTTTTGAGGAATTCACAGAGTTGGAGAGCTGACAACAGGCACTATCTTGAATATGGATTACTTTACTTCTGGCTTTAATCTGTTAAGTCAATGTCACAGGCTATTCGGATCTGAAAAAAACTACCTTCACTTTCCTCCCAAAATAAACATTAAATTGGTCTTGGCTTTGTAATCATGTAAATGATAAAGTCACTCTTGAAGTTAGTTGAGAATTTTACTAAGAATTTTAGGATACCTCTTTACTCTAATCATATAGCTTATCAACATTTCCTTTATTGGCAATCATCTTACCTATTTTGGCTTGTATCTTTGGATCAAACTTGATATGTTTTAACTGCATTTTCAAAAGATGACCTTCAACACTGAAGAGGAGCATCGTTTCATGTGATCAATCGGCAAATGTAACCATACCAATGCAAGGGGAAACTCTTGAGATACTGTTGGCATGAAGACTATTACCAAGGCCATTAAAAACGTCCACTATTGAGGATTTAACAAAGTTGCAGCTGACCAAAGGCACTTTCTTTAATATGGATTACTTTACATCTGGCTTTGGACTGAAAACTTCTGGACGTGAAGTCCCTATCACAGGCTATTCAAATCAATCTGAAAAAGACTTCCTTCACTTTCCTCCCAAAATATACATTTAATTGGTATTGGCTTTGTTAAACCCATTTTTTATGATGTAAATGATATTAAGTCACTCTTGAAGTAAGTTGAGAATTTTTACCTTGAATTTTAGGATACCTCTCTTTACTCCTATCATACCTATTCATTTCATAATACTGGTAGAAGTCTCTCTTATTTTTGCTTGTATCTTTGCATAAACCACGATATGTTTTAACTGCATTTTCAAAAGACGACCATCAAAACTGAAGAGAAGCCTTGCTTCAGGTGATCAATCAGCAAATGTAACCATACCAATGCAAGGGGAAACTCTTGAGATACTGTTGGCATGAAAACTATTACCAAGGCCATTGAAAACGTCAACTTTTGAGGATTTCACAGAGTTGGAGAGCTGACAACAGGCACTATCTTGAATATGGATTACTTTACTTCTGGCTTTAATCTGTTAAGTCAATGTCACAGGCTATTCAGATCTGAAAAAGACTACCTTCACTTTCCTCCCAAAATAAACATTAAATTGGTCTTGGCTTTGTTATCATGTAAATGATAAAGTCACTCTTGAAGAAAGTTGAGAATTTTACTATGAATTTTAGGATACCTCTTTACTCTAATCATATAGCTTATCAACATTTCCTTTATTGGCAATCATCTTACCTATTTTGGCTTGTATCTTGTATCTTTGCATCAACCTTGATATGTTTTAACTGCATTTTCAAAAGATGACCATCAAAACTGAAGAGAAGCCTTGCTTCAGGTGACCAATCAGCAAATGTAACCATATAAATGCAAGGGGAAACTCGAGATACTGTTGGCATGAAAACTATTACCAAGGCCATTGAAACGTCAACTTTTGAGGAATTCACAGAGTTGGAGAGCTGACAACAGGCACTATCTTGAATATGGATTACTTTACTTCTGGCTTTAATCTGTTAAGTCAATGTCACAGGCTATTCAGATCTGAAAAAGACTACCTTCACTTTCCTCCCAAGATAAACATTAAATTGGTCTTGGCTTTGTTATCATGTAAATGATAAAGTCACTCTTGAAGAAAGTTGAGAATTTTACTAAGAATTTTAGGATACCTCTTTACTCTAATCATATAGCTTATCAACATTTCCTTTACTGGCAAACATCTTACCTATTTTGGCTTGTATCTTTGGATCAAACTTGATATGTTTTAACTGCATTTTCAAAAGATGACCATCAACACTGAAGAGAAGCCTTGCTTCAGGTGATCAATCGGCAAATGTAACCATACCAATGCAAGGGGAAACTCTTGAGATACTGTTGGCTTGAAAACTATTACCAAGGCCATTGAAAACGTCCACTTTTGAGGATTTAACAAAGTTGCAGCTGACCAAAGGCACTTTCTTTAATATGGATTACTTCACATCTGGCTTTAAACTGAAAACTTCTGGACGTGAAGTCCCTATCACAGGCTATTCAAATCAATCTGAAAAAGACTTCCTTCACTTTCCTCCCAAAATATACATTAAATTGGTATTGGCTTTGTTAAACCCATTTTTTATGATGTAAATGATATTAAGTCACTCTTGAAGTTGAGAATTTTTACCTTGAATTTTAGGATACCTCTCTTTACTCCTATCATACCTATTCATTTCATAATACTGGCAGAAGTCTCTCTTATTTTTGCTTGTATCTTTGCATAAACCTCGATATGTTTTAACTGCATTTTCAAAAGATGACCATCAAAACTGAAGAGAAGCCTTGCTTCAGGTGATCAATCAGCAAATGTAACCATACCAATGCAAGGGGAAACTCGAGATACTGTTGGCATGAAGACTATTACCAAGGCCATTGAAAACGTCAACTTTTGAGGATTTCAGAGTTGGAGAGCTGACAACAGGCACTATCTTGGAAATGGATTACTTTACTTCTGGCTTTAATCTGAAAACTTCAGGCTGTTAGGTCAATGTCCTGGGCTATTCAGATCTGAAAAAAACTACCTTCACTTTCCTTCCAAAATAAAACATTAAATTGGTCTTTGCTTTGTCATGATGTAAATGATAAAGTCACTCTTGAAATAAGTTGAGAATTTCACTATGAATTTTAGGATACCTCTTTACTCTAATCATATAGCTTATCAACATTTCCTTTACTGGCAAACATCTTACCTATTTTGGCTTGTATCTTTGGATCAAACTTTATATGTTTTAACTGCATTTTCAAAAGATGACCATCAAAACTGAAGAGGAGCATCGCTTCATGTGATCAATCGGCAAATGTAACCATACCAATGCAAGGGGAAACTCTTGAGATACTGTTGGCATGAAGACTATTACCAGGGCCATTGAAAACGTCAACTTTTGAGGATTTCACAGAGTTGGAGAGCTGACCATAGACACTATCTTTAATATGGATTACTTTACTTCTGGCTTTAATCTGAAAACCTCAGGCTGTTGGACCAATATTCCAGGCTATTCAGATCTGAAAAAGACTACCTTCACTTTCCTCCCAAAATATACAATACATTGGTCTTGGCTTTGTAAAACTTTGCTTTTAAGATGTAAATGAAATAAATTTTACTTTTGATAAAAATTGAGAATTTTACCTTTCAATTTTAGGATAACTCTTTTCACAATCGATCATAGCTTATCATTTTATTGCACTGGCAAACGTCTTGCTTATATTGGCCTGTATCTTTGGATCAACCATGATATGTGTTAACTGGATTTTCAAAAGATGACCATCAACACTGAAGAGAAGCCTTGCTTCAGGTGATCAATCGGCAAATGTAACCATACCAATGCAAGGGGAAACTCTTGAGATACTGTTCGCATGAAAACTATTACCAAGGCCATTGAAAATGTCCACTTTCGAGGATTTCACAAAAATTGGAGCTAACCAAAGGCACTTTCTTCAATATGGATAACTTTACTTCTGGCTTTTAAATTGAAAACTTCAAGTTGTTACGTCTATGTACCAGGCTATTCAGTTCTGAAAAAGACTACCTTCACTTTCCTTGCAAAATATACATAAAATTGGTATTGGCTTTGTTAAACCTGTATTATTGTATGTAAATGATATAGTCACCCTTGAAATAAGTTGAGAATTTTACCTTGAATTCTAGGATACCTCTCTTTACAATCAATCATAGCTATCATTTCAGTTACTGGCAAACATCTTTCTAAGTTTGGCTTGTATCTTTGAACATCCCAAAATATAACTGCATTTTCAAAAGATGAGCATCAAATTTTAATAGGAGCCTTGCTTCTCGTGATGAATCAGCTAATGTACCTGCGCCAACGCAAGGGAAAACTTGATATACTTTGAGTGTAAAACTTTCACCAAGGCCACTGAAAATGTGCACATTTGAGGGTTTACCATAAAACTGTATGGAATTACTTCTTGCGGACTTCCACTTGCCAAACACTTAATTTCTGAAAGGAGCCATTGTTGCAAACAACAGACAAAATGACTGAACTGAAAAATGTTCTTAAGCTAAAATATGTCTTTTTTTAAACTTGATAATTTATCTTCCTATATAATATAAAACTTCTGCAAGCTTTTAATTTTCGATTCTACACCATTATTTTGTTTCTTTTAAAAGAATAAGAATAAAAAACCTGTCTTTATATGTCTAGTTCACAAGAAATATTGTCAATCTAAGTATCGCAGTCCCCTATCTTTTGATCACTAAAAAGTCCTCATCACAATGTCCTGCTCTTGAAACTTCGTCATTGTTGACAACAGGTAATTTTAAAGATGATTTAAAGCCTTTTAATGATTGATTTATGTCTGACATCTATCTCAAGCGGTCAGGTCAGTATCCCATACTTTATAGATCTGCAAAAAGACTACCTTTTTTCCTCCAAATATTTTTTCATTCAATTATGCAAATGCTTGCAAACATCTTCCTTATTTTGGCGCAACCCTGAACAATGTTTTAACTGCATTTTCAAAAGATGACCATCAAAACTGAAGAGAAGCCTTGCTTCATGTGATCAATCAGCAAATGTAACCATACCAATGCAAGGGGAAACTCTTGTGATACTGTTGGCATGAAGACTATTACCAAGGCCACTGAAAACGTCCACTTTGGAGGATTTCACAAAATTGGGAGTTGACCAAAGCCACTTTCTTTAATATTGATTACTTCTGGCTTTAACTGAAAACTGTTAGGACAATTCAGATCTGAAAAAGACTACCTTCATTTTCCTAGACATATACATTAAATAGCCATTGGCTTTGATTATATAACCTGTATTTTATAATGTAAATGAAATAAAATTAACTTTTGAAATGATCGAGAATTTTACCTTGAATTTTAGGATACCTCTCTTGACAATCAATCATAGCTGACCATTTCATTTTATTGGCAAGCATTTTGCTTATTTGGCTTACATCTTTGGACCAACCCGGGTGTTATTATCAAAAGATCGTCAAAATTGAATAGCAGCCTTGCTTCATGTGATAAATCAGCAAATGTACCCATCCCAACACGAGGGAAAGCTTGAGATACTTTTGGAGTGTACAACTTTCACCAAGTCCATTGAAATTGTCCACATTTGAGGGTTTACCTCATTAAAACTGTATGGACTTCTTGCCTATTTCTACCTGCTTAACACTTAATTTCTGAAAGGAACCAGATCACATTTTCCAAACAGACAAAATGTTTAAAGCTTAAAATATTCTAAAGCTTAAAAATGTCTTCTTTGTAAACTACTTTTTTTTTAACAACATAATTTAATAACTACCTTTGTAAAATAACATCAGTTGGTTATTTTTTTTATCAACCTTACAAGAATACATAAGACAAACCTGTCTTTATCCCCCTGTCAAAGTTCAGATCGCCAGGTTTATTGTCATTTTTACAGGATCGCACATCATTGCATCACTAAAATGTCCTCAACACAATTTCCTGGCCTTGAAACTTTGTTATTGTGGATAAAACATAATAATCGCCACAACAGGTACAAAGAACCAAATATCCTTTTGCAAGGAAACATTGTATATTTTAAGAGTAGCAAAACCCTAGCTATTAACAAGACAAGATAACTAAAAGCCTTTGTTTAAACATGGGTTACTTTACGGTTAGGTCAGTATCCTATACTATTTAAATTGCAAAGACTACTTTCAATTTTTTTCTAACATTTAAAGCTCAGTTTTACATTATTAAATTTGTTAAACCTGTGGAGGAGATTGAGAATTTTACCTTTAACTTCTGGTAAACTGCTTATTTTGCATCTCTGGACAACCCTTGATATTTTTAACTGCATTTTCAAAGATGATCATCAAAATTTGGAGTGGAGCTGCCTTGTTTCATGTGATCTATCAGCAAATGTAACTGTACCTTAGCAAGGGGAAACTCTGGAGTGAAGACTATTACCAAAGCCACTGGAAATGTCTACCAGTTCCCAAAATACCTAATAACTTGACTTGTATTATGACCTTGTGAGAGACTTTTCAGTTTCTGAAAGGAGTTTTCATATTTCCAAAACAACAAATTGAACACAAAAAGGTTCATAACTTTTCAAATGTTAATAAAATCAGTTTAAACAAGCTATTTCTTGAGGTAAACTTACAAACAAATCATCTGAAAACTTGTTTTGTTTAAATTGTAAAAATTTAAGATGAAAAACCTGTTTCTCGCATTCCTATCCAGGAAAATTATGTATTATTGAATTGTTTTCTTCCTTCTAAAATTTCTCATCATAACCTTGTCTTACAACTTCATTTTGGATGGAAAGGTAATATCGCCACAACTGGTATGTTTTCAAAACATCAAAGATCAAATATACTTTTGCAAAGAAAACACTCCATCTATAGTAGTTGTAGACCATTCATAAAAGGCACACAACTTTTAACCTGGCTTTAAAACTCAAGACTTCATCCCGTTGTCTCTGGCTATTATAAGATCTGAAAAAGACTATCTACATTCTCCTCCCAAAATATGTATTGAATTGCTCTTAGCTTTTTATGGAGAAAATGAAAGTGAACTTTTAACCATGAAGTATAATCTGAATTTTTAACTTGTAGATGATGTAAGATGAATGAAATAATGAGAACGTTAACACAAAAGTTCCATACATCCAATTGCTCTTAATTTTCATCCTGTATCATATATGATGAATGAAATTGATTAAACCTTTAAATACTTTCGAAAATTTTACCTTTACTTTAGAGTAACTCTCTTAGCCATTTATTATTTAGTTAATCTGGCTTGCATCTTTAGACATCCCTTGACATGTTTTGACTATTCAGATGATGACATGAAACTAAGATAGGAGAGCTTTGTCACCAAATCTGTGCAAATGCACCTTGCTTCTTGGGATACTGTGGGAGTGGAGATATCACCGGAGTCAAAAACCACTCAAGGTTTTTGCTCCAAACACTTCAATGTGTTGATTTCCTTGTGATTTCATTTTCTGAAAGGAGTCTTTTCACATTTTCCAAGCAACACACATAATGATTGAACTTATTAATCAGAACTTTAAATAAACGAATTTGAATTAAAAAAAACAAAAAACGCACAACAGTATAACTTGATGATGTCATCAACATTAATTATATATATTACAAAATTGACTTGTTCCTGTCTAAGAAGTCCATTTCAGCTGTAAATTTGTCATTTTTAAAGGAACTAATTACGCTCCCATGTTCCCATTATTTTTATGTTATCACAAACTTTTTTTCTTTAAACTTTGTCCCTTTGATTGAAAAGTTAACATTCAACGCAATTTGTAAGTATGAGAACCAAATATGCCATTGTAAAATGATCAATAGTAGAAGTTGAAGATCAAAAAGGCAATATATTTGCTCAACCTAGTTTTCTTTGTCTTGCTTTAATACATCAGTGTTAGGTCAGTGTCCATGGCTTTTAAGATCTGAAAAAGACTACCTTCATTTTCCATCCAAAAAATGCATTAAATTGCTCAGAGCTTTTAAACTATTTTATGAAAAGAATGAAATAAAAAGTTTAACTGTTTTAACAATTCTGAGAATTTTAGCTACAATTTCAGTATACCTTTCCTAATAATCATGGCTATTCATAAACTACTTACTTATTTTAACTTGTATCTTGGGCCACCCCATACAGGTTTTGATTTATTCAAAAGATGACCATCAAATTGAAGAAAAGATTCCTTGTTTCATGTAATCCATGGCAAATGTAATTGTTCCAATGGAAGGGAAAACTGCCAGGATACTGTTGGAGTTGAGACTTTCACCAAGGAGACTGAAAACTTTTGAAGGAGCTTACTTCCTGCTGATTTCATTCTGTCAAGACTTTTTACATTCCTACTAACATTACTTTACCAGTAGGAGCTTGGCAGATGACATTTTCTACAAATTTATCTCGTTATTTGACGGTGAATGTCTAGGGTTGGACAAGTTCTGCTCATACCTCTGAAACAAACTTAGTTATGTCCTCCTAACAATATGTCATGTAATTTTCAGATAAATTAAGTATAATGTTTGAATTGTACAATTATATTTTTGGGCTTATTTACTTCATAAAAATTTTGCAAGAAAATGTAACATTAAACAAAGGAAGCACCATCAAGCTCTTAAACAAACTTAAGAAAATTTAAACCACTTTGTTTCACATATAACAACATTCTTTATCAAGACCATTTTCAAGGCTTTCTTTCAGCATAATTTGAGGCATTTATCACATTATGAAGGACAAGGCTGGAGCCACTGTTCTGATGTTTAGTTTACAACATAATGGGTGAAATTCATACCCCTGACATGATACTTTCAATATCACCATTTACATTCTTCTATCAATGCATACTGGACAATCAATGCCTTGGTTTGGGCATCTGTATATCAACTTTTATCTCTGAAACAAACTTGTGTCATGCTCTCCAATTAACAGGTTATTAAATATACACTAATTTCGGAATTTAAATTTTTAATTATTTTCAAAGTTGAGTAATTTCTAATTTTGGGGTTTAGTTTCTATACCTCAACAACTGGATACCTCTTATGCAATCATTTTTCCAATACCTTCTCCTGCTGCTAGGAATAACTTAAATTTGGCTTGCAACATTCAACCTTGCAGGAACAAAAAGGAACAGTGCTAAATAGAAACCATAAAAGAGCTGCACCATGACCAGTTTGCTGTGGCTTCACTGATCAACAAAATCTGTTTCGACGCAAAATATGTGCTTGTAATAAATCTGAAAGTAATTGAATACCAAGGCATTTTGCAAATAAAGGGATGAAGGAATTCATTCTTCTACTTGTAAAACTTTTGACTATCAAACTTTTAATACAAGGACATTTTCAATATTTTATAATTAACAAACCCTGCAGTACAAGATTTATTTCATTTTTAATAAAAAGCATACTTATGCCAAGACATCACTCATCCCTTCTTTTTCAAATTTTCCCACTTCCTTATTCATGTAAGTCTTGATTATTTCGTTTTCCTTTAAAAATTCAGGGCATCTTTTTCATTATGAATGACACTGCTTATGTATGCCATGAAGTCAGGACTGCCATTGTATGGTGATATTCTCACTTCTTCTATACTTAGATGGCCAATTGCATATTTCATTATGATCTATTTCTTTTGGACTGGACATTCAACATCATAGGTAAACAATCCGCATTTCAGCTTACAATTCTGAAACAAACTTGGTTATGTTCTCCAAACAATATAGCTCATAAAATTTCAAGTAAATTAAGTTATACAATGTATTTGTACAATCAATTTTTAAGTACATTCACTACATCAAGACAGTTCTAATTACAAAATGAAGCTAATTTTTTTTTAGTTGATCAAAAACAAAAACAAACCATTCTGTGCTCTTTATTATTTGTATAAAATTCAGATCCCCATGATATTCTTTCCAACTGAATTAAGTGCTTACTGCATACTAGCTATTAACTGCTACAGAGAAATCATATAGGAACTGCAACATGCCCATTCATCTTGTGGCTCAAACTGAGAAAATGTCTGTACTGTTGCAAAAGAATACGCTTTGTTGTAAGGGAGACTACATCTGAAAGTAATCTTGTTCTTGGCATTTTGCAAATACTGGGATGAAGTAAATCACTTTGTAATTCATTAGTAGTCGAAATATTTTACATTGATGTGATATTTTAAATACAACCATAAAACAAGCATTTTCGCAACACTTCTTAAAAATTTTGTTAAAAAGCTTTTTTCGTTCAGGACACATTGTTACATTTAGCAAAGCAAGTTTCAGTAAAAATGTATATGATTTCAAGAAAAAATCAAATAACTAACCATACCATGATATCACTGCTTTTTTTAACCATTTGATTTCAAGATCATAAGTCATGACTACCTTCAAAGATAGTTTAAGAAACCTATCCATCATGAAGAACATTGCTGGGGCCACTGCCATAATGCCTGCTACATCAAGGTGGAAATGCATACTCAAACTTTTCCATTCAAACAGTTACAAGATGACAAGTTACATCATCATATTAAGCAATCATTTTTCAATACATATCTACTGCTCTAAAGTCCATCAGCATGGAAATTTTTGATCTTGCCTTTATGTGCATACCAATGCTCAGTTACACCAAGGGGAACCCATAAACAGCAACATTAACAGAACCTGTACACACTTTATTTTCATGTGATAGAAGCTGTATTTTAACAGGATACAACTGAAAATAATGTAGGATGAAGACATTTTGCAAATACAGGGATTACTTCACTACCAGAATATTAATGAAATGATCTAGGCTAGTAAATGTAATTTTCATAGATACTTAAAAAAGTCATGAAACAGATAGTTTAGGAACACTTCCTAAGAAATTCTTACAGCATTATTCATTCAGGAAAAAAAAGAAGCAAATTCTTCTCTATGTCGGTCTCTTTCATTTTTTGCATAGAATAGATTCACCTTGTTTTTTCATATTATTGCTTCCTAACACAGTTTGAGATATATGTAGATGCATGTACTATTATGAAAACTTTACTCTAACCATCAACAATACCAATACAGAATCTTGGAAGTGGACCATTGTACTTCATATTGCCTTACTGAATTATATTAGGCATGGACATTCATCATATTAGGATACGCATTAGTATTTCATCGTCATCAGTAACTCATCTTATACCTCTGAAAAAAATCTTCCCATTCTCCAAACAAAATGTCATATAAATTTAAGAAACAGAGTATGAATAAATTCTGCAATGTGTCACTAAATTGGTGACTTATCTTCTTATATCTTTTCATTTAAAACAATCAGATCATGTTTTTTTCTAGTTACATAGCAATTATTACTTTTTCCTAGCAAGGAATGTTTTAATCTGGACATATTTTTATATGAACTCTCAATAATACACAAATGCTCACTGCTAGAATTAACCATTAAGGAACTGCATCATGGCTTGTATCTTGCGACTTCAGCTTAGTGAGGGCATCTGTACTGTTTCAACTTTTTGTAATTAAAGCTACCTAAATCTGAAAATAATTGCATACAAAGGCATTTTGCAAATACAGGGACAACATCGTATATTATTTAGAACATTTTCATTTCACTAGTAGTGATTTAACTACATTACTTAAAATTCTATAATAAATTAAGCTTTTCTCCAGCAACAGTTTATGTATGGCAATTTATGAAGACATTGATGTTAACATTGCAATTAAGCCAGGTCTCACATCTAGCATTCCAGGTTGAAATTAATACTCTTACTGTAATTGATGAAGATTCTTGGAAGATGACCAGTTACTTTCTTTTTCTTCTAATCATTTTTTCATTTATTTGCACTGACTTACAGTGTTTCTGGTCTGGACATCAGTATTTCTGCTTAATCCTCTGAAACAAACTCGTTTCATGTTCTAATACAGTATGTCATTCAGAGTTTAGAATTAAAGATAATTTAGTGTTTGAATTGAAGAAATTATTGTGACATACTATCTATTAAAACAGAGTTTCAATGGTTTTAATTTGACTTTTCTTAAAAACACTAACTTATGCTTTTCTTAAAAAATATTTAATTACATGCAACTTACATGCTTGATTATTATAAAATCAGGTAGCACACTTTCAGAGAATAATCTCAGTGTCTTTAATCTTTGCACACAAAACAATACAAGTTATTAGGTAACATTTAATTTATCTAAATAAGTCATCCTTTCAATTTTGTACATATAAAGATTATCTAAATTTCATTTATCCATACCCGGATAGTTATCATTACTTCTATTAAATACCGGTTTGAGTTTAAGGCTGTTTCCACTTCCAAAATAATGATCTTCGTCATTCTAAGGACCTCCTAAGTATAGCAACATTTGTTTAAAATCTTGATGGCATTTGTTGAATCATAGCAGGCATTTCATTGAACTCTTTTCAAGTCATACTTGATGTCATTACTTAGCCCTTATGCTGGTTATCAGGATAAATATATGCAAGAATTGACTATTCAACTTTCTTCTATTAACATTTAGTGGGCTGGACTATCATCTCCCATCAATGAATGCTGTTTCAGCTTTATACATCTGAAATAAACTTCAGTGATTCACAACAAATTGGCCGTAAAGTAGGACCTTAAATTTACTAATTAGTCCTTATAAAGAAATTAATCTTTCAATGTTAATTCCAATATTTCAAGGTTGGCTGTATTTATAAAATTATGTTCCATATTAAATTTTCTCTGAAAAAAATATTTACTTTAACCTTCTGAAAGAAATTTAATTTGACTTGCAACATAATATATTTATAAACATGTCACGCAAGCTATACTCATGTGATTTTATTTCTTTCGTTTACATTCCCTCCACATTTTCACTTCAAAATGTTACTGATGGGCTCGGGATTGACTAACAGAAAAACGCAGCATTTATAATTCAGCAGAAGGCATCTTTCTTGGAACATACATTGCCACTGCTCATATCTGCAAATGATATTTTCTTTTACAAAAGGAAGTTTACATTGCCACTTCAACATATGTACAGCAATTTTCACCTGATCATATCTGCAAATGATATTTTCTTTTACACAAGGAAGTATCAAACACAACAATGCTAAAATTATTATAAGTTAAGAAACTTAACTTTATTTAAGTAAAATACAAATCATCATATAAGAAGGAATTTACCATCCTTGAATCAAGACATATCAACTTAAAATCAAGAGGATACAATCACAATGCTACCAATTTGCTGTCCCTGAAACATCAAATACCTTGATTCTATTCCACATTCTACCACAGAGCCACACATAGAATCTAGATGTCTATTTAGATTCGAGATGCCTAAAGGGCTCTCCACCTGTAGTTTAAATTTTGTTAGTCATTTTAAAACAAGTGTTGTGGGACAACCAACAAAAATTTACCCTTTTGTCAATTACATGCAAAAGTTCACTTTTCATAAACTGCTTGAGAATATGGATATCTAAATCAGCTATTACTATCTAAAACGATTTGCTCTAAAACAATAAAACTACTGATCTTTACCCGATCTTTACTGATCCTTAGAAAACTTAAATCAAATACTATTGAAAGCATGTGTTATAACCTTATGAATCTCAGTGCTTCAAAGAATGTCATAAATGACCAATGATGAATCAAAAAACCTGATTCCTCTGCCAGCAAAATTTACTTGGACCCTGCTGGATAAATGACCCACAGGATCACAAGTACAATTTTAGAATTTTACTTCTTTTCTGGCTTAATTCAATTTAAAAAATATATAACATCAACATAACGAAAATAAATAGATCTACATCAACTTGCGTCCCAGTATGTCATCTACTGTTCAACTCCTCAAAAAATGTATTTAAATTCAGTGGGTCTTTATCGTCATCATGATCATGAATATCGTAAATATTTATGACTGAATTTTGAACACAAGTTATAGATCTACTGTTTTGATTCATTCCTTTATCTTCAGAGTTTCCAAATTTACAATTTCGAATCACTTTCAACGATTTAGTATCTAACTTTAACCTCCGTATTGTCGATTGTAATACTGCGTAAATATGAAAATTTTCAGCATACGATTTTCGTTTTTCAGCTTTTAAAATAAGTTTTCGTAACACTTTAGCACCGCCTAATTCCGATTTAACAGTCAAATTATCCTTTCCTTCTTTACTTAAAACCTTCATTTTAACAAAATATCTCTCTCCTAAGAGTTTAAATATAAAAAGAAATCTACGATACGTATTTTTCCAAAATGGCGTCTAATTTTCCATCCTCAGCTGTCGGCGTTCCTTTCTGGAATGTCGAGTGTGTTCGTTTGGGCGGATAGTTATCCGTGCGTCACAACGAAATTAATGCGCGTAGAATTCATACGCCTGACAACAGTAATGTATCGTTATAAATGTTGATACAAAAAGTTTCGATTTTGATATGAATAATTAATGTAACAATTTAATTATTTGCTATTTTAAAAAGTTAGACACCTTTAACATGCTTTATATGATATGATTAGTTTGAAAGTAGTTTCAATACGCGGAAGCTGAATGAAATATTCGGTCTAATTATGACGTAATTCATAAATAAACACAATCATTCTGAAGATCTCAGAACAAAGTATAGATGTCTAAATACTTATTTTAACGTTAAAATTGATTTTAGAAATAGTTTATTCATAAGGTAAATATATTGATTGACAAATCCAAACAGTATGGGCAACTCTCATAAGCCCTACATTTTGCAGCGGAGGAACGTAAAAGGTGATCAAATTTAAGGCCCGTCTTGCAATTCATGGGAACAATGAATTATATATCTACATCTACAACTTGACAATTAATTCTGGTTATGACTAGCAGGCGCGTTGTCAGGGAACAACTGTTAATAAAAGACATAATTTATATGCAAATTAAAAAGATAAAAGAATAAAAGTTCTACAAGTATTAATTTAAATGACATAGCGTGCAATTTAGAATTTGTAAAATTGGTCAAGCCTCTCAGTAAAGATGAACATTAATTTAGACTGGGTTAGACTGAACAGTTAGAGGAAGGCTATTCCAAAAGGAAAGAAAGAATGTTGATGGCAGAATTTTTGTTGTTGTTGTTCTTTGTCTTTTTAGAAAGCAAAAAAAAAAATGTTTTTTAATAGATCTTATAATGTTTTAAAAGTATAGCTTTTTCTTATCAGTGGAAGGAGAAATCACTGAATGCCAACTATATTGATTCAAAGGCAAGACGTCGACAAAGATATTTTGACTTCCAAAAAATGTAAGGGCGATTTGAATTTTTCAGAGAAGCAGTCAAAAAAGCTATGTACATTTATTAAAATTATTTTAGAAACGGTTAAACAGTAAGGAATCACATGAATATTTTCTCTGTAAAAATGGTAATATTGTCATAGGATCTGTACACCATTACTGTATTAATGTTTTCTTTATTCCATTTGCTTTTCCTTGTCACTGCTACAGTTTTTACATACAAATATTATAATCCTTTTTCTTAATTCTTTTTTTTGTAATTAATACAAACTGTCACTTCATTGATACAGATTAACTCATATGGTCATTTTCTATTCTATTTTTTCATAGTCAAGCTTTTTTTCCTTGACTTCTCTAGTTCTAGTTTACACTTTTTTCCTCATGTTGAATATAGGTCAGGTTTTGTTTTGTTTTTGTTTCATTAGATCTAGCACACTTTATTTTCTTATGTTGAATATAGGTCATGCTTTTTTTTCATAACATTAAAATACACCTGTCAATATAGATGTAGTTTATCAGTTGTATACAATCAAATTAATCCTTTTCCACGAGTATACAATAACTATGCAAATTCTTATTTAATTGATGTTTACATGTTCTACTTCTGTGAAGACACGTGACATTATCAGGTTATGACATTTCTCAGTCTTCTGCTAAATTTGCTAAACTGATACCTTTTTTGATCAAATTGTGAATACTTCCAGATGCTTCGAAACATTTTATATCCATCTTTCGAATATTTAAACTAATCATTCGTTGATAATCGTCTATTAATTAATTTATCTTACTTAACACATTTTACGCGAAGTTACCCGGTAAGGCTTTACACAGCGGACGATTACACTACCTTTTGGGTATATAGCGCAGTTTCGATGCAGCGATTTAATTCAGGCTGCACAAATACAATACGAATAAACTCTGTTTCTTTTAAAAACAATATAAAATGGTGTTAATAATGTTCAAAATTCACATAACTATTAAAAAGCGTAGATTATTAAATTAGTTTCAGCCATCCAATATCTGTAAATGGAACATTCCCAGACAAGAATTTATAGTCCTTTTCAAAAAAATAAATGGAGTAACACACTATCACTATTGTCAACCCCGTTAAGCAAACAATCTGTCACGTGACCTCACAAGGTATTTTTGTTCAAATGTATTATTCGCTGTATGCTCACATGCTTGTAATCATTGCTTGAGCTAAATAAAGTTTATGTTGTTGTTGTTGTTGTTGGTTCTTAGTGAACATTAAAATACAACACACACTGACAGTTTTATTTTAAAAATATCAGGTCCACAAAAACTCCATATTAATTTTATTCCTCTCTAATGTATTTATAGATATTTTGAAGCTGACACACTTCTTTTACCTGAAGAACACCTAAAACGATAACAAGAAAAATATTACATACATTCGTATGTAATATAGGTACGATTGCATACTTCTTTTTGTTTTTGTCTTTATGTTTGCTGAATTAAAGGTGTAATGTAAAATGAACAAACATGTCATGAGATATTTTATATCTTTAAACATTTTCATGGAATGTAATTAATGTATCATCATATTAAAGTTGCATGCCTTCAGATGAGAAAAATGATTTCAAGGAAATCAAAATATGAAAAGAAAATTCACGGTCAATTGACTGCTTTGAAGCATAATCACAAAATAAAATTACAGGAAATTAAAAAACCTTTTTAATACACTTAAGGTAGAATTTCATTGTAAATCATATACATGTATAATCAGTTCAATAAAAACAAACGCTTTTCTTAAGCTTTCGACGTTTAGTCTTCTTCAGAAAAAATTGACGTTTATAACATAACAAATGACAATTTTTTTTTATTGTAAATCATAGTCACAGATTTGAGATATGATTATTTATTCATATTAACATCATTATTGGTTATATATTGATAAAAAAAACCCGAAAGACACAGTTTGTAAATATTTATTACAATAAAATATGAAAAAGGTATTTTCCATCCTATGCGACGCGCCGAGGTTAGCTATAATTAAAATTCCCGCGCAAAGTCGGGGTGGTGCTTGGGATAATCACTTGATACTGTATATGGCAGCCATTTTACGATACGAAAATGCCTGGCCCTCCTCGGACAGTTTATATATCCTGCCGAAAATAAATGCATATAAATTGTAAATTTGTGTATGACAACTCACCCCCTAAACAAAACATAATAGACTCAACCAAAACAAGCGCCTGCTTCTTCACCTAACTATGTAGTTGCATGACCATGATTAGCAATAGCAAACCAAATCTAAGAGATAAACCTATTGTAAAAATAATACTACGACCACAGCAGATTTCGTACAGAAAAGGCTAAGTTTGATTGAGTCTGTTCATGGCGAAGCATGTCTTTCGACGAAATATCGTGCACCAGTTCATGGACGGTACTGGAAAGTACAAGTTACCGTCCGCGCCCTCCCGCACCGTCTTTTAAAAGCAGAATTCAACATCTAAAAGTTAAAATGGTGAATTTTTTAATTGAAGGCAAGGCGACGTTCACATGGAACGCAGTTAAAATAAGTTTAAATTTTATATCTTTTATTTCACGTCGCATCAGATAACTTTTATACCGGTCGGTGCATTCTTACTTGAGTTATAATATTGAGGCATTTTTCAATGTTTACTGAAAAATAACCTATAGCAATAGAATGACATAATAGATCGATTAAAAACAGAAACCATGGATATGCACGATGCCCTTAGGTTGTTTGATATTTTATTATTATTGAGAAGAAAGGGGAAGTGTCATAAATTTTGCCAGGGGCTATATGCAGATCTATACAATTACGTGTGATAAAGAAAAAAAAAGATTATATAAACAACTGTTTGATAGTATGGTCTAATCCGCCAGATTGAAATTTTTATCTTAGCACATTCATGAGATAGGTTTCAAACGTGCTTAGACATGTGCAGATAAAGTCAGATCTAATCCTTCAGGCACTTATAAATATGTGCCATTCATACTTCGGTTTGTATACTTAATAAGCATTTATCATTATACTCTTCTGTTTATATTATGCAGCTGCTACTTTTAACAGCAATGTACATTTGCAATGTCCTGAGACTAAGTATGGAACAGATACGTACTTATGGACATTAATTATGATCCAGAATTGATTCCAGGATAAAATTCAAAATAAATAATAATAATAATAATAATAATAATAATAATAATAATAATAATAATAAACTCTTAGAGTATACTCTTTACGCTTTATTTATATGCACACATCTTAATTTTCATTTTTAAAACCGGACGGGCCTTAATAAAACCTGCAATTACGTACTATTCTATTATTAGACAAAAAAAGTCCCAGACGTAAATAGTACGTTTTCAAGGTTAATTCGACGTACTACATACGTAAACAAAACATTGTCCTTATTAAAAAACAGGTTAAATTTACTATTATCCATAGATCCAGTGTAAGAAATTATATAAATTAGGATTTCAATCGACTAGGCTGGTCGGACTACCAGATTGGAATATTCACTAGCCCAAAAGACATTTCACTAGCTCAAAACAGTTGTTTATATTGCCTCTGAATATATGTAGTAACCTGGTCGGGCTAGTTACTGTGACAGTGAAAAGTTGGTAGCCTGAGGAGAAATTTAGTAGTCTGGGGCTATAGGACTATTGCTAATTTCAAACACTGTAGATCTCGTTTGAATTGTTATTAGTAGATCACAGAAAATCAGTAATAGATCTAGATCTACAACAACAATTCTGGATAAATCTAGATGGATGACGCGAACCTGACCGGATATATCTAGTTAACTATTCTATAATATCATTCAATAGATGGCCAAAAACTTTTAAAATCAACAAGTTCAATGTAGATCTACAATGTATGTACACGTCCGAATAATGTGTATAATGTATAGGCCTAAATGATGTTGACTTGCGAGTGATTGATTTTAATTTTCGTAATCGATAAATATATATATATTGTGTGGAATTTGCGAAATTGTATTCAGTGAAAACCCATGCCATGGTCGCTTTTAAAAAGTATTTTGCTTAATTAATAGACTACGCACTGTACACATATTATGCTTTTTTTGATGCAATAAAACATGGAATTAACATTGTTTCGTTTGTTGTACATTTTTTGTCGTTTGCTATAGTTAAAAATGCTAAGTATACTAGTTAAACATATTTATTGATAGTATAAATTTAATAACTTCTATATAGCTGGCATATAAATATAAGTGTTGCAGATGTATCTATTCGATCTATCTTGCTTAAACATATATCTTATTGCATCAAATACATGTCAAATATAAGGCCTATACAAAATTATAGATGAGTATACAGCAAATGGGTTGGGCAACAAGTTCTAGCAACATTAATTTAGATTATAATTAAAGCCCTTCCCAGGATAAATCATCAGTTATTTTCAAGTCCTATTTAGCTATAACTGAAAGACATATACGATCCACCGACTTTTGTGAGAATCGTTTTTTAATAAACAGTAAAACAGTAATTGCTTTAATAAGAATAAGATTTATATTGGGATTGTTATAGTCTGGTTGGTTTTTGTTTCCATTTTATTCAAGAAAAACTATATAGCTGGTTTCCATTTTATTCAAGAAAAACTAGCTGTTTCCTAAAAAATACATTTGTTTGAAAACCAGGGATACAGATATTCTAGATATAGCTTACAATGAATTAATCTGATATCTACCCTGATAACACCATATTTCTTTGATTTTATCAGCCCGCGACCCGCCCTACTGACGATTCGCCCCACAGTACGAGCTAATTGAAGAACGAAATTTCGTTACCTCCCCTGCAAGAGCTCTCTATTTGTAAACAACTGCATCAATTGTTTTTAAAGTCTTTTTAGATTACCACGGATTGTAGTATATAGCGGCAATAATAATAATTAACAGTTAATTTCGAGGGTTTCTACAGTACTGTAGACAAAACTGTATGCGGGGAACAGTGACAAAGTGCAATTTTTAAGTGAACAAATGGAAAAATGACATGATCAAACATAGATCTATAGTCAATTTGATCATAAAAATAATATACATATTACATGTAGACCTAATGTAGACGAAATAAAAGAATAAATATAAAATTGTCAAACTTTCAATGATGCATGTTCAAATAATTTAAATGGCAACACGTAGGACTCCATATATCGATAATTTGGATTTGCCTCAAACCTACTGTTTTGTAAATTACTAAGTAATTGTATCTAACGTACGCGTACGGGACCAGTCTAATGTGGATCGAGTTCAATAGCCAGCCAGTCGGTTGATAAACATTTTGTTTAATCAATATATTTATGTCATTTTTATGAATAATTTCATATCACAGACTTTATAAAATCATGTAAATACAATTTTGATACTATTGTAAATGACTTTTAATATTTTAAGACAGTTGGCTGATATAGATTTTTTACTACACACAAAAATATATTATACTTTTAAATTACAAGGATGAACAAGAACAAAATGGCATCTAATTGGATGGCAAGATAATGCAGCCAAATCAGTTTCCCATCTTGCCCAGATTTCAAATTGTAATCGGCCTACATTTATTTAAGTGCCAGAACTTTTATAGTTAAACGTGTCTACTATAAGTAAAATGGCAAAGTTACATGATGCTAGAGTTGTGAAAATATTTTTTTCATCACCATTTGGAGGAATGGAGGAGGAGCGTGAAGAACTAACTAGACGTTATTTTCCTTCCATCCACCACCTGTGTAATTCATATGGACTGCAATTTGCAGCAGTAGACATGCGTTGGGGGATCACGTCAGAATCGTCAGATAATGCACAAGTCATCTCAATATGTCTGCGTGAGATTGACAGATCTGATATGTTTATAGGATTTTTCGGACAGGTGCAACTAATTTTGAAATAGCTGTATTAAATTTTTTTATATTAAGCTTGACTATATACATAGTACACTGTTTTGAGAGCTATCCTACTTATGTGCATCAAGATTTTTTGTGAAGTAAATTTTCTTTTTACTATAAACTCTCTATAACAGGGACAAACTTAATGATGGTCTGGTTGCTTAATGATTTAGTGAGAACCAGACCATCGAAAGATGCTTAAAAGGTAAAATTAGGGTAATAAAACTGTCATTGATAGAAATTTTTGTTTCACTCTGACACACTTGATGGTGAGCTTAAAAACTTTTTATTTCAATGTTTTTTTGTTTTTTTAAGTGATAAGTGCCTACAGACTGATCATATTTAACCTGTGAACCTGTGCATTCTGGTACCCTGGTCCAAATTTAGTACCTGATACCTGTCTACATGACCCAATAAGTAGATAATTCAATAGCAAACTAATTAGGACCAAGAATATTCTTAATATGCTCAATATGATTGAGGTAAGGAGGAAAGGCATAACATCAACACCAATTATGTTTAACCTGCTCTGTATCATGGCCCTGCTTTGAATTTAAAGTCCCAACGGTATAGAGCCTGGTCAGATTGCATGGATGTGTAGACCCATGGCCTTGCATTATACTGGTGGCAAAGGCTAAAAAGTTTGGCTTCCAGCAAGTTAAATGTTAAATATTGCTGCATTGCATCATTCAGCATATATAAATTCACAGTATTACATGTACACAAATGTGTAAATTTGTATCAGTTTTGTCATTTTTATCACATGTGTTTTAGAACTCTCATGGATATGATCTCTGACTTTGATGCATGAGCCAATCATCATTGAGGGTTTTGAAGCATACCAGTGACTTTGAATTCTTTTATGTGAGAGAGCCAGCTGACAATATCAGCGGGTCTATTATTGCTTTCCAGTGTTGTTATGACATGTAAATTAGTTTAACCATTATATGTGGACTTGAATCTATTTTTAGAGATATGGATGGCATGGAGCAGATGATGCAGGTTTACAGAAGAATTTTGATAATGCTATGTCACTGTACCCTTGGCTGGAAAAGTTCAGAGACAAAAGTGTTACAGAGTTAGAATTTCTTCATGGATTTTTGAATGATCCAGGTCACCTACCAGCAGCTATTTTCTTCAGAGATAAAGTAAGTTATGATGATAAACTTGATTAAATTTAAGATCTTGACATGTAATCATTATGATTTATTTGAAATATGTATAAAACTGGTTAGTAATTCATGCACTCATTATTGTGTAACATGCTTGATATGTAGGTCACAAAGATTAGAATATTTTATTGTAGTAAATTATCAATGAATCAAATATAATGCACAATTTAGAAAATAGCATTTTGAAGTCTTGATACAATGAAATTGTGTTAGTAGCATTTTAGAGTGACACAAAGTATGAAAATGACATAATAGGTCATAGCAACTTACATTTTAAAAAATGTTACAAGATTGGAAGTTTATTTTCAGGGATATGATGACACAGTACGAGAAGAAGGATTAGTAAAGGGAGACAAGAAACAAGTGTTCAAATATTCAGCAGAAAGCAAACTTTCTTCTAAACTGATGGATGATCTCAAAGAACGCATTTCCAAACACAGAGAGAAGGTAATGTTAAAAAAGTATTGACTGAAGAAACAATGCTTACACAAGTAATTAACTTTCCCCTTTGGAAGAAGATATAACTTTGCATCAACCTTAAATTATGGAATTATCATGAGATGTATTTTGACCATTTTTAGCTTGACTATACAAAGTTTATGGAGAGCTGTCCTACTTACCCTGGTGTTGGCTTCCACATCTGCATCCAGATTTCAGATTAAAGAATTGGTGCATTAAAATATTTTTTGCTATAACTTCTTTATTTCTTGAGGTATCAACTTTAAATATATGTTCCTTATCACCAACCACATCTTATGTGACAAAGTTCATAACTCTAGAAGCAATATTTTCAAAATTATCCCCACTAACACTTGAACTTAGAATTTTCCTTAAAAGTGATATTTTTAGCTCACCTGTCACAAAGTCCGTCCGTCCATCCGTCCGTCCATCCGCACTCACAGGAGAGTAATTATGTGGCTAGAGGGACAATAGGTAACAGTTCTTTCTCTTTGATGTCATTCATTCCGTAATGCTTTTATGTGGCTATTTTCTTTTGTGTGGCTAAAAAGAACAATAGAGAGAACAATAGAGTAGCCACATAATTACTCTCCTGTTAGAACTTTTACTTTAAATAACATCTCCTCATAAACCATTAAGCCAATTTCATCCAAACTTCACAGGAATGTTCCTTTCGTGGTCACCTTTAAAAATTGTTCAAAGAATTTAATTCTATGCAGAACTCTGGTTGCTATGGCAACCGAAAGAAAAAACTTTAAATATCTTCTTTTAAAAAACCCAAAGAGCTAGAGCTTAGATAATTGGCATATAACATCTTCTAGTGAGTGTCTACCAAGTTTGTTCAAATAAAAGCCCTGGGGTCAAAATTGGCCCCGCCCCAGGGGGTCATTGATTTTCCCTTTATGCATATAGTAAAAACTTAAAAAATCTTCTTTTAAAGAACTGAAAAAGCTAGAGCTAAGATATTTAGCATGAAACATGTTCTAATAGGTGTCTACCAAGTTTGTTCAAATAAAAGCCCTGGGGTCAATATTGGCCCCGCCCCGGGGGTCATTGATTTTCCTTATATGTGTATAGCAAAAACTTAAAAATCTTCTTTGAAAAAACCCAAATAGCTACTGTTTAGATATTATGCATGAAATATCTTCTACTTAGTGTCTACAAAGTTTGATCAAATAAAAGCCCTGGGGTCAAAACTGGCCCCGCCCCAGGGGTGTCATTGTTTTTAAGTATATGTGTATAGTAAAAACTTAAAAAATCTTCTTTTAAAAAACCCAATGAGCTAGAGCTTAGATGTTAAGCATGAAACATCTTCTCATAGGTGTGTACCAAGTTTGTTCAAATAAAAGCTCTTGGGTTAAAATTAGCCCTGCCAGGGGGGGGGGGGGAGGTCATTGTTTTTCATTATATGTTTATAGTAAAAACTTAACATCATGAAACATCGTCTAATGGGTGTCTTCCAAGTTTGCTCAAATAAAAGCCCTGGGGTTTAAACTGGCCTCGCTCTGGGGGCCTATATACAGGTGAGCGACCTCAGGGCCATCATGGCCCTCTTGTTTACTCTTACTTCTTTATTTCTTAAGGGATGAATTTCAAACTTTAATTATTTGTTCCTTATCATCACTTACATCATTTGTGACAAGATTCATAACTCTAGCATGAATTTTTTCAGAATTATCTCCCCATGAACTTAGATGTTTCCTCAAAAAATGCTATTTTTACTATAATTTCTTTATTTCCTTTGGTATCTTCTTTAAACTTCCAATATATGTTCCTTTTTATCACCCATATCAAGTGTGACAAGATTTATAAGCATGAACATTTTGATAATTACCCCCCCCCCCTCTTGAACTTCGAATTTTCCTTAAAAAATGTTGTGTTTTTTTTACTATAACTTCTTTATTTTTTAAGGGATCTACTTCAAACTTCAAATATATGTTCCTTATCACCAACAACATCATAAGGGACAATATTCATAGCTCTAGCACCAATAGTTTGAGAATTATCCCCCCCCCCTTGAACTTAGAATATTCCTCAAAAAATGGATTTTTTTTTACTATAACTTCTTTATTTTATCAGGGATCTATGAGAAACTTCAAGTGTGTTTCTTATCATCAACCACAACCAATGTGACAAGGTTCAGAACTCTAGTGCTATTATTTATAGAATTACCTCCCCTTGAAAAATCCCCTTGAAAAATGTTATTTTTTACTCTAACTTCATTATTTTAAAAGGGATCTTCTTCAAACTTCAAATATAAGTTCCTTATCATCAACCAGTTCATAATGGTAGGAGGTGTCAGTGTCTTAAGTGTCAATATTTCCAGAATTATTTGCCCCTTGAACATAGAATTTTCCTTATTTCTTCTGTAACTTCTTTATTTCTTAAGGTATTTACTTCAAACTTCAAATATAATGTATGTTATAAACAACTTTATCATGTGTGATTAGATTTTTAAGTCTAATACTTTTTTCTGCCTTTTAACTTTTCTTCTTTGTAATGATATATGATATCTACTTAGGACTAAAGATATTTTGTAGTTTGTCATCAATCACATTATGTATGACAATGTTAATAACTTGTCATAACAATGTTGAACTTAAAATATTGCTTTTAAAATGTTATATACTTTTTGCTCTCAGTCTTATCATCCTTTTTACTGAAGGGTTTAATTCAGAATTTTTTTGTTTCATTGTCATTGACATTGTCAAATGCATATAATGTGGTGAAAAATTGGCTGCTTTGATACTGATACAAATCTATATAGTTATGTCATAATTGTTTTCCTTTTCATAGTTTTGTCTTCCTTTACTGTGTCCAATATTTAATTAGTCAAGTGTGCTGTCTCCCCTGACAGCTCTTGTTACTGTTAACAATTATGGATTTCTTTTGAGCACACACAAACAAGATGATATTGTTATAATGGTATAAGTGTTGAAAAATTTATTTTGACATTATACATGTGCCAATGCCTTCATGCCATACCTTCTTACCAAGACAAAGACCATGGTCTTGGCATTTTAGTTACAGAACTGTGGTATCCATTTCCCTGTTATCTCATCCAATTGCTCTTTGAGAGTTGTTAAGGGTAAAGGAGCTCCCATGAGTTCCAAAAGCATAATATTTGAAAATCTTTAATAAATTAACTGGAGCACTTAAAAAACAGAAGTATACTCAAAATTAAACTGAATTTTTTTTTGGTGCGATTCTTAGCCATATGTGAGTTGAAAGTATTACAGCAGTTTTCATTATTAGGTCGTTTGAACAAGAAAAATAATTATTAAGGTAAAACGGAGTTAACAAGCTTTGCATATATGTTATTTGTATAGACATTTGCTTTATCTTGTATTCACTTATTGACAAATATAAATCTGTGATCTGTGTAAGTTACTTTTACTGATATTTATTTTATCTCAATTATCTCCCCTTTTCATACTTAAAAATGTGACATAGATACATTTGACAATTTTGTCAGGACAAAAGCATGGGCTTTAATAAAGCCAAATTAGGTAGAGAGTTACTGTTTTAACCAGCCCGCATAGCTCAGTCGGTCAGAGCGCAAGACTTGTAATCTCAACCTTGTGGGTTCGATCCCGGGCTGGCCAACTAAAATTACTAATCAGTCTTTCGGATGAGACTTTAAATCGAGGTCCTGTGTATGGGTGCTTAAACACTTGGCACGCTAAAGAACCAGGAGAAGCTTCTGGAATTGGGGCATCTTTCTATATCTGTAATTGCTATATCCTCCAAAAATCTAAAATGACTAATACTCTTCTGGAGGACTCGCCCATATGGGCAACCAGTGGTGAGTATAAATAAACGCAAATACACACACGAGTAACTGTTTATCTCATTGTAAAAGGTGACCAATATAAAGCTCATATTCTGAAATCCGCAAACTAGGCACCTAAGATGTCAAAAATGTTGTGGCTCTAATATACTTATTGACAGTCACTATAATGGTTTCATCTGAATCATTATTTACCAATATAAAAATATTGTTTGATGCTTAATGTGAAATATCTTTTGTATAATCTTGATTTTAAAGTGACTGAATTGAGAACATTGTTCTGTATATAAATGTCATAGTCGTATATATATATTTTTTTGTGTTGCATTACACATTCTCTTTCACATATGTTTAGTCTCACACATGTATCTATTTGTCTTTAACATATAAATGTATCAATTTAAAACATTTTTCATATGAGGTTTTGACAGATCAAATCTAACTTCTATTTTACAAATATTGTTAATCAAAATAAAGTTGGTCCTTTATAAAATAATGAAGTTGGTCCTTTTTTTAAAATTTATCAGAAATTCTTTATTTGGTTTAAACAATATTTATTTCTTCTTCCATGTTTTCAATATAAATTTACAATACATATAAATTACAATTATAATAAAGTAGAAAACCTAAAGCTTATAATTATGGAAATCTCTCTTCTTTATTTAAATTCAAATGTTTTCACAATTTTTTTGAATAACATATTATGTATGCATGTATATATTTTTCCATATAATTGATCTGCTCAGTATACATGTATAAGTCTTGTTCGGAAAAGATCATACTGCTTTATTGTAACAGAAACTTCTTAAGGTTTTGATGCAAAACAAACATGACTTATATAAAATGAAGGGTATATAACTGATGGGAATTTAGCTAATTTCAATTACTTATAGATTATATATGTTTATTCAGAGTCTTGGAGTTCACATGGATTACAAAACACCAGCAGAAGTGAGTATTGTGTTATTAAGAGGATATTTTTTTTATAGAAACCACGTTTTAATTTTTATATTACGATTCATGACATTCCCTCATGATAAAAGTATGACTCATGATATACATGTTCTAGGTATATTGTTAACAATTTAAAATATCATCTGTTACCAGGGCTGTATATTATAGAATAATTCAGTATTAATTTTTTGTTTTCAACAGCTGTTTAATTGATGATTGTTATAACTGTGTGAAATGTTGAGATACCGTATGTGACAATTTCCAGTCACTTGTTGTTATATTTATGTTCATATATCTATATAATATATTAAGATTTTTACACCGTTTCCTGGTATAGGCCTGCCTTTTTAGCTAGAGGTGGACTGTTTAAGGCTCTGTTAGGTCATTTTCAGCAGCTGATAAATCAAAACTATGGCAAGCTGTCGCGATGTAAAAACATTCTTTGGGACAGTTTTTATTCTATAGTTGCTGAAGAGAAATGAAAGAAATTTTCTTCCACTTTTGTCCCTTTTTGAAAGAAAAATGTTGTATGTTAACTGATGTTAAAGCATAGCAAAATGTCTGTTAGATAGATAAATTTTAAACTTTGCATATTAATGACTGAAAATAAAATGAAATAATTTAAACATAATTAGGTGTCAATATGCTTGATTGTTAGTTTTTCAACTCTTGAAAATAGTAGAAAAGAGTTTCAGGAAAAGTAGGATGGTGACCACAATTTAACAAAAAATTGTTTCAGTTATGATTCACCTTAATTTAATAAAATTCTTAGTTCAGATTTTCTTTTTCTACCTTGGTAAAAATTGATATCCTATTGTAAAATTTAATGTACATGTGTATTATGATTGCACTTTATATATTTATACAGGCAGCAAAAATAATGTATGATACAATAATGTCATACTTGAAGGATACATTGCTGGCCGATTTCAGTGCTGAAAAATTGTCATTAAGGGAGGAGTTACTGAGTGAACATCAGGCCTTCCTTTCTAGTAGATGTAATATCTTTGTACATGGAGAGATTTACTTACAACAACTAAATAAACATCTTCTATCAGGTACTACTAGATTTCCTATAGTTGAAATGCAGTGGTTATTGTGTAATGTCTTTTATGTTTCCAAATATTATATTGTTTGTATCAGCCCTCATAGGATATGTATCCTGTTCACTTATATATTACCAGTACTGTATTGTCAAGAGACAAGACTGATACATATAACACATCATCATTCCATCGTATTTAATTGAAGATAAATATATTTACTTTTAAACTAACTTGACTTGTACAACAATAAGATAGGATTAAAAGTGCAACAACAAGTGTTTTAAATCATCAATGAATGGTTGCTTCCTATCTGTTACAGTACTTTTGACAGACTTCATGTAATCAAACTTATTCTTTTGTGACTGTCTTAATTTAAAGAGCAAACACATAACAAGATCTTTCAGGAAATAATTCCGAATTCTGGTTAATTACTATTCTGCTAATAAAGACTGAATAAAGACGTTTACTTCTCCAAGCATTATTGACAAAAACAGTTTTATCTGAATGTAATTTTCTTTATCACAGAGTTATTAACTTTATTACAGAACAAGGGAAGAACACACTGGTTGTAGGAGGGGCTGGAAGTGGGAAGTCAGCATTACTATGTAACTGGATATCAGCACTTCAAAAAGACAACAACAACTATATCGTAGTCTATCATTTCATTGGTTATGCTGATGGAAGTACAGGTTTGCAATTACTTCAGATATTTTTATCAGTAAAACAAGAAAAAGCTGCAAGTCTGTTGACAATCATTTATCATAGATGTTGATCTGTTGAAGGAATTGCATGTGTACATGATACAGTTTTCCAGTAATGTATATAAGTTTTTTTGCTAAAGGTTGATGTAGCCAAGTACATGTAGTTATAGTTTGCCCTTCTCTGCTGTGTGTTTAAATCACATCAGACTTTACATAAGTATGGAAGGTTGGTGGTGCTACTTAGGTGTAAGCTTGTGACTGAAATAATGCAAAGAATGCCCACTGAGGATTTTCTCCATCTGTGAAGTTGAAATGTAGCCATTTGACCTTAAAGCAGCATGCCTCAGGATTCCTGCTAATTTTCATGAAAATTTTGAAAATGTATTAAAAAGTAAAATATTGTGAAGTGAACAAAGAAAATACTTTATATATTGCAAACGGAACTTATAACCCATGCAAATTACCAAAAATAAGTACAAATATAGTCCTTACTGCATTAGTAACGCATTAGAAATATGGTTATAAATACTGCAAAATCAGTCATTAATTGTACATAGCATGTAAGTTTTTACTTGAATCTTGAATTTTTTCTCTTTTCTTAAAATTACATTACATTTTTCTCAAGTTTGATTTTCTTGAAATATTTTGGTTCATCTCTTTAATGTGGTGATGTGACTTGAAACATAAAAAAAATGTTTACCTCATTTTTGCAGATGTCAATAGCATGTTATCAAGAATCACTAAAGAATTCAAATATGTATTATCAAAAATGATGGATGGATCAGCAGTCCATCAAGATGATGTAGAAGATTTTCAAGGAGATGATTCTCAAAATGATGCTGAAAAGACACATATTCTGGTGCAAAGGTTACTTGCTGCTCTTGACAAAGTTATTTCCATAGGGAAAACACCAGTCTTAGTACTTGATGGTTTAGATAAAATAGTCAATGTCAGTGTGATCAAAAAGGTAATGTCAGCAATTTACTTATATTGATCATAAAATATCTAGTTCAATTATATTATGCCATCAAAACTTTTCTATGCATTATAAATTTTATTGCTCAAGACTATAGCTTTTGAGTAATATAATTTGTCAAGATTTATTTTTTAGCTTGATAAATGATTTTTATTTTAGTATTCTTATATTCATAGTTCAAAATATTTTTAAAAGTTCATTATCTCTTATAAGAGAAAATGTAGATATATATTACCTGGTCTCTGTCATTAAAAATGTGTTAAAAATTGTTTTATATTTATTTAGGTTTTATTCTGGTTGCCCATACATTTTCCAGCATCAGCAATGGTTGTTTTGTCAACGATGGATTCTGACACTGCCACCATTGATGAGTTACGCAGCAGGAAATATCATTTTATCCATATTGATCCATTACCTAATGAATATAAGCATGAAATGTGTGTGGTAAGTTGCTGCACCTGTCATACTGAGGACATAAAATTGTGTGTGCCTCTAGCAACCATAACCTACCATTTTATTAGAACCAGGCTATTCTACAAATGCCAACAGTCTTATAAACTAACATTAAAGTTCCATATTAAAAAATAAAGTAAGTTCATTACAAATATTTAGCAGTGTATGGTATAAATACAATCAGATACTACTGATACATTTGGATGACCAGAGTATCTTTGTTACAGAGTAAGAGATTGTCACTGACTTTTTTTTCATATTGGGTTAAGAACCATAAATGCAATTTTTAAAGAAACTTGTTAACTTGAAAGTGTTGACAAACCCTGGTTACTACCAGTGCAAATTGAAATTATTCTACCTTTAACAACTGAGACTTAGATATTTGTATTAATTGAAGATACGGTTAACAAATCTTATATTTGGCTTTTAGTATGTGAAGCAAAAGATTCTGTCTGTTCCTATCCAGCAATACTGTTGACAACTTCAGTTTGTTTTATATTTCACATTTTAAAAAACTGACTCTTTTTATCTATCTTGGAAATTTAGTTATTTGTTTAATTTCCAAACTTGAATTGATAAAAAATAGAAATGGTTAGATATAATTTTTTTCATTTCAGAAAACATTAAAAGAGACAGGGAAGGAGTTATCCCCCACTCAGCTAGACCGTATTGTTACTGCTGCAATGACAAAGAATCCACTGTTTCTCAAAATCACCTTGTCTGTAAGTAATATCACCTTCACAGTGTCAATCCAGGACTTTATTTCCTTGGTTTTTTAGCTCGACTTTTCTATGAAAAGGGGAGCTATCCTACTCGCCCCGGCGTCGGCGTCGGCGTTGGCGTCGGCGTTGGCGTCACACCTTGGTTAAGTTTTTCGTACCACCCCACTTTATTTCAGAAGTATTACAAGTATGGCTTTGAAACTTACCATACTTGTTCACCATCATAACCTCCATCTACAGACAAGAGTACATAACTCTGTCAAGGTTTTTGACAGAATTATGGCCCTTTTTTGACTTAGAAAGTGTATTGAGCTTGGTTAAGTTTTTTGTACCACCTCACTTTATTTCAAAACCATTGGAGGTATTGCTTTGAAACTGACCATACTTGTTTACCATCACGACCTTCATCAACAGACAAGAGGACATAACTCTGTCAAGGTTTTTGACAGAATTATGCCCCTTTTTGACTTAGAAAATACATTGAATATGGGTAAAATCCACTTATTGCCTTAACCCTTTGAGATATTGCTTTGAAACTTTTAATGCTATTTCACATCATTACCCCCATCTGTACGCAAGAGAAGGTAACTCTGTCAAGGATTTGTTTTAAAAATTAAGGCCTTTTATCGACTTAGAATCTAAAAAAGCTTGATAAAATTTATCTATTACTTGTATTATAAGGTAACTATAATACTTTCACATACAAAGTCAAATCTATATATTATGCTGATTGTACAAAAATATACTGCTTCCTTGGCATAGATTTCTTGAAAAATTATGTTATTATGTCATTTACCAAGGTGTTCTGAGTGACGTAAAAATACCTTATTCTCTCAAAGTGGGTTTAATACTATTAAATTTATTTAAGGCTCAACTCAGTTTTTTTTTCTTTCTTACCAGCCCTCTTTTGACTTAAACATTTCAAACTTTGCTGCAGTGTTCAAGGGTATCACACAATTCAGTAAAATAATTCTTCACTAAATATCTTAATGCTCATGGCCATTGTTCACTTTAAAAATACAGAGATTCTTGTATTGCCTTTTACTGCAAAAACTTTTTTTATTGGCAAGCAATAAAAAAGTCGAGCGCGCTGTCTTACGGACAGCTCTTGTGTTTATTTTAGCTGCCACCGGGCTCTTTTTAACTTTGGAGTTTAGTACTAGACAGACTTTGTTTTGACATTAAGTTTTATCTCAAATGTATAGAATTGATACAAATGGACAATCTTTAAGTTATACATGTACTCTATTTTCATTGATCACACTGTATTGATGATGTTTAAAGTTTTAAAGTAAATAAATACACTAAAACTATGCAACAGGATATTTTTCTTTGCTGTATTTTATTTTTTATTTAAGTCAAACACTAAATGTAAGTAATTTTGCACGAATATATGAGAAAGGAAACGCTTACTCAATTATATGACTGGTTTTTAGCTCGACTATTCGATAAGAATAAGTAGAGCTATTGCAGTCACCCGAGCGTCGGCGTCTGCGTCGGCGTCGGCGTAACCACTTATATTAAAGTTTTTGTAATAGTTCAAATATTTTCAAAGTCCATGGACATATGGCTTTGAAACTTTGCACACTTGTTCACCATCATGACCCCAACCTGTAGACAGGAGGAGGTAACTCTATCAAGCATTTTGACGGAATTATGCCCCTTTTTCGACTTAGAATTTACGTTAAAGTTTTTGTAATAGTTCAAATATTTTCAAAGTCCATTGACATATGGCTTTGAAACTTTGCACACTTGTTCAACATCATGACCCCAATTTGTAAACAGGAGGAGGTAACTCTATCAAGCATTTTGACAGAATTATGCCCCTTTTTTGACTTAGAATTTATGTTAAAGTTTTTGTAATAGTTCAAATATTTTCAAAGTCCATTGACATATGGCTTTGAAACTTCACACACTTGTTCACCATCATGACCCCAACCTGGAAACAGGAGGAGGTAACTCTATCAAGCATTTTGACAGAATTATACCCCTTTTTTGACTTAGAATTTACGTTAAAGTTTTTGTAATAGTTCAAATATTTTCAAAGTCCATTGACATATGGCTTTGAAACTTTGCACATTTGTTTACCATCATGACTCCAACCTGGAGGAGGTAACTGTATCAAGCATTTTTTTTACTATCAAGCACTAAGAATAGTCGAGCGTTGCTGTCCTACCGACAGCTCTTGTTAGATAGATTCTTGTAATTTTTTTTGACTATATATTATGTTTACAGGAACTAGTAGCTTTTGGCTATTTTCGACTTCTGGATAAGAAAATAGACTCCCTGATCACATCTGAAAGGTGAGACTGCATATTGTAAATCTGTAATAACAAGCTTTATTCCTGTATGTATTAAGAACACTACTGGCATGCGAGCAGTTCCCGTACAAAAATCGTAGTTACTTAAACATTATTTTTTATTACGCTCACTCACCAAAATTTGAATGTTACACATCAATATTCGGCTCGTCACACAAATCATGGAAATTCCATCATGTTCTAAACATAAAATAACCCTTAGTTATGAGGCCTCATATGGGGTACAGAAATTATCCATTATTTTGTATGAAGAGAAGTAGTTCCCGTACATAAAATTTAACCCATTATAATTATACAATTTTATTATATCGGACCTATTTTTCATTTATAATTGTTGAACAGACCATTTTCTAAGAGATAAATAGATGTAATTCAGGAAATAGAAAGTAGACTAAACGCGTGTATCTATTACCCGGTACCGTTACCCCCAACGCATTCACATGCGATGGCATGCTTGTATGCATGATATTTTACGCATCAAAGCCATAAAATTATTTTATATAGTAATATTGGTCAAAATTCTGATAATTAAACAAGTTTTCATCACATTGCCTTCTTATCTGTAAACAGGTGGTATTAGTGGAAAACCCTTTAACATGCCTCACGTGTAAGTATGTTTGCGCATGCGCGCAAGGACGGAATCCCCCAGATAAAACAAGGTCACGTTTTGACAACGCACAGGTGAAAGTGATTTAAAATGAGACTTTTTATACATACTGCCGAACTGACACTTAGATTTTGTCTCGTTTATGTATCTGCTTGATTTGAAATGAATTTTTGAAGAATGCATGTAAAAATCAAGCATTTAAATGAAAAATACGGATACTGCTTCTGTACGGGAACTGCTCGCATGCCAGTAAGCTTATTGTTGGAATAGTCAGTTATGTAGAATATAATTATTAAAGTTAGCTTCAAATTTATATTAAGTCATGTAGTACAATCACAGTATGTTTTCATGGAAAATTTTTATTTACAAACAAATATGTTTTCTATTATCTACATAAATGTTTTCTTATTATATATGTTCTCTGTTCTTGAAAAGAAATGGATTTTAAGTGTTGTTGATTAAACATTTTTAGTTGTAAACTTAAGTTAATTCACTTCTTCTTTGCTTCAAATTGTATAGGTTAGTAAATTATAAAAATGGTACAATTAGCTTCTTCCAGTAAAGGTTCGGTCCAAGACATTTGCTTTATGGCAAGTATTTCAATAAAACAGCACTGTAAAGATAGATAGATATTTGATATTTCTATGTTTCCTGCTGCAGCATTGAAGCTTTGTTCCTGCAAGTATTAGCAAGGTTAGAAGAAGATTACAATGTGGATGATTACCATGGTAACCTTGTTGAACAGGTACATATTTTGTTGTGAATATGTTGTATGTGTCAGTTTTTACTCAAAATTTAAATTATAGTAAAACAGGATGATGAACTCTTGTTACCTGAAAAAATTGCCAAAAACAGCATCAATTCAGATTCAGTTTTTTCATGAATATTTTACAACACTACATGTGCAGAAACCACTACATGTAGGATGGTCCCCTATGGTACCATTGTTCTTATTATTTCCAGCAAATTGTATAAAATACAAAGAACTTGTATTTACTATTTTATTAAATTGTGTTTAACTGTTGTATCTTAACTTTAAAAAACACATGTCATTCATAGAATAACTCAATGATTTAAATTAGAAACATCTATGGTCAGTCAGCCATGTTTTGAACTAATTCATTTGGCAAAGTGCATAGATTAATCAACTGAATTGATTTAGAAAAGATTATCAGGACTGTAAAAAAGGTTGGTAACAGATGAAGTTGCTTGTGGGGGTTTATGCATTTTAATTTAAGAACTCTATTCATGGATTTAAAAAAGGCTACCAAAATTGTGTGCTGTTTTTTGCCTTGCTTCTTATCACAAAGTCACATGTTAAGGTGAATATGAAATTAAAATTTATGTTCAATATGAACTAAATATTAGAAATTTAAAGTTACATTTAATAAATTTCATAAAAAAACTAAATAGCGACATTTCATTAACAAATTGGGTTTTATATCGACTCCAGGTCTTATTTTGGTGTCCAGACAACCAAAATGAGTTTTATTATTAGCATTAAAATGGGTAACCTCATTGTGGCGGACTGGGAAGTACAATTTCTGCTGCATGAGAAACTCCGCCTTCTGATCATGCGTATATCAATATTAAATCAACAAATATGACTATAAAGTGGCAGTCCTAATTTAACGGTATATTTCCGTATTGTAACGGATGTTTTCATACAAATTTAATCTTTTTACGAGATGATTACTTTTACTGAACCCCAGGTTTAGTGCACCGTAAAGCTTAAATGGTTAAAGTGTGTTTGCACAAGAAAATATCACATTTGCTGTGTTCCGGATAGCAACTATAAAACTGTGACGTAGCGCATACACGAGCTCATTATAGTCTTCATTTGCATGTTAAAATTAGTATACGAACTTTAGTGTTACCGTGGGGTTTCCCGTTTAAAATCCTAATTTATGAACAATATTTGATGAGATTTACAACAAAACTTTTAAAAAGGTTAATGAAACTGTAGAATGTTTGATTTTTAGGCCGACGGCAAAGTATTTTTACATATTTATTTAATGTAACTTTAAACTGTATTTAGTACAAGTACCATACCTTCATCTGTATTATTTTTTAGATTTTTGCTATTCTTGTTAACAAAAATGCTTTATTGTATCACTCATTTCAGTTTCCTTTTAAAGTCTGTATTTGCTTTGGTGTAAAAATATGATTTTTACACAAAAATCGCATCTATAGCCTCCAACAAATGAGCTGCTTCATGACAAAACCAACGTAATGCGTTTGCGACCAGCATGGATCCAGACCAGCCTGTGCATCTGTGCAGTCTGATCAGGATCCATGCTTTCACTGTCAGTTTCTCTACTTGTTATAGGGTTTGTAAGCAAACAGCATGGATCCTGATCAGACTGGGCGGATGCGCAGGCTGGTCTGGATCCATGCTTGTAGCAAACGCATTACTTTGGTTTTGTCATGGCACGGCAAAAATGACAATGTTGTATGATTATTACAGGTGATGTCTAGCATAATGTTGTCAAGTCAGGGACTCTCTGAGACAGAAATCAAGCAGATATTTACTATACCTGATCATGTTTGGTCTCCATTTTACTTTGCAATTGAGAAACTTGTTATCAGCCAGTCTGGAAGAATACAGTAAGTTTATACTTTCTTATATTCACTTAAGGTACTATTGTAGCAAGTGTCTTCAGTTGAACAGATACTGGGTTAATTTTGGGTGGTATCAAAGACTGAGATTCCAGCTGGGCATATTATAAAGGTGTGGTTGTCAGTCAAAGCTTTGTCATTTAAGGAACTTCATTGAGGTTTTTTGAAATAACTATACTGGAAATATTTTGTCCTTGATTTGTGTACCATTTGATGAAAGTCTAGACCATTAACTTGTAAGCAAATTTTCAAATCATTCCCTCACCCCGTTTATCCAGAATAATTATGTTTAGTTCGTAAAATGATTAAAAAATGAAAAGTGTTGGTATGCTTTGCTAAGAATGGCAGAAAAATATCATAATCATTTTAATTCTAAATTTATTTCGTATATTTTTCAATTTTAAGTGCTTCACTTATATGTATTAATTTTAAATTTTGTGTGTGTATGTTAATTCTATGTTATTTATAAAGACTTTTAAGACTTAATTCTGGATCTTTTATATATCATGTGTGATAAAGACAAGGTAAAATTATTGCTTTTAAAAACAGAATTTAACATTAATAAAGATAAATTCTAATTGTGTTCCTAAAGAAATGTCTTTCATTATACCCCCGAAACAAAGTTTGGGAGGGGGTATATAGGAGTCACTCGGTGGTCGGTTGGTCAGTCCAGCGGTCCGTTGCATTTTCTTTGTCCGGAGCATAACTTGAAGACTAATGGTTGCAATTCAATACAACTTCATACAATGATCAAGCACATTGAGAGGAAGTGCAGTGCACAAGAACCATAACTCCATCTTGACTAATTACAGAGTTATTGCCCTTTGTTACTTTTCCTTGTCAGGAGCATAACTTGAAAACTACTGGTTGGAATTCAAAACAAATTTATACAATGGTCAAGCACAATAAGAGGACGTGCAGGGCACAAGAACCATAACTCTTTCTAAAGTAATTACAGAGTTATTGCCCTTTGCATTTTTTGTCCGGAGCATAACTTGAAGACTAATAGTTGGAATTCAATACAACTTCATACAATGGTCAAGCACATTAAGAGGAAGTGCAGTCACAAGAATCATAATACCATTTTGACAAATTACAGAGTTATTGCCCTTTGATACTTTTCCTTTCAGAGCAGTTATTGCCCTTTGATACTTTTCCTTGCCCGGAGCATAACTTGAAAAGTACTGGTTGGAATTCAAAACAACTTCATACAATGGTCAAGCAAAATAAGAGGAAGTGCAGTGCACAAAAACCATAACTCTGTCCAGAGTAATTATAGAGTTATTGCCCTTTGTTACTTTTCCATTGCTTTTTTGTTGTCCAGAGCATAACTTGAAAACTACTAGTTGGAATTCAATACAATTTCATACAATGGTCAAGTATATTGAGAGAAAGTGCAGTACTGGTTGGGGACCACCAAAACCGGACAACCACCAAACCCGGACGGCCCCGAAAATGCTTAATTTAGTATTTTCTTTGTTCAGTGGTTGTCAGTCACTTTTTTTATCAACAATGTTTATTTTAAAATTAAGTAAATAAATTTATTTCAACCTCCGTAAATGGTGATATTTTAATGTCTATTTCAAGAATGTTGACTTTGAAATTTGGGGGTCAAGAAAGCAATGCCTGACCTCATATATCAGCTATAATCATTTGCAGAGTGAATAATAGAATATCCAAAACTTCACCATTTGTTGCTGACATATTGTATATCATGTTAAAAATCAAAAATCAAAACACCCAAGCTTTTATCTGAATTGAATCACGTCATGTACATATCTGTCCCGACACATGGTACTGTAGTGTAGACAATTTAGGTAATTTTGATACCCTCCTTGTCGAGCCTCAGATATAAGTGTCAATAAGGAGAAGAACCTAGCTGAACTTTGTCAAATTTTTTGGTCTCTAGGTTAAAAATTATGAAATCTGTACGGAAAAGTGTTCCAAAAGTGTCAGGTTGATGGTCTCCGACCAGTACACAGAAACCATAACTCTTTCTTGACTCATTTAAGAGTTTTTGTTACTTTTTATTGTCCAGTGCATAACTTGAAAATTAATAGTTGGAATTCAATGAACCTTCATAAAATGGTCAAGGGCAGTGAGATGAAATGCAGTGCATAAGAACCATATCTCTATTTGGACTGATTACAGTTATTGCCCTTTGTTACTTTTTTTGTCCAGTGCATAACTTGAAAACTAGTAGTTGGAATTCAATACAACTTTATACAGTGGTCAAGCTCAATGAGAGGAAGTGCAGTGTACAATAACCATAACTCCATCTTCAGTATTTGTAGAGTTATTGCCCTTTGTTCCTTTTCCTTGTCTGGTGGTTTACTTAAAAACTAATGTTTAGAATTCAATGCAACTTCATACAATTGTCAAGCTCAATGAGAGGAAGTGCAGTGCTCAAGAAGCATAACTCTTTCTAGACTTATTACAGAGTAATTCAATAAAACTTCATCAATGGTCAACCACATTGAAAGGAAATGCAACATACTAGAACCACAACTATCTTTAATTGCCCACAACCATAACTCTATTTCAATTCTTTTGCAAAGTATTCTGTTACTAGTAACTTCCTCATTTCCGAAGCAGTCATGTGGGGGTATTAATCACATTTAGTGATAGTTCTAGTGTTTTCTTTATAAATATATGATGCAACCTTAGATAGTTATCAGAACTGCATGATTAAATCTGAAAATATGGAGGGAAATGTATCTTCATTATTGCAGCCGACTTCTTGTATCTTAAAAATGTAGAGACTTTCTATTGGTAAAGGAAATAAACTGACAATAATATATGATCGAGTTAAATTGTTTCAACACTGTAAATGCTTCAACCTCCAGCATTATCTTGATATAATACATATTTATAACAATACAAATTATTTACAAACCATACTGTTTTGACTAGGTTTGGGTATAAAGAATTAGGACAAGGGGTAAAAACCAAGTACCTCATGGATGAAGATAAAAAGTAAGTTTGTATTAATAGTTTTAAAAAGTTCTTGTCACTGTTCTCCTCTCAGTAATGTTTCAGTTAATATTCAAATGTAATGAATGATGGATTTAGATATTCTGTTTAATCAAGTAATGAGTAATAACTGTAAATTTGAACTTAATTAATATTTCATTGAATTTCTATTTCTATTATGATACATGCCACCAACATGTATTTTGTTGACTTTGATAATGGCTATGTTATGTTATCTTCAGGCAATTTTACCTAAGAAAGTTAGTGGAATTTTACACAGTTGAGTTACAGAAGCTTGATCAGGTAACTAAAATTGCACCTTTCATATGATCATGAATATTTCTACAGGTAATACCCTCTTGCTCTGTGTTTTTTTTATTATCCCCCGCCGAAAAATTTCGGCGGAGGATATAGAAATAGTCTCCGTCCGTCCGACCTTCCGTCCTTCCGTCCGTCCGTCCGACATTTTTGTCCGGAGCATATCTCTAAAAGTATTTGAGTAATCAACTTGAAACTTCATAGGTGGATAGACCTCATTGAGGAGGAGTGCAGTGCACAAGAATGATAACTCTACCTTGCATGATTTTTGAGTTATTGCCCTTTGTTATTTTTCAAAATTGATTTTTGTCCAGAGCATAACTCCAAAAGCCTATGAGATATTAACATGAAACTTCATAGGTGCATAGATCTCACTCAGGAGGTGTGCAGTGCACAAGAATGATAACTCTACCTTTCATAATTTTTGAGTTATTGCCCTTTGTTATTTTTCATACCTAATTTTTCACCTGAGTGGAGCATAACTCAAAAAGTGTTTGAGATATCAACATGAAATGTCATAGGTGGATAGATCTTATTGAGGAGGAATGTTGTGCGCAAGAATGATAACTCTTCCCTATACAATTTTTGAGTTATTGCCCTTTGTTTTTTATGCTATTTTGTCCAGAGCTTATCTCAAAAGTATTTGAGATATCAACTTGAAACTTCAAAGGTGGATGGATCTCATTGAGGAGGAGTGCAGTGCTTAAGAATGATAACTCTACCCTGCATTATTTTTGAGTTATTGCCCTTTGTTATTTTTTCAAAATTAATTTTTGTCCAGAGCATAACTCAAAAAGCCTTTGAGATATCAAAATGAAACTTCATAGGTGCATAGATCTCACTCAGGAGGTGTGCACTGCACAAGAATGATAAGTCTACCTTTTATAATTTTTGAGTTATTGCCCTTTGTTCTTTTTCATACTTAATTTTTCAATTCAATTTTTTTCTCAAAAAGTATTTGAGGTATCAACTTGAAACTTCATAGGTGGATAGATTTTACTGAGGGGGGATGCAGCACACAAGAATGATAACCTACCCTGCATTATTTTTCAGTAATTGCCCTTTGTTATTTTCAGCCATCAGTATTCACATAGGTTTCAAATCCGTAATCACTATAGCCATCAGTTATCATTACCAAAAGACCTCTTAAAATGGAATTATTCCACTCTACTACATATACATTCTTCCAATGAGCAAACACATTCGGCGGGGGATGGCCATGTTGACATGGCTCTTGTTCAATAATTACAATTCAGTACAAATGCATTACTTTGGAATGGCCTGTATAAATTTTTTTTAAACTTTTGTGAATATCTTGAATAGTATTTGTGTTACTATAAATCACTGAAAATAATGTCCCAATACTTGAAACTTGAAACTTTTTATTTAATTAAACGCCTGTTTCTATTTAACAATATTCAACGGCGTTGTACAGTACATATAATATAATAAGAATAAAATTGTGAATGCATAAGAATATGTGGATCAACATCAAATGAAATAAAAGCTTTTACATACAATTCCAATTAACATATTTTTAAAAAATTTTAGAGACCATAAAATGATAAAACTGATATACATGTAGCATGAGATAAGATTATTTACATACATGTAACTTGATTACAAATAGATTAAAAAGAATAAAACATTCATTTACATTGCACATTCATCACACTGTCAGTCATCAGTTATACGTTACGCATGTTTATTTCATTTCAGATTTTAAAATAGTGATTCAAACTTTCTGAAAAAATGTGTTTTAAGATTTCTCTTAAATACATCAATATTTTTAGATTGTTTCAACTCTAATGGCAGCGGATTCCACAATTTTGGACCAATAGTTCCGAAACTTCTGTCACTAAATGTTTTTCTTTTATTGAATGGAATAACGTAGCAGTTCTCAGAGGTTTTAGCTGAACGTAGTCGGGTATTTGGTACTTGTTTGGTTAGGAGTTCAGAAAGGTATTTTGGAGCGATTGAACAATTGTATACAAAAGTCAGAATTTTATATTCGATTCTAATTTTGATGGGCAGCCAGTGAAGGTCGAACAATGCTTGCCTTGAACTGTCAAATTTCTTTCGTTGCAGAACTAACTTAGCGCACATGTTTTGAATACGTTGCATTTTTTTCAATTCAAAATCGGATACACCATAAAGAATGACATTGCAATAATCCAAGTGTGACATTACGAGTGCTATTACTAGTATTTCAGCTGCTTCTTTGGTGAGGTATTTTCGGATACGTTTTATTCTAAGATAGTTTAACATTGCAGTACGGCACTTTCCTTTGACATGTTCCTTGAAATTTAGTGTTTGGTCTAGAAATGCGCCTAAATATCTAATGGACTCTTCGGAGTTGATCTTATCTCCGTTAATACAAATGGATTTTAGGTGACACTTTTCGAGTTGTTGAGAACTTCCAAATGTTATGAATTCTGTTTTCCATGAGTTCATCTTGAGTTTATTAGCGTTCATCCAGTTGTTGATATCAATCGCACCATTTTCTAAAGTACATCCTGTAAAAAAGGCAAGCACGGCGGGTAATATACAAGCATGGCAGTCTGCATTTTAATTCAGTACTGTAAGCTGCTTATTTTTAGCAGTTTCATTTTGAGATCCTGTAAACTAGCTAGTAATAGGCACTTAAAAAATAAGTTTACACATACATGTATATACAAATTCAGTAAGATTAGGATTGAAGATCAAATAGTATATGGTTATATTTTTACAGTCAGACTGTTTACATGGAGGAAACTTGAAAGTTTTTAGTGCAGCAAATGAGCTGCCCCACCTGATACTTCAACTTGGAGATGCAGAACAATTGATCACATGTCTCTCTAATTTCTTTGTTTTCTCTCATCTAGAAAGGTAAGATTATGTTGTTTTTAGCTCGACTATTCGATAAGAATAAGTAGAGCTATTGCAGTCACCCGAGCGTCGGCGTCGGCGTAACCACTTATGTTAAAGTTTTTGTAATAGTTCAAATATTTTCAAAGTCCATAAACATATGGCTTTGAAACTTTGCACACTTGTTCACCATCATAACCCCAACCTGTAGACAGGAGGAGGTAACTCTATCAAGCATTTTGACAGAATTATGCCCCTTTATCGACTTAGAATTTACGTTAAAGTTTTTTGTAATAGTTCAAATATTTTCAAAGTCCATTGACATATGGCTTTGAAACTTTGCACACTTGTTCAACATCATGACCTCAACCTGTAAACAGGAGGAGGTAACTCTATCAAGCATTTTGACAGAATTATGCCCCTTTTTCGACTTAGAATTTACGTTAAAGTTTTTGTATTAGTTCAAATATTTTCAATGTCCATTGACATATGGCTTTGAAACTTTGCACACTTGTTCACCATCATGACCCCAACCTGTAAACAGGAGGAGGTAACTCTATCAAGCATTTTGACAGAATTATGCCCCTTTTTCGACTTAGAATTTACGTTAAAGTTTTTGTAATAGTTCAAATATTTTCAAAGTCCATTGACATATGGCTTTGAAACTTTGCGCACTTGTTCACCATCATGACCCCAACCTGTAAACAGGAGGAGGTAACTCTATCAAGCATTTTGACAGAATTATGCCCCTTTTTTGACTTAGAATTTACGTTAAAGTTTTTGTAATAGTTCAAATATTTTCAAAGTCCATTGACATATGGCTTTGAAATTTTGCACACTTGTTCACCATCATGACCCCAACCTGTAAACAGGAGGAGGTAACTCTATCAAGCATTTTTTTTACTATCAAGCACTAAGAATAGTCGAGCGTTGCTGTCCTACCGACAGCTCTTGTTTTTATTCTAATTGAGTGCAATATCTTAAGTATGGACAATTTCTTCATTTAATACCATAAAAGAAATAAGCATTACACGTTTAATATAATTTGGTGTAATTATGAAAATCTATATTGCAAATAGACAGTTAAACTTTAACTTTACTAATTTTGTGTAATGGAATTGCTCAGCTTTGAATTTTGGAGAGTCATTTGGAGAGTCATTTCAAACTTTAAGGAATTTTGGTATCAAAATTCAAAAATTGAGCTTCCCACAGTATAGAGCCTGGTCATACTTGATAGATGTGCCGGCTGGTCTGGCTCTATATAATTTTTGATAGGTAATTATACCCCCACCACAAAATGTGGGGGGGCTATACTGGATTCGCTTTGTCGCGTCGGTAGGTCGGTCGGTCCGTCCGTCTCCATTTTCATGTCCGCTCTATAACTCCTATACCACTTGAAGGATTTTCTTCAAACTTGGCTCAAATGTTCACCTCAGCAAGGGGATGTGCAGAACCCATGTTGCCCATGTGTCAGCTCAATGTCAAGGTCACAATTGAAGGTCAAATATCAAACACAATCATATATTAGACAGTATGTTGTGTCCGCTCTGTAAGTCCTACAGTAATTGAAAGATTTTCTTCAAACTGGGCTCAAATGTTCACCTCAACAAGGGGATGTGCAGAACTCATGTTGCCCATGTGTCATCTTAAAGTCAAGGTCACAATTGAAGGTCAAATATCAAACCCCCACCACAAAATGTGGGGGGGGGGGGCTATAATGGATTCGCTTTGTCGCGTCGGTCGGTCGGTCAGTCGGTCGGTCGGTCAGTCGGTCCGTCTCCATTTTCGTGTCCGCTCTATAACTCCTATACCACTTGAAGGATTTTCTTCAAACTTGGCTCAAATGTTCACCTCAGCAAGGGGATGTGCAGAACCCATGTTGCCCATGTGTCAGCTCAAGGTCAAGGTCACAATTGAAGGTCAAATATCAAACACAATCATATATTAGACAGTATGTTGTGTCCGCTCTGTAAGTCCTACAGTAATTGAAAGATTTTCTTCAAACTGGGCTCAAATGTTCACCTCAACAAGGGGATGTGCAGAACTCATGTTGCCCATGTGTCATCTTAAGGTCAAGGTCACAATTGAAGGTCAAATATCAAACAATCAAATATTACACAAAATGTTGTGTCCGCTCTGTAAGTCCTACACTTATTGAAAGATTTTCTTCAAACTTTGCTCAAATGTTCACTTCAACAAGGGAAGTGCAGAACCCATGTTGCCCATGTGTCAGCTCAAGGTCAAGGTCACAAATGAAGGTCAAATATCAAACAGTCAAATATTAGACAGTATGTCGTGTCCGCTCTGTAAGTCCTACACTTATTAAAAGATTTTCTTCAAACTTAGCTCAAATGTTCACCTCAACAAGGTAATGCAGAACCCATGTCACCCTTTTGCGGGCTTAAGGTCAAGGTCACACTTGAAGGTCAAAAATTGACTTAGAAAATGTTCTTAAATTTTAACATATATCTGAATATTTCTGAATCTACGAAAGGTATTTGCTTGAAACTTAAAATATATATGAAGTGTCCCAATTAAGATATGCTGGTCAAGTTTCATTACTCTGTATTGCATTTTAACAAAGTTATGCCCCTTTTTATTCTTCAAATTTACATACAATCACATATTAGACCCTCATCGCTGTGGGTTCGAATCCCGACAGGGACTTTGGATTCTTTCATGTGAGGAAGCTATCCAGCTAGCTTACGGAACGTCGGTGGTTCTACTCAGGTGCCCGTTCGTGCCTGAAATAATGCACAGAAGCACCTGAGGTCTTCCTCCACCAGTAAAGCTGGAACGTCGCGATATGACCTATACTGTGTCGATGTGACGTAAAACCCAAAACAAACAAACATATTAGACAATATGTCGTGTCTGCTCTATAAATCCTATACTAATGGAAGGATTGTTTTCAAACTTTACTCAAATGTTCACCCCAATTGGGCGATGTGCAGAACCCATCTTATCCTTGTGCCAGCTGTAGGTCAAGGCCACACTTGAAGGTCAAAAATTGACTTATAAAAAAGTTAGTATATTGGGAAAATGAAAGGTTATTTGTAACTGTTTCGAACATGATTGATAATAGATATTTTTACTATTACCTGTACAATTAGTCTTTTCTTCACCAGAGATAATTTCTTTTTATGTATTTGTCCCACTTAAGTTATTCCCTTAACCACCTTTCCATGTCGTCTTCTGTCAAGGACATTGGTGGGGGTATGAATCGCATTCAGCGATAGTTCTAGTTTGTATTTTATTTCATGAAGTCGTAAGTCTAATAAACATAGGAAACATTTTAATGTTATCTTGTTCTAACGCATTTTTGTTTCAGTAAGTCTCCATATCATCTAATACAACTATGGCATCAAACAGGCCTTCACGGAACAGATATTGCAGAGAAATTACTAGCATCTTTTGATAAGAGAATCTCAGAAATCTATCTTCAGATGGAAGAAGAGCAACTCCTAGAAACTTCTGAAAGTCCAGGTCTCAAGGTATGAATTATCATTATATATCTTGGTATTTAAAATTCATTTCAGAAAAGAAAAATTAAAGGGAATGATAAAAATTGGCCTCATATTGCATTTTAGTGACATGTCCACCTATTTGTCTATTCTATCCCATGTCTTCAAAATAGGTATGCAAGGTGCCATTAATCTAGACAAAAAACTAGGGATAGGAACGAATATTTGAAAACCAACCAAATATTCAAGTATGAAATTCAAATTTTTTTCTTCATATTTAATTTTTTTTAATTCTTTTTCCTTGAATTTGATCAATCTACAAAGCGTTTCACCTTCCAATTTCTGTGAAAAAGATCCTGATCAATTCAGACATAATTATATTGATTGTGCAAATAATTAAATTCTTACTGCAGACAGTAGTAGTAATCTTTATTTACATCTCATCATTGTACAGACATATACACAATGTTAAAAAAGTTACAGCATAAAAGTACAATGCCACTCCAGCATGGAGTTATAAGAGATGAAAAATCTATATCACAATATTAGAATATAAATATATATAAGTACATAAATCATTAGAACAACATGTTTAAGTGATAAAACTGAGAAACCATTGCTATACATAGACTAATAAAAGGAAACATCGTGACTACCTGAAAGAAGCAATTTAAGATAGTAAGCATACAACATTAAAACTGAGAAATGTTTGTTGAAAGTCAGCACATCTATCTATACATGAAAATGTAATTATTAATGTTGTTTCTTAATCTTTCCGATTCTTTTGTTTTCTTGTAATTTTTAATATTGTTAATGTCAATTGGACGGTTTCCTAAACACTACTAGGCAGAATGAAACAGTACCAGTATTTGGATATCAAAATTCATATAACAATTGTTTGTAACTTACATAAAAATCAAATATTCAAATTATTCAATTTTACCTTTGAAATATGGTGCTATATCAGTCTAATATACTTCATATATATTAAAAACATGCTTTTAACATACTATCCAGCACTGAGATAAGTGGAGCACACTACTCCTTGGACAGCTTTTTGTTTATTCAAGGAATTGTCAAATGTCTTGCTTTAATATGGTTGTAATAGATTATTCAAGATAAATATTTTGATGTTTCAGTTGTTCCAGTATTTACTGTCTGTAGATAATGCACTCACTATAGGAGGTTATACTGAAGCTAGGAAAACAGTTATTGAGAGAGCTATCACTATTGCAGTAATTTATTTATCTCCTGTTTTTAATTGTTTAAGTTAAGTGTTATATCATTTATTAATGAAAAGAGTTAAGATTAATTACAAAATGTTTATTGTATGTCAGCGTAAAAGTACATGTGTATCACATGATTGACATCATTTTGTTTGAGGTGACTCTTTATAAATACAAAAATGTATAAGTTTGGCAACAGTATATTTCATGAATAATGTAAGTAATGGTATCTATTTTGACTAAATAAAGCTATTATTTAAATGTGTGAGCTGTATGTGTAAACTGTTTTTTTATCTGTTTAAAAACAGAAAGATGGAATGGAACAAGGTATGGGGGAAAGAGGAGCAGAGTATTGGGAAAAACATTTGATGACGTTGAAGTACAAGTTGGCCTGTATTTACTGCGAATCATATCACACTGCTGAACAAGGCATACAACTTCACCAGGATTATGTTAAATATTATGAAAGGTTTGTCATGTAAACTATATGCTTTGAGTCCTTGGTTATTGCACAACATATACTTGTTCTACTCCTATTTTACATCCTTAAAAAGTATAAATACAATAAAGTCAAAATATACTATAAAAAATTAAAGAATAAAAAACAGTAAATAGCTCTGCTTTTGATTTTGTCATAATCATGGCTGTTGAGCTTAAAAGCAAACATTCTGCCTTGAATCACAAATAGACCTTTTTACAAGCACTAATCTTTTGTTCATTTTTACAAGACCAAAAGCAATGAACATGCAAAAAAAATGAAATATTGAGAAACTGACAAAAATACATAACTGAACTCTAGTGTCACGAATATGCCCATGTTTTGAATTAGAGAGTTAGTAATAAAGATCTGTTTTTTTCCACTATATGACACTGGAATAGTCAAAGACATCATATGTAGACAATTTTTGTATTACATGTATATTGTATATGTATTTCAGCAAGTTAGACAAAGATGATATTTCACCTGAAATCGAAGTACAACTTGGACATGCATTTCATGGTATTGGAGTAGGTTATTACTATCTGCAGAACTATGAGGAGGTAACTAAATAAATGTAGCTTATTTTATATGTTTGAGCAAACTTCTCATATCATTTGCTGCTGTAACCTGTAACATTCTAAAATTGACACATTTGTTTTTTAATTGTTTATAAGAAGTTGAATCTATTGAAAGGCCGTTAGATACACTCTTTTGAAAGTAATTAATTAGTTATTGATTGAACTCTACCTCGAATGTGGTTAACTCCAATTGTAACGATATACTCCTTATAATGATGCTGTTTCAGCGTTCTAGACTCAGTCCATAATCTGTATTTCATTTGATTACACTCCACTTGTAATCAACACTGCAATATTTCAGATACAACTGTGCTTTTTATGTCCCATGCGCAATCTTTCACTTTTTAATTTGATATTTTGTACCTTAAAAGGTGTTAATGACCATTAATGATCAGCCAGAGATTTATGTTTTAGCATTGATGATTGTTGCTCAAATAAATATGAAAAATTAATCAAATTGTTGGACAATAGGTGCTTGTGGATGATTAAATGGTTGAGTAATAACTTCTTTTTACATGATCTTGTTTTTGTAGAAGTTTATTCTTTATGCATGTATAACTATGGAGTCTCCAAATCTAAAAAGAAAACATTTGAATATAGAAACAAAATATCAAATGATATATAAAGTTAATAAAGGACTAAGTTAAAGGAGTGATATTGCTGCTGATTCCGGCATAACAATTTACCAAATTGGGATGCTATTGTAAAAGCTTATGAGTGGACATTTTTCTTGCCCTCGAGAAGAATGTGACATGCTAGGAGGCTCTTTTTGAATTGTTCAAGTGTACTAAGTCACACAAAATGCCATAATACACTTCCACTTTTTTTCTTCAAAATTTGTTGTCTCTCATATATAATGATATCCAGATATAACAATGTAAATTCAGCGATCGCCTGAATATCATTATAAGCAGAGCCTACTGTAAATCTAATAAAATTGAGATTATTTATACAAAGTGATAATTGAGTGTCAAATTGAAGTATCAGTATTTTACAGACTAGTAAGTACATGGAGAAGTCTTTGGAACACCATGAAAAGTCTGGAATTGGCACTAAGAATGATGTAGGGGCCACAATGAGTATGATTGCATCATGCTTGTTGAAACAGGGTGAATTTGAGAAGGCACTAGAATATCAGGACAAAGCTATTGAGGTATACTAGCTGATTTGTGACGTCCATCATTCTGTAAAATACTGGTAGTGATAAACATTTTTTTTTTAGAGAGAACTTACATTACAAAAAGTTTATGTTACTTGTTGAATTATATGGTGCCTAACTTTTGTTCAATTAAACAAAATCTAGTGGGCATATCTGTTTTGTTAAGTAATTTATGTCTATTTATGTTTGCAAGAATCCTATAGTAGTATAGTTTTTATTATTCAGCCTGGTGTGAGACATTGGAATGATACAGTACATGTAATATAATAAATTTTGGCTGTCAGTAAAATTATTTTCAAAAAATTGTTTATTCATTTCAGGCTTTTGAGACTTACTATTTTGGAGAGAATCCTCCAATTATAGGAGAGATGTTAGCAAACAAGGCATTGTGTCTGAGAAATCTTGGTAGAATGGATGAAGCAGAAGCTATGTACCGAAGGTAAGGCATGTAATTTGTAGGGGTAAAAGTTGTTTTTAAGCCCAAGAGGTAATGGTCGATTGTTACACAATGATTTGTTCATGTGTTTGATAAGATAAGTGTAAACAAATGATTATGTCATACATGTAGACAAAACAGGAAGGAAATAAAATTCATTTTAAATCAATACATGTAGTAAAACATGTACTACAGTGTTACTTAAGGATTTTGTTTATATTTTGTCTTTTCTAAGAAGATACATTTAGTATTTTACTGGAAAGATTACATCCATAAACTTTTGTTTGTTACAAAGGGAGGATTTCTTTGCATTTTCAAATATTTACATTTAGTTAATGCTTTTGTGTCAAAAGTTTAATAAATTCAGAGATTTAGTAATCAGATAAAGTAGTTTGATTATATAATGTAGATCACTGGATGTGAAGATAAAAGCTGTAGGCAGGGACCATGACACTGTTGCAATGACTTTCTTAAATCTCAGTGCCTTGGAAGGTATTCGTGATCATAATGAAAAATCTATAGAACTTACCGAAGAAGCTATACAGATATATGAGGTAAGATAGCATATACTTCTTAGATGCAATACTGTTATATAAAACCAACATAGTGCTTTTGCGACCAGCATCCACACAGTCTGATCAGGATCCATGCTGTTCCCTTACCAACTCTATTACAAGTAGAGAAACTGATAGCGAACAGCATGGATCCTGATCAGACTGCCCGGATGCACAGGCTGGTCTGGATCTACGCTGGTCGCAAACCATTATGTTGGTTTTGTCATGGCACGGCTCATATACTCATTTATTTGGTGTCCATGGCAGAGTGGTTAAGGTCGTTGACATCAAACCACTTGCCTCTCACCGCTGTAGAATTGAGCCGTGAAGCATCTTTGAACTCCTTCATGTGAATAAGCTTACAGAACGTCAGTGGTTTTACTCAGATGCCTGTTTCTGCCTCAAATAACACGAAGATGGACACCTGAGGTCTTCCTTCAGTAAATCTGGAAATTTGCCATATGAAATAAAACCCAATAAAAATGCAATTTGATGATTCTACATGTTTCAGTATGTATATACATACGAGACTTAATTTGTGATCTGAAAGATATGATGTTTGTCCTACATAATTGGAGTAAAATCTGTGATTCCACACTATTAAAATCTTGATTTAAAGATATATGTATAACTTAAGTTTATACTAATCTATTTTAGTTTGATTGTGTATGAAGCTATAAGCTTTATTAAAACACTCTTGAATCCGTTCCTGAAATGAACCAGTACTAAGTAAGTTGTGTAAAGTTCCTTGCTTGCTTGCCCTTAACAGGGTTTGAACCCATTCGTCGGGCAATCCTTAGATTACTAGTCTGGTGTGTTATCTACTTGGTCATGCCACCACTAAATGATGTTTGTCATACACAATTGAATTAAAAATTTGTGATCTGAAAAAAATGTTGTTGTTTGTTCATTTATTCATGTGAAGGTTAAAGTAGTGGTATAGTAACAGAATATTTTTTTATCTTTTAATAAAAATTGTATCATGATTGTTTTATATTCTGTAGACTCTGGGAGAGACTTGGAACAATCCAAAATATGTTGCTGCTCTTGAAAACCGTTTTCGAGCGTATGTGTGTATGAACAGCTTTGCAAGGGCAGATGAGGGCTTCATAACATTATGTAATTGCTATTTTTATTTATGTAATAATCTATAGGAACCGTTAAGGTTATAAATGTAATCTTTGTAGAAGTTATTTAGGTACCTAACATTTTTATAACAGTTTAAAATGATGAGATAATAAATGGGTCTTTATAAGTATAAGATATAATTATGAGGATTTTGATCAATTATTATAATAAAAAAAAATTGAGGATTTTCATTTTTTATTTTACTAGATAAATTAAAAAAAGTAAAAGCCACTAAAATGATGAATCATCAGTTAAAAATGAAGCAAGATTATAGTTTGGACTAATGTTAACAATGAGTGTGTCAGAAATGCAGTGTTATTTGTAACAGATGATTTAAGGGCCATTCATGCTTTTAGTTAAAGAATCTTTAACATTGTAATTCACTCAAAGTGATTAAAAATGCTCTCGCTATCTTTGTGGTTGCCATATAAAGTGGCATACACAATTTATATCTTAAAGCATGTAAGTGTTTAAACTCTTAAATAATAGGTACCACTGATATGTACAGGGTAACCTCTGCAGGGTGACCCGCTGAAGAGCAATGACCTCTTTACAACAGTAGTATCAAATCTTCCCAAATTAGATTAACACAGAATTTAACCTCTTTAGAGGAATACCTCCCAACAACAACCAAATATTTGCCTCCTAGAATGTTCCTGAGCAAAAGTTGTACTGTATATCATTTGTCAGTAAATAAACTTTTACAAATAACAATACATGACAGAAACAAAATATTATGTTATTTATGGGTATCATATAACTGGCTTCAGTTATCTGGATTCAGATATCCAACTTAAAAGTTGAATTTCTGACAATTACCTCAAATATACCTTGAAATTTGTTCTCAATATCAGAAAATATATTTTAACCAAGTAGTTAGTGTATAATATACTTTTGTAGTGGACTGGAGGTTATCTGATGGAAGTATGGACAACTGTCTTGGAACAGTTTACCTAGACATGGGACGTTATTTTTTAAGAGAGAAGATGTATGAGAAGGCTTACAAGGTTCTGTATGCATTGATTGGTTCAAAGTACAGACAGCATAACCACCATGTTGCATATATCCTCCTTGATATGGCATGTGATAATTTACCTTCACAGAATTATGAACAGCTACCAGAAGATTACAGAATAGCATATGCTGTGGAACAGTGAGTTATTTCAAAATATTTTGATAATACAGAGTAGCAATATAGTTATACAACAATTTCTTTTAGCTGAATAGGACAAATGTTCAGGGAATGCTTTATGACAGAATGTTTCTCTTCTTGTTGACATCAATAATTGAGTATAACAATTTCTCCATATATTCTGGTCAGAAAAACTAGTAATGCAAACTATTTCTTTTCAATTCTTTTAGACAGCCACTGTCCTGTTCCGAGTAATTCTGATTTTTAGCTCACCTGTCACAAAGTGACAGGGTGAGCTTTTGTGATCGCTTTTTGTCCGGCATCCGTCTGTAAACTTTTACTTTAAATGACATCTCCTCATAAACCACTAAGCCAATTTCATCCAAACTTCACAGGAATGTTCCTTTGGTGGTCACCTTTAAAAATTGTTCAAAGAATTTAATTCCATGCAGAACTCTGGTTGCCATGGCAACCGAAAGAAAAAACTTTAAATATCTTCTTTTAAAAAACCGAAAGAGCTAGAGCTTAGATATTTGACATGAAACATCTTCTAGTGAATGTCTACCAAGTTTGTTCAAGTAAAAGCCCTGGGGTCAAAATTGGCCCTGCCCCAGGGGGTCATTGATTTTCCCTATATGCATATAGTAAAAACTTAAAAAATCTTCTTTTAAAGAACCCAAAGAGCTAGAGCTAAGATATTTAGCATGAAACATCTTCTAATGAGTGTCTACAAAGTTTGTTCAAATAAAAGCCCTGGGGTCAAAATTGGCCCCCCCAGGGGGTCATTGATTTTCCCTATATGCATATAGTAAAAACATAAAAAATCTTCTTTTAAAGAACTCAAAGAGCTAGAGCTAAGATATTTAGCATGAAACATGTTCTAATGGGTGTCTACCAAGTTTGTTCAAATAAAAGCTCTGGGGTCAAAATTGGCCCAGCCCCGGGGGTCATTGATTTTCCTTATATGTGTATAGCAAAAACTTAAAAATCTTCTTTGAAAAAACCTTAATAGCTAGAGTTTAGATATTAAGCTTAAAACATCTTCTGGTTAGTGTCTACAAAGTTTGTTCAAATAAAATCCCTGGGGTCAAAACTGGCCATGGCCCAGGGGTGTCATTGTTTTTAACTATATGTGAATAGTAAAAACTTAAAAAATCTTCTTTTAAAAAACCCAATGAGCTAGAGCTTAGATGTTTAGCATGAAACATCTTCTTATGGGTGTCTACCAAGTTTGTTCAAATAAAAGCTCTGGGGTCAAAATTGGCCCCGCCCCGGGGGTCATTGATTTTCCTTATATGTGTATAGCAAAAACTTAAAAATCTTCTTTGAAAAAGCCCAAATAGCTAGAGTTTAGATATTAAGCATAAAACATCTTCTGGAAAGTGTCTACAAAGTTTGTTCAAATAAAATCCCTGGGGTCAAAACTTGCCATGCCCCAGGGGTGTCATTGTTTTTAACTATATGTGTATAGTAAAAACTTAAAAAATCTTCTTTTAAAAAACCCAATGAGCTAGAGCTTAGATGTTTAGCATGAAACATCTTCTTATGGCTGTCTACCAAGTTTGTTTAAATAAAAGCCCTTGGGTAAAAATTGGCCCTGCCGGGGGTGGGGGTGGGGGAGGGCAGAGGTCATTGTTTTTCATTATATGTGTGTAGTAAAAACTTAACATCAAGAAACATCTTCTAATGGGTGTCTTCCAAGTTTGTTCAAATAAAAGCTCTGGGGTTTAAACTGGCCCTGCTCCAGGGGCCTATATACAGGTGAGCAACCTCAGGGCCATCATGGCCCTCTTGTTTCCATTTTTGGGGGGCATTTCAGGTTTAAAACTCACAAGAACATTTTTATGAGCTGATATGTGTATTTAAACCAAGTTTAGTTTGTGGTATTGATTAAATTAGGTGAAGACACACCTTTAAAAAATACTTTGATACACATTATGAATCTATGGGTGGATCTTCAGTAGACTGCCTATCTTTTGGGAAGTTTTACCCCTGTTGTTTTCTTCTTTGTGTAAAGTGAAGAAATCACAAGTTGTGAGTAGTTATGTCAGGTTTAATATTTGTATGATGAAATTGCAATAGCAGGGCTATGTGCCTCTTATGACAACACCTCTTACTATAAATTAAACATATAATATCAGTCGTGGTCTTACAACTTTGACTTTTGTAGGGAACCAGCGGAGGTTAGTTTGATGAAAACATTAGTAACTGGCCACTTGATTCCGAGCAACAATATAGAGGAGGTTGTCCGAGTGATTAGTAGACATCATGATCAGGTCAATGCTTCTGAGGTGTTTATACATACAATGGCCTGGTGTATTGATGGTGATGGACAGATAAATGAGGAATTACAGCAAGCTATTCTGTCAGAAGGTTTAAGGAAGCACCCTGAAGACTTGGTAAATATAAATTCCTTATCACATATCAATAAATCAAAGCACAGAATGCGCTGACTTTGTTAGGGTCTCAGAATGTCAGAAAGGTGAAGGTTGTGAGATTATAAACCAATTTGTTTTTGTATAGTGCCACCAATGCTGTTTCCTGTGTTATTACTGTAGTAAATTGGCTATAAGGCTAATTGCAACACTGATATTCAATTCAATGTTTATTTGGCTTAAACAATTAGAGTTGCCTTAACTGGGATTTGAACTCCAGATCTATCGTTTCCTAAACAAGTGTGTAACCCCTCGACCACGGGGAAGTCATCGTTAACAGCCTGAAGAAAACCACATTATTCTAAATTAGGGTTTGTAACCCTTATTATCCCCCTCGATGGAATCGGGAGGGGGATATAGTTTTGGCGTTGTCCGTCCGTCCGTCCGCACTCACAGGAGAGTAATTATGTGGCTAGAGGGACAATAGGTAACTGTTCTTTCTCTTTGATGTCATTCATTCCGTAATGCTTTTATGTGGCTATTTTCTTTTGTGTGGCTAAAAAGAACAATAGAGTAGCCACATAATTACTGCCCTGTGAGAACGTCCGTCCGTCCGTCCGTCCTTCCATCCATCCATCCATCCATCCATCCGTCCGTCCGTCCGAATTTCGTTTCCGGAGTAGTTCTCTGCAACTACTGGCTGGAATTCAACGAAACTTTATGGGAATCATCAATATCAAGAGGAGATGCGCATATCGTCGGCTTGTTCCGGTCCGACCCTTTAACTCAGAGTTATGGCCCTTGATTAGTTATGTAGTATGCATATAGAGTAAAAATCGTTTCCGGAGTAGTTCTCTGCAACTACTGGCTGGAATTCAACGAAACTTTATGGGAATCATCAATATCAAGAGGAGATGCGCATATCGTCGGCTTGTTCCGGTCAGACACTTTAACTCAGAGTTATGGCCCTTGATTAGTTATGCAGTATGCATATGGAGTAAAAATCGTTTCCGGAGTAGTTCTCTGCAACTACTGGCTGGAATTCAAGGACACTTTATGGGAACCTTCAATACCAAGAGGAGATGCGCATATCGTCGGCTTGTTCGGGTCAGACACTTTAACTCAGAGTTATGGCCCTTGATTAGTTATGCATCCATCCTGGGTCCTCTTTTGTAAAGCTGATGTATTCATCAGTCATTCATGAATTTTATTTCTTTACATCTATGTTTCTATATTATCGTATATATCCTGAAATAATTAATAAAGTTTAGTAAACTGAATATATTTTATAGGTAATCAAGGAGGGGATCTTTTATAGGTGTATAATAAAAGGAAATTAGGTTAAGCTTTCAGAGGCCTTCGGTCTTTTCAAAACTGCTTCGAGCAAATTTCAAGGCATCAGAAAGCTACTACAAAATTATTTTCTGTATATGTCTGATACATATGCATTTCAGTTGAGTTATTGTGACTTAAAAAAGATATAAATCTAATTAGAAAATTTTCTTTGGAATTGTTAAGATGATCTTTTTCTTTCAACAGGATCTTCATATAAATTTGGCAAAGAGTTATTGTAGGATAGATAGACAAGATCTGGCTCTGCCTCATGCTGTAAAGGTAGCTGACCAGCAACTTGACAATCCTCAGTTACTCTTGTTTACAGCACACACAGCTGCCCAGGCAAATGAACACGACGTCTGCTCAAAATGGTGCACATATCTCCTGGAACATTTCTCTGATGAAAGTATTACCACACCGGTAAAGTTTGGAAATATTTCTATATATATCAACAATTTAAATTTACAGCTAATTATTCGCTGTCAGATTTCATCTCTGTTTTTAATATGAAAAATATACACAAAAATCTTTTCCCGTTTTAAAACCAAAGGTAAATTTCAATGACTTGATAACTATACTGTTCTCCTCAAAGCTCATGATAGCTAGGCTTTCAACATGGAATCAAACTGACCATACAAATAAATACTTTCTGCTATATAATACAACTTACAAGGAAACAGCAACATACACTCTAGTTAAATAATCAAACTATGTCCATCTTTTCAACAAGAAATATTTCTTCTACAAACAAAAGATGATTGTTTCAGGCACATTTAATTTTAATAGCCTCTTGGGACTTTTTTTGCATAAATAAGTAAAATGTTGTTCAAATTCACTATCATACACACAGATTGAAAAATTAATTTTTAGCTGTATGAAAAATATATAGGACAACTTTGACTAATGTAAACACTGCCTGCATGGAAATAGGTTATTACATTGAGATTAATGCTTCATTAGGTTGTGCTGTCTTCATATCCTGTAAGCTGGTTGGCTTTGGCCCGTAGTTTACCAAAATTAATTTTGAGGTCATTAAGTCAAAAACAAATGTCGCATTGACACATTTTGTTAAATCCTTGTCCATGCAAAAACTTGAGAAGTGTTGCGAATATTACAAGGAGCATTCCCAAGCTTATGGCAAGTTGATGACCCCTTTTGATTTTGAGGTAACTCAGGCAAAGGTGAAGGTCACAGGGCACTCATGTTAAATTTTTGTCAGATTTGTTCTGGTTGTTTTCTTTTATTTTTCAAATGAGTCCAATCACATTTTAATTTTGTACATCTTATGACACCACATACTTTGGGTGTATAATGCTCTTGACACACATAAATCTTGTTAAAATAGACAGGTGATGTCAACAGACTTTCTACAGATAAGAATTTCAATGTTAAATCCTTGAACATTTATCATAATTTTTGCACAAACATTTCTATGAAAAATCGTTGTTTATTTATGGTGTTGTTTTTACCTTTTTTTAAGGTGCACAACATAATGAAGTATGCTGATGAAATGAGGGAAAATCAACAGCAAGAAGACCAGTCTACCAACCAGGAACAGTCTACATGAGTTATATATAGAAATAGTGAAACAAACTGCTTTTAGCAACATCTAAACACTTCTTTAAAAAATCTCAGCCTGCTGTTTTGAACCTGAAATTCCTTTCATTACTTTTTATGCTTCCCTGAATGATATAATTAACTCTTTCTTATTTACGCATCTTCCTTTCCAAGGTGCTCCTTTGCGGAGCATCCATTATTATCAATGTATCATAGTTTAATGTTTCTGTGACCCACTTTGTTTTGTTTATATATTATAATTTTGTTGCATCTAAATGACCTGTGATTTTGATATTGTGATAATATTTGATATTTGTCATGTATTCTTTACATATTTATAGCCATTATTTTACAAGATATTTTATGATTTTGCCCATTTGAAATTTTTACTAACTTGTATAAACATCATCATTTATGAATATCCGTCCAATAAATTTATATATTTTTTCAAAGTTTTTGTATCTTTACTTTTGCATAATACAATTAGTTATTTATAGCTCAAGGAAGGACTTTGATTATACAATATCTCTATATATTTATCTTCATAAAGCTCTTTTTAAAGATTTCTTCAGAGATTGTCACTTATTTCATGTTCAGCATTCAGGACAAGATCATACCAAGTTGATTTGGTTTTTTGGTCAAAAAGAATTTTTTTAGATAAGCTCTACATATCATTTTCTACAATCATTATCCTTATGTGCAAGACATTCTATTAGTGTTTTAAATGTTGGTATATCTTTTGATACCTTATGTCATATTTTGTTTTGGCTTGAAGAGAAGTAAAACCATGACCTATTTCTATTTTTACTTACAGCATTTACAAATCCAATTGTATTTAATTTTGTATAGATATGTTTACATTCCAACATGTTTAACATCTAATAAAACCTAGAATCTTAATTTGTACTTGTCGTTTTCATCATTTATTTTATCAGCCTATTTTTGTTTAAATGGCATGTTTTTGACAGGTAAGTATACTTAAAGGGATACTCAGGAAAATTTATGACAAAAATATCAAAGTTATCATATGTACTCAAATCACACTAAATGACATTTGTAAAAGTCCCAGCATGAATTTCTGTAAAAATGCTATATATTTTGGGTCTGAAGCGTAAATATATCTATATATGTTGAACGAAATTAAAACGCTGACAGACACACCGAGTTGTTTTAAAACTAGTAATGTGACTTGAACAAATCTGGAAGTTACAATAACAGATATTATGGATATATTATGATGAAACAAACCTAAATCAATTATTTGATGATATTCTTCAACGTTAAGTTATATGAATTCCTTTCTCTTTAGCATATTTCTTTACTGTTGGCAACTTGGCATTATTTGTACAGGTTTCTATGAGCCTATATGTTAAACCTGTAGCCTGCTGGCTGTAACAGATTCTACCCATGCCAACAGTGCACAGCTGTCTTGCTGGTCATGGTCTTCACTGATTAATATTCAATTAGTTCTTTAAAAATTTCCTGAAAAATGATAATGATTTGATGCAGATTGAAAGATTCCTGAAAAATGATAATGATTTGATGCAGATTGAAAGATTCCTGAAAAATGATAATGATTTGATGCAGATTGAAAGATTCCTGAAAAATGATAATGATTTGATGCAGATTGAAAGATAGACAAGTCCATTTAAGATATTTAGCATGGTATGGATTTAATTATATATTTTAGACAATAAGTTGCTGAAAAGTCAAAAAGTCAATGTGTCTGGTGTTTTATCTGAACCAGCTGAAGTTGTCTCAGGAGTGCCACAGGGCTCAGTCCTTGGGGGCCCCTACTATTTTTGATATACATAAATGACATCCATCTTCATGTTAAACAGTCGACTACTGATATGTTTGCAGACGACACTTCCCTTGAAGTACTTTAACAGAAATGAATGATAATCTTCAAACAGATCTTGATAGTGTTAGCACATGGTGTACGCAAAATGCAATGATATTAAATGCACAAAAAACTAAGGCCATAAATTTCTCTATAAAAAATACTAAATCAAAAAATACTGCTTCATCTACTCTGCACCTTCAAAACAAAGAGATAGAATTTACAGACACTGTACTAGGAGTCCAGGTTGACAAAAATCTTAAATGGAAAACACAAATTCAAAATATTATTAAAAAATGCAATTCACAGCTCTATTTGCTTCTTAGAATCTCCAGAAAACTTTTTTAATGCTTATATTTTGCCACATATTGACTACTGTTGCACTATTTGGGGAAACTGCAGTAGTGAATTACTTTCAAAAATTGTCAACTTTCAAAAAAGAGCTGCAAGAATTATTTTAGACAAAAGTTTTGATACCCCATCAAATATTCTATTTAAAGAATTAAATTGCATGTCCTTTGACCAAAGAATTATGTACAAAAAGGCAATCCTCATGTATAAATCTATAAATGAACCATCCTTTCCTATTTATATGAAAAAGAAATTCCAAACAATAAATGACAAACATGACTTTAACTTAAGATCTATACAAAATGAAAAACTAACTGTACCCAAACCAAAAACAGAAGTTTTTAGAAAATCATTTAATTACTCTGGTCCTGTGGTATGGAACAGCATACCAATCCATATTCGAAATTCTGATACTATGAGGAAATTTCAATCCTCCTATATCCAGTGGCAATTTTCTAACTAATTGTTTGTACATATTGTTTCAAAAACATATACTTTCCATGCTGAAGTTATGAAAATGTCACTTCTCTATGTAAGAAGAAAAAATTGTTTACTTATTTATTGTATTGATGATGTTTAATGTACATATTTATGTTGTCTAAATGTTGATTGTGATTGTATTTTATGTTGTTTTGTATATACTGAGGCCCGCATGGAAGATCGGGAAACTGAATGTGTTAGCCTCATAAAATAAAGTCGTTACTTACTTACTTACTTACTTACTAATATCTTCATTGTTACTTTGGGGAAAACAAAATGATGAGTTCCGACATGGATTTATAATAAAGTGGTTCAGAGTACTTTTAATATCCTTTGATCATTTTCTCTCTCGGTGATTTAAGAATGTGACTATTTTGACTAGAGTTCACACAGTTTCAAGAAATATGCTCAGAGTTAATTGAAAATTTTATTTTTAAGCAATACTTTGCCAGATGTGAGTTAAAAGCATTGCAACGCTTTTCATTTGTAGGTCATTTTATGCTATAAAAATTATTATTCAGGAAAAACAGAGTGAGCAAATGATCTGAAATATTTGCACATAAGTTATAGACTCATCAAATGGTACAAATATCTCGAAAGTTATTACCATTCCTCAATGTCGTATAACCTCAATGGAGTTCCTTAAACTAAAAATACCACAAATTAATATTGATAAGTTCATAAGAAAACCCAGCAAATTAAGACTGTAATTTTACTCCCAAAAACCATGTACAGAATTTATATATAAACATCACAATTGTCCAAAGAGAAGCAAAGGTCATTGGTTTCAGTTTCCATCTGCTATTTAATGACATATTAAGAATGAAATGAATTTTCTGAAAAATATGTTTTGGAGAAAAAACGGCCTGAAATATTATTTTGAATCCTTGATAAAAAATTGTCTTTGGGCATATTATTCCCTACCTCAGTACACTCTTTGTTTGGCACATGTATATATTTTAAATCAAACATGTTAAAGAACAGATGAAAGCCATCAACCATAGATGTATGCCAGAGAGAGAGAGACTTTTTCTCACAAAATAAGTTCTATATTAATCATATAAATAATAAAATAAGACTCTTTAATCATTTGATCTTCTTTATTTCTTTAACGAACATTTTAATCAAGATCATTTCTAACAATATTCAATAACTTCAACTGGAACTTAATGTTTTAAAATTGGTTTCCTTTGAACAAAACCTTAAATTCTCTTTCAAAACAAATATTTAACATAAACACATCAACATTTGATTAAAATAGTATCAAAAGAGTGAGTAAAATTTGTATCAACCATCATTCTTAAAAACAATAACAACTAAAGTCATACCTCCTGCATTCTGCTTTGTCAATGGATTATGGAATTTTATTTTGATACATCATATTGACTAAAATATACTCTTGACAAATATTTTTAAAGGGCAATAACTCCTATATGATGCAAAAGAAATATGGTTCTTGATTGATGTATTTCTCCTAAATGTGATTTAAATATCTATGAAGTTTCAACTTGATACCTCAAATAGTTCTTGAGTTATGCTCCATACAAGTAAAACAAGATAGCTGGACAGGCAAACAGTTTGAAGATGGACTTGGTGATTTTTAGTATAAATGGCCCTTTACAAGTTTGTTGTTCCAGTGAGTATAAAAACACACAGATAGTTAGTAAAGCATGTTATCACCTGTGCTTGGTGTTAAGTGGTAATTAAGTTTACCCTGCACAAATATCATCATTATGCAAAAATAACTTGATGTTTTTCTCAACTAAAGAAGCATTGTATATGACAACAAACATCTGTTCTATGACATTGTACTATAATATGCTATAACTAGCCCCATATACCATTTTCCTATCACAAATAACCAACATAACTTGCCTTTACTATTTTTTCTAAATAAAAATAGTGCTTCCCAATAGAAAAAAAACTTGTGTCCTAAAGTTTTCTCCCGAAAATAAAAAATAATTACACCTCTTCCTCAATATACAGCATCCCCTTATCATTGACCAAAGTCCCATAATTAAATATTCTTGATAGATTACTTAAAGAAACAATTTAGAACAACAACGTTAACACTATTAATTTAAGACAATGTTTTCATTACCAACAGTCTTCTGACATTTACTCTATGACAGATCACACTTTTTTCACAATGTCTATATTCCAAAACAATCTTTATTTTCTTAGACCTCTATATCCTTTCCCTTATTCAAGCAGCCAAATCCACCAGTCTGATGTCCTTGTAGTAATAACACATTGCACGGTTCAGCAAAATGTTTCTAGAGTTAGAGTACTTTCAATAATTCCAGTCCAATTCTACCTCTGTCTATTTCTACACTTATGATCTTTCCTTCAATTTTCTCTCCCAGTTTCAGCTGATATTTCTGCCTCATATTTGGTAAACACATCTTTGTATTGTGCACTAAGGCATTCTGCCCAACACCAATGTCAACAAAAGCACCAAAATGTGTTACATTACTGACCTTGCCAGTAACTTTATCACCAGCTTTTAGATCATTTATAGACTTAACTCCACTCCTGAACAATGGTTTCTCAAATTCTGAAAAATCAAAATTTCTTATGTTTATTTATAAACATCAAGCTATTTACATGTACTTTAAAGTCTGGTCATCAATGCTTCCTTTACAACCATATGCAACTTATGTTTGCTATATTTTTTAATTCCATACTATATTTGGTCTTCTTAAAACATGCAATTACTGAATTTCAATTATCCACTTTTTATGCTTGGAAAAAGGTATAACTGTGGGAGATTTTCTCTATCAAATGGAAAAAGCAAATAAAAATCATTCTTAAACAATATTTTAGAGCCAAAATTAAATTCCTAGACATAATTAAATAATTTCACACCTTATAAAATGTATCTGATTAACTTACAGCATTTGCACCACATGATCTTCCAATATAAATCATAATTATCAATTTAACATTGATTTCATTTCTGAGTCAAAAAAATTCTTATCAAATCCATATTGTACTCAACAGAGCCATGTTTTCATTTCTTTCTAATTTTTAGTACAAAAAAATCCATGTCAAATCCATTTTGTATCCTGTCTAGTGGTGTTTTTTTTTCATTTCATTTTCTGAGTAAGAAAATCCATATCAATTCCTTATTGTACTTGAAGTAACAAAGTTACCTTGTTTTGTACTATACTAATTCTATTGGACTTGCATCAGCTGCAAAACCTATATAAGACTCGGTTAGCACCTCGTCCAATATAAGTATAAATATAGCTATGTACTTGTCCAAAAGAATTAAGTATTGTACTCAACAAAAGTAACGATGTCATAATACTGGTACTGAAAACTGTAAACCAAAAGTGATACAACCTTTCACAGCTAATGATCTACTTATATGTATATAAAACCTCTTACCATCTCTGAGATCATATGATAGAGGTCTGACTAAAGCATCTGTTATCAACTTTATAGTTGGTTCTCCTGTGTCTAGTTCACTACAAAGTTGGGATATACCTGTAATATAATTGTTACCAGTTTTCAGATATTTACCTTGAATAATATGGTAAAAACAATGAAATATAGACATGTAGTGACAATTTTTTTTTATAAAGGCCTGTCAGATAAACAGTGTGTTTAACTATTCTTAGTGCTTGACAGTAAAACAAGAGCTATCAGAAAGATTGTAAGTTTACAAACCGGAAAAATTTAGTGACAATGCATGTGAATCTAGGATACTAATCTACATACCAGTGGTTTTGAATATCAAGCCTCGACAAAAAACCTTAACAAGTGTTTCAAGTTTTATGATGGGGAATAGGATATCATTTCAATGTATTTCATATTTGACACAAAACCACAATATAGTATTGTTCACACAGACTTGACCAGGGATACATGGGATACACAAGGCGACATAGTAGATAATTCATGTACTTCAGTTTCATAAAGTGTACAATTTTCTCAGAATTTTTATTCCAAATTAATAAAGCAGAATGCAATGAAATGCAGTAAAAATACTTGCTATTGGTTATCAAGAATTGTTGAACTTTTTGGATGAAACTTTCCTGGCCCAATTGTGTTCCAGTAACACCTATCCTTCTTAGTAAACTGAAAAGAGTACCAGTAATGTACTTTGTTATCACAAGTCAAATCTTAATATAGCCACCATATTCCAAGGTTATTACAATGTAACACTCCATTTTAATTTTTACAACAGAAGCATTTCTAAAATACATATTACTGTGTCATTGGGAAAACTGTCCCAGAGCCTCATTACACATTTAATTCCAACCTTTTTCATAATGTTAAGGGAGCTAAACGCAATTAATAATGCCATGTACATGCATGATATATGGAGGGTATTGTGAGAGCAGATTAAATACTAAATCTATTGAACATGTTCAATAAAATTATATTATGTGAGCCTCTTGCAAGCATATTATTATTAAAAAATCAGTAATAAACCAGCACAAATATAATATTCTTTTATCAAATAAAGACTGTTCAAAGTGAAAAATCATTTTTCATTGACACCCCCATTGTATAATGCTAATATTTAGTGCATCTACACTTTATTTGTATAACAGAAATTACGTCACTTCAAAATATATGCACTACCATGCAATACCGTCGCAAAAGCGTCACTGTTTTGTGGTAATATGGTATATATGTTGGTAAGCATCAATAGATTTGTTAACTGCAGGAAGAAATAAAGTGCAAGTATACCTATGCGTTATATGGTAGGATTCAGGATGTATCCAGGTCCTGTCAAGAGGCTCAGGTAAATATTCTATCGGATCTTTCTTTTTTGTTTTCTTCCCTTTTGTTGTTTTTACAGTCTTTTCAGTGTCAACATTCTCACTTGTTCTAAAACAAACCACAATAATCATCATCAATAAACTACATTGTATATAACTGTTAGTTGTAGAAAGATGTTCTACCTTTATAACTAGAAAAATGCCTACATTTGACATACATTACCCTGAACTAATAAGAACCATGGGCAACATGATATATATAACTTTCATAGAAGCTGACTAAATATTGCTGCATTTTTAATAAATGGGCATAGTATTTTCAACAGAGATTTGTATGCCATGAGGCAGGGGTCTTTTTTCACATCAGAACATCATCTAAAATTTTCAAAAAGGATCACAAGTTAATGATTCATACTCTGGCTCATATAAATTTAAGAAAAAAGATGTATATGTACTTCTTCAAACAATATGTGATCCCCAAAATGAGCCTAACTTTGTCCTACAATGGCATAGTTCATTCAACATAACAGAAGAATGCTACATACCAAATACCTAGGCTCTGGGCCTTTCAATTTCTATTTTTTACTGATTATATTTAGACAAGAATTAGGGCAAGAGAAGTTTGGTAAAAAAATGCTACCATGGAGTTTTCTGTATCTGATATTTTTTAAATAAATTGAGGACAAATAACTGATACATATAGACAATAAGCAATCTATAACATTACTCACCTCTGAGTAATGTAGTAGACTACTATTTTGATTACAAATAAATGAAATTTTACATCAGCAATAATTTACCAATGTGTCATAATCAATAAACTGACTATTACCCCAGGTTAGTATTGGATGAATGTACTCGTATAAATCCTGCAGCTTGTTCATATGTCTTTGCTCCCAGTCCCTTTACTGCTTTCAACTGTTCTCTACATATAAATGGCCCAAACTGGTCCCGGAATTCTAGAATTTTCTTTGCCCTGGCAGCAGATAGGCCAGAAACATGACTAGAAAAATATGAAACACTTGTTACACACATCATACTTGACTCAAGATTAAGCAGCAAGAAGCTAAATATATTCCTTAAAAAGTTGAACATATGTAATAAATTTGTAAGTTCCCTTTTTGTGTTATAAATTAAAAAAAATAAAATTATCACATATGATTTATATTTGATTGATTTATGTTACTTTGTTTATCTTATTTATTATTCTAGTTAAAGTTTAACACAATAAATGTTACCTGAGAAGACATTCACTACAAGTGTTAACATCAACACCAACAAAACTCACACATTCTTCTATTGTTGAATCTAGAGATGTCTGCAGTTGATTTTGAGGCATATCATGCTGTGAAAAGGAAAATAAGTCTGCAAACACTAACGTTTTCAAAAGAAACATTTTATAAAAACTAACCTGTTATTCAATAACAATATGTTTGATATGAAATAGTGTATACGGGGATTCCATTAAATTAAAAAAAAACTAAGGTGCTTCTTATTGTTAGTGTTACAGCGCTTACAAGAAAAAGGCAGAAAGAATTGTTAAAGAAAGTTCTGAAAGTATACAGGTGGTTTGCAAGATGTTGCCAGGGATTTTAACCAGACAGAGTCATAATGAAACCCTAATAAACATTATCAAATTAAGTTGTGTACTTCTGTGTATCCTGATAGTATATTTCAACTGTATACATATATGTGTAATCGCTTAACTATGAGTAAATACTTATGATAAAGTGTTTTCTTCTGAACAACAAACAACAAAATAAAAATGAAATAATGATGATGAGTGACTAACCTGGTATTGCCCTACACCAAGATGTTTGGGATCTACTTTAACAAACTCGGACAGTGGATCTAACAATCTTCTTCCAATAGAAACTAAATATAAAACAAAATTTCTTAATATTAATGAAAGTTTACAAATATTTATTTCATGATTTCCTCCACAAGGGTGTTGGGAAAATATGGTATGTCTGTTTTATTAACACTAGATGTCATTGAAAAACAAATTAATAATGTAACCTCTTACAATATCCTTGTATATTAATAGATACCTAGCTTATTCTAAGGGCATGGGAAGACCAGTATTCAATAGATGGCTACATGACATGCAACCTTAGGTAGTATTATAAAGTTAATGCATAAAATATCAAGTTATCATATTTTACATGACACTTCATATGAAAGCAGAAGAAAGTTTCCACTGCTATTATTTTGGCACTATCTACCATCAAATAAGATTTATTTTAAAACATTTTATATTATTCTTCAGTCAGAAACAGGGTTCATAAAAATTTCTCTGCGACAATTGATACAGACATTGAGTCTAATGGTCAGAAATCATCTGAGATCAGTAGTCAGTCACTTGCGAGAAATTGGATATAATTGGTTAGTTTATCAGGCAAGTCAGTAAGTGGATCTACCGCCGAGGTATGCTTAATTACGAGTCAAAATTGGCATAAAAAAACAGAAAAACAAACTAAGAACCAAGTTCATACAACTTTACTTATCATTGTCAATCCACTTCCTAGAACTTACCAGTAATGGTGTCATATTAGGAAACATTGCCATGACCCAAGTAGGTCTCAATCCCAAAATTCCTGGGTTGAGAGGCAGATACCTTAACATTTCAAACTCAGCTCATTTTCATAAAATCAAAAAAATACTGAAATAGGTTACCTGCCCCACGCAGGGATGGATCCAAGATTGGCATTTCTTTCTGGGCAGCATCAGAAACACTGTATATTGAGGCTCCACTCTCACTCACAATGCTTTAATATATAACAACTTTATAAACACTTGGTGCTTTACTTAAAAAGCTTTAAATACCAAGGAACTATCTGTACATTTAATCTTGTTTGTATATTTTGCTGGTTGGCACATTTTTGGTCATATCCCAGAGGTTGATCCATAGATCTGGCTTTCCTGGATAACTAACAAGTAATTACCAATATCTCCAGTATTACCACCAGCAGTTTTTGTTCCAATAAGTGATTCATATAATCTCCAAGTTAAAATCAAGCAAGGGATAATTGAAAATCAAGAAAATCAATTACGAAGCAATTTTTATGACCAAATGGATCTTTCCATATTCATACTGTTATGTTCATTTCCTGAGCCCTACTACAACTGCATGACTTAAATATGGCATCAATAATAAATACAAAAGCAATATTCTTAAATGCTGCCAAAACATGTCTGTTTAGAATATGTATATATAAAATATCAGATATACCAGTATTTTAGCTTATTGAATGTATTCTGTATAAGTTCTGATACAACTGCCTCTGTCTCCCTGCAGGCAACACCATTTCCAACACCAATCACTTCACATCTACAATATAACATTTCAAACATGTCACATGGTCATTTATACACTGACAGAAAAACATTTTAACTATCAAATACTTCACAGGATTCCTACAACTTACGGGTATTTTCTGACCATTACTATCAGAACAAGATGGCCATGACAGCCATAGATTGCTCACATGAAACCAATTGTTTTTGAACAATCTTAATTATAAATTTACCTGACAATGCCATACACCATGTATCATAGCTTTAAGCCTTGTGCTTTTAAAGAAGCAGATTTTTAAAGATTTTCCCTGCATAAGTCCATATAAAATTATATGACCTCTGGGGCAGGGTCAATTTTGACCCCAGGGTGATGATTTGAACAAACCTAGTTGTGGTCTACAATACATTGCTACAAACAAAACATGTAGGCTCTAGGTCTTTCAGTTACAAGATTTTTCAAAGTTTTTCTTATACATGTCTATGTAAATTTAAATGACCCTATACATGGAACCAATTTTTACCCCAGGGTAGAGTTGAACTTGGTCGAGGTCCACTAGACAATGCTATACACAAAATACCTAAGCTCAAAGAATTTGTGTTTGGGAGTAAAGGCTATTTACAGGTTTTCCCACATAAGTCTTTGTAAAATCAATTTTATCCCAGGGCTATGCCAATGTTGACCAAATGGTCATAACATGAACAAACTTGTTAGTGGTCCGATATACAATACTACACACAAATATGTAATAAGCTTTAGGTCTTGCAGTTATGAAGAAGATGATTTTAAAGGAGTTTCCTAAAAAAGTCTACACAAAATCAAACCACCACCCCCACCCAGAGCAGGGCAAATTTTGACCCTAGGGTGATAATTTTGACCAACTTGTTAAGGTCCACTAGAAAATGCTACAAATGAAACATCAAAGGTCTAACCCAGCAGTCATTGAAAACAATTTTTGATTTTATTTTCCTTTATGGGTCAGGAAGCAAAAGTAAAATTTATGGTCATAAATATTTTAATAAAATATCTAACAATTCTATAAAAAAATTTGGCAATAATCAATACTTACACATGAAACATAACATTTTATACACATCACATTTATCATCATACTTATTTATTACTTTACAATACCTTATTTAATCACAAACAAGAACACATTTTTGATAAATTCTAAACATAAAAGCAAGAACATTGTGTATACATGTATACATTACACCCTATTCCAGAGAAGAGAAAAGTTACCTGTGTTTTATTATAAAGTTCTGAAGCCTGTTTATTTCTGCCTGTTTCTTTTGTTTCATACTATGAAGGTACACAACTCCTGTGTCAAGGATCTGACCTAAAAACGTACATTATCATGTATTGTTTAACAACGTCAACAGTTATCCTAACTTATATTATCCATTATTACCCTTTGTTGACTTTTTAAATGGCTACAAAAGACTTTGACAGCAAAATTCAAGTTTAAATATTTTTCTAGAAACATTTCAACAATCCAAGTCCTTCTGTTGCATCACAAGACATTACTTTCAATCTAGAAAAAAATAAGAGGGTCACCATGATTGACCCTGGATTGCTCAACTGTCATACTTTGCTGGACAAATTGGCAAATTTTCTTGACTACTGTGACATGATTAATATAAATTTTGTAGAGGACAAAAAGGTGATGCTACATGCCAAATATCTAAGCTAAGTGGTTTAGGTGATGTTAAATGAAATTGACAGATGACAAATAACTGATGTCTGACACACTCCCATCACAAAAGCTTACCTCTGAGCACTTTGTTCTCAGGTGAGCTAAAATTAATTGTAAAATGTAACATTAAACAAAGACTGACCTGTATTAGAAATTACAGCAATTTTACAACCATTAGTGAATCCAGGATCTATAGCAAGAATAGTGAGACCTTTCAATGGGGCAGACAATAACAGATTCTTCAAATTGCTGGCAAATACTTCAATAGATGATTTTTCTGCTGCCTTTGTTAGATTTGACCTGGAACAGCGATTCAGACATAACAAAATGTTCTTTCTTACATCAAATTAAACATACAGTGTTTATACCGCCAAGATAAAATTCATTTTTATACAGAATGTATGATGCTGTAATATCAAGCTGAAGACACATTGATATGATAACTCTCAGTTATATTATACTGATGCACTGAAATTATAAGTCATACTGACACACTGGCAGGATCATCTGTAGTCATATTATACTGACACTATCAGTATTACCAACAAATTCATATTATGCTGACACACAGATATCATATCTCAACACATAAACATGATAACTTGTACAGTCATGTTGCACTTACACTGACATTACGATCATGTTACACTAACACTTTGACATGATTCCATGGTAACATCACAGTGAGATAATGCTGACACTGACCAGTCCAACACCTATCAATTATGCAATGAAGCTTCTAAAATAATTTATAACGATCCTTTTTATCACCTGACATAAGATTGAACGTAAAACCTTCAATATACACAATGGAAGTCTTCTACTATATTGTTGTAACAAATGGTTCAATAAGCACAAACATCATTTACTGGTAACAACAGTTACCTTACAAGCCTGACAATCTGTGGTTGCATGAGTCTCTGATAGGCATCCTCTATACTCTGATTGATCATCTTTCTGCTAGCATCATTCATGTTATAGGTAAGCCACTTCTGCCTACACAACTTCATCACTACTTCATCTAGAAATTGTGGAATTTCTACCTTCACACGCAATATTTTGTGATGTTCTCCACGATTTATTGCAAGCACCTGTAGGAACATTATTCTTTTAAAATAAAAAAAACACTATACCTAGTTTAGTATTATCATATTATCAAAAGACAACAGATAAATAATTTGGTTATGTTTAAAAAATGTTTCAAGTAAGTTGTAACATTTAATTACATGTATTCATATTAGTACATGTATATACATGTATTATTTTTAAAGTAACGAATTTATCTTTATCAGTAACATTTACATCATGACAAAAAAATCTTTTTGTATGATTTTGTATATTATTTTCACCAGATATCGATATGAGGTTTGAAGCCTGTCTATATCGGAACAACAAATCAATCCAATGTGACAAGTTAGCTGACAAGATTAACAATAGTCTGGTTAACATTTACCAAATCAGTTGACAATTACCTGATGCAGTTGACAATCAACTGCGTGATGAGACTGAAAAATTAGCTGACAAGATTAACAATAGCCCTTCAAGGTTAACATTTTTATTTTTGGTTTTACCTCACACCGACACAGTATAGGTCATGTGGCGACGTTCCAGCTTTACTTGTGGAGGAAGACCTCAGGTGCCCTTCTGTACATTATTTCAGGCACAACCGGCACCTGAGTAGAACCACAACATTTCGTAAGCTAGCTGGATATCTTCCTCACATGAAAGAATCCAAAGTCCCTGTCAAGATTCAAACCCACAGCAGTGAGGGGTAAGTGGTTTGAGGTCAACAACCTTAAGCACTCGGCCACCAACGCCCCAAGGTTAACAATTACTTGATGAGGTTAACAATTACTTGATGAGGTTAACAATTATCTGATGCAGTTCACAATTATCTGAGTGATGAGGTTGAAAAATGTTTGATGAGGTTAACATTTACCTGATGAGGTTATTAATTACAAAAGTGATGAGATTAGCAATAATATGACAAGATTAACAGTTACATGATGAGGTTAACAAATACCTGATGAGGTTGTATTCTATCAACGCTGAACCTATTATCAAAGTAGTTCTCGTATTTATGAGCAGGTTCTTGTTTCTCACCTGGTTTAGGTTGTGCTTTACTTTGTTTTACCTGGCTGGACTGTATCGTAATAGCTCTATGTGTACATCTAGAATTATATATGAATTTAATTTATAAAGATCCTAAATTTTTTAAATCTTCTTTGACTTGGTTAATTACACATCATAAGTGAATTAAAAATGGCTCATCATTAATGGTCAATGAATTTACCAATGTATCAAAACACGAGATTTTTTTTTTCTTTTACAGTTGTTCCATTAATTATAAAACATAAAATTATTATAAAGGGGGCAGGGGACATATTCGAAAGATGGCCCCGGTCAAATTTTTTAATAACTCAGACATGGTGTTTTGAAGGTACTGATAACTTCTGATATTTCTCTGTCATTGTAATTCTTTCTTGTTTGTGTGTAGGAAATGAGATATATTTTTGGGTTTTTACCCGAAACTAAGCATTTTGGTAGCTTTGTATGTATTTCTGACTCTCCGAATGGATGTGAAAAAGTTAAAAATCAAGCTTTGACAGTTGGCGCCAAACAAGTAAGAAATTTCAGATAAATTTTGTGAAAAATCTAAACGTATGACAGACACTTTATTTGTCATTTCTGAAAATGCCATAGCGTGCACTGCGTGTTACTGATATTTTTAAAGGAATCGGGCGGATTCTGGAGTATGCTGCACCTTCATGAAGATTGCCTATATTGGTATATTTTAGGTGTGATTTTGGCTGGGTGGGGGTAAATATAAATTGCTGTCAGTCATTTTTTGAAGGAGCAATGCATGCAAACTATTATTTTCTTCAATGTATGTCATATATCATTGAATAATGCTGTGCAACTGGTTATCTGCCTGTGAAACAGATTTTGAAATATTTGGAATTGTGTTTCTGGTCACACTGAAATACAAAATTTTTTATTTTTAGGTCCCCTGCCCCCAAAGGGTGTCATTACATTTCTCTGATTTTTTCCATGACAGCAGTATCTTTATGGATAATGTCAGCTATGATATGCATCACTCCATTCATTATCTCATCTACATTCTTCAGACCTGAAAATATTATAACACTGCTTGAAGATTGTATACACATATTGTTTAAGACCCACGATATCCAAGATGAAAAGTCTGGTTTAAACTAGTTCAAGTCTACATAAATCATATTTCTAGAAACATTAGAAAACTGAGCATTTGCGAGAAAGTGAAAAAAACTTATCTATTTTTTTTCCAGGTTTATAAAAGGCATGATTAACAGTTACTTCAAAGGAACATAAAATTTCACATACAGTGAAAGTTGAGAAAACCGGACGGCTTCCGGACCGAGGGTTTTGTCCGGTTTTCTCAATGTCCCCTTCCTTTAGCTGTTCAGGATCCTATATACTGAGCAATGGCTTACAAAGGATGCTGTATATTTGCATTTTCATAATTGTGTGTACATATATTGCTAAATAAAGGAATGATAAAAATACAATAAAATATGTTTTTAATTGTTTTTGTCCCATTATTGCATATAAATACAATAAAATTTTGGATTTAAACTAACAGCAGTTACCTCATAACAATAAAGTCTGATTACATCTGCATATGTTTACATTTGGGTAATGAATATTGATCTAACGAACATAGTTTACTTTTTTGTTTATAACAATGCCCCCATTGTAAATATTGCCGATAAATAAATATTGTCAGATAAAGATTTGTAAAGGTAAATGTAGGTCTCGTCTTTTATTAATTGAACTCTAACAATGATAGACAACTCTCGTCGAAACATTTTCGGCCATGGTATAGAACTTAGCGCCGATAAATGTCGTTTCTGTTGCGTTGTCATTTTCGAAACTGAATATAGAAAAAGCAACGCAGTATAAAAATACTCTATTGTTTATTCATACTGATTTTAACTTATCAATTCATCATGCATTTTGGCATTTATATGAAACGGTATACCTTACAATAAATCAAACTGAAAAGAGACATAATAAACAAATCAGGAAATCATTGTTCCGTTACCGCTCAGTTAGCATATTAGACACAACCAAATTGACAAGTACACAAGGTTATTCACACCTTTGTCGTCCTGTATTGTCAGGTTAATAGTCTATAAAATTGACTTTGTAATCCCCTATCAACCGTCCGATATTCGATTTTTACAGATTCCGGTATTGTCAATGTTTAATACAATAGTTTAAAGAAGGGAAAACTTGAGACTGAATTATTTGCCCGGTATTTAGAGAGTTCTGATTTTCTCAGCGTCTGGTTTTCTCGAATTTCACTGTATTAGCACTAAAAAGGAAAAACATGAGCAGCAACAGTTGTATTTTCCATTTTTAGAGGTTTCTAATGTTGTTCTGAATTACTAGATGTAGACATTACTATTCTTCCGAAATATGGGTTCAATATAGTATAAAATTCTCAACTTGGCTGTTGCTGTGACTCACTTTTTCCTAATATACCAAAATTTCACATGTAAATGAACACAGACATATTTACATTACTAGAAGGGCATATAAAAATTAAGTCACTATAATTAACAAGGACCAGGAATACCATTAATCAAACAAATAATATAATAATAATATAGTACTACAAACAAAAACTGCACCCTACACCTCAGGCTTGTCATACAAAACAAATCACCTTTTTCATTTTGTTTTATGAATTTCTGTGCTTCCATCATCATGCCTTCACCTTTCACAAATTTTAATGATAATGGTTCAAGTCCCAATGCCTTTGCACGCTCTGCCAGTGTGCCCTTGTTTCCAGGCTTAAACGGTGCAAACTGAAAAGCAAGCAAGTTTTAATAAAAAATTAAGATTAATACCACTTACATATCATTTCATATATATCTACGTTGTTTTTAAGTTCACATATTCGATTTTTTCATGATGTCACTTTTTATGATGAATAAATAGTTCTAGGCCAGTAAGGCAATACAGATAATGATTACATAACTTAATCATGTGATGTTCTTGTATATATATAATTTTTTATTGCAGAAACTAACATATGTTAAATGTTTCACCAGAAGTCAGATAGATTATAAATACGCACCAGACACTCGACTTCAGTCAGTGTTTGAGCATTACTGAGTGCATTGTCTAACTCCTTTGTCATTTTCTTCTGCTCACATATCACTGACTTGGCTGTCTTTACTTTAGATTCAACACATCTGACAAGTATATTGTTGAAAGATTAAAGTGACATTATGTCCATCCAAGGGTTTATATTGAGTGAAAAATTCCCTTCTATTCTATAATCTACTTAGCATGAACGATATATAACTCACATAGCCCAAGTAAGTATCTATAAATATCCATCGAAATGTATCTGTTACGTTCAAATTATAAAAAAGAGTGGGGCAGTCTTTTATATATTTTAGGCAGATTTATATTTTATCTTAATCAATTTCAAATATCAACTGTTGGTCACTCTGCATTTTAATGGTCAATCTTTTGAAATATAAAGTCAATTCAGCTCAACTTGACAATGAAAATATGAGCATAATGTCACTTTAAAGCAAACTTCTTAAAGTTGTTTCATAAATTTCTTTTTTTTCTTTCTTCTTTTTTATTATATATAATGAATCTGAAAATTCATGGAAGTACTATAATAAGTATATTAGGTGTTTACAGTAAACAGCAGATCAAAATGCAATCAAGGATTTTGGGAACATAACCCATACCCATGGAATTGGGAATTTCAGCGATATTTTGTAAAAAATTGGGAAAAAAATCATGACTGAAATTTTGCAGTGATTTAATGAATGCAAACAATCACTGTCTAGGATGACATCTTCAAACTGTACAGGGTTGTCATTAAGAGGCGGCAGGAGGCCAAAATGCCTGTCTCAAATGCATTATGGGCCGCCTCAAAATTAAGAAAACACTCTTTGTTATGCATGATAAAGACAGAAATGACCGCCTCAAGTTCAAAACAAACCTTCTGCAAAAAATGTTAATGACAACCCTGAAACATTTAAGCACTATTACAGTGAAGAAGTCCATATTTTCAAAGAATTTAGAATTGTTTATTCAATATTTTAATTTTTGTAACTTTCAATTGGGAATATTTTCCTGTGGATTGGGAAAATAATATACTATTTTCAATTGGGAATATGACCCAATAACGGCTATAAAATAAGCCAAAAAAAATCCCTGGCAATTGATATTGTAAAAAATGTTATGTCCTTTGTGATTTGCAAGAGATTACTTGAGACTTAAAATGTAATATGAGCCGCGTCACGACAAAACCAACGTAATGCGTTTGCAACCAGCATGAATCCAGACCAGTCTGCGCATCCCACCAACCCTATTACAAGTAGAGAAGCTGATAGCGAACAGCATGGATCCTGATCAGACTGCGCCAACGCGCAGGCTGGTCTGGATCCATGCTGGTCGCAAACCCATTATGTTGGTTTTGTCATGACGTGACTCAATTATATGTTTCTAGTATGACAAAATCTCTAGACAATGGAAGTGTTGCCGCCAAGTGATTAAGGAGTCTGCCTACAAACCCTAAAATTCATTTCAAGCCCTACAGTACTTGGCTCACAATCTTATGTCCTCATATGACACCAGTACTGGTTAGTTCCGTAAATTGAACATAACATTAGTTTCAAGTTCTCATTATATTCTAATTCAAGGTAAAATATGTATATTTATTAGGGATGGCAACGAGTAACCGGTTAACCGAGTACTCGATCGAACGTCCGAATATCGGTTAACAAAATTGATATTCGATTACTCGGAAAAAATGTATAATTTCTATTTTATAGTTTGGTGTATCCAATTAGTTCAGAAATTAGGAGATGTGCATATACCTTCATAAATACCTGTTAAATGCAATCACAACTTCCTTGCAGAGGTGCGAAAATGATACCATAAATTTAATGAGGCGATCGACAGTTTGACACGCGCACATTTGTCGCTTACGTCATCCGGCCTTTTATGATACACGTATTTAGTAACCTTTAATTGTGTAACACAGCGCAGTTTGTACCCAAATCTTGTTTTAAGGTAACATTTTTGAAAACAACAAAGGGCCGTATTGCTATTATGATATAATAATTAAAGTAGTATTTAGACCCGGTTAAATTTTTGTTGCCGCCGATCAGTCTATTTTATTACAAGAAGAAAAAGATGTTAAACATGTTTTAAACTTGATATTGCATTAATTAAAATGTTCTCAAATAAAATGTCGTTGATTTAATTTTGATTAATTTGTCTCCTTTGCAGTCCTATCTATAGTTACGAATTCTATGAATTTAAATAGAAAACGAAAGTAGCATGCGGACGGTGTTGATATTGTGTGATAAACTTTGAAGATCATTGGAAATCGTCCGAGTAACCGAGTACTCGATCGGAAAAATGACCGAGTACTCGAGTATTGATTTTGGTATTCGTTGCCATCCCTAATATTTATACTGATCTAAATTAAATCTCTAGATCTGTGACCTTCCAAAGTTGCAGATTACTGATATCTTAACTATTGTACATGGTAAATGAATATCAAAATGATATTGGATAAATTGTTTATAAAATTCTTGTAGTAACCTGCAATTTTAACCTAAATGATGGATATTTACCACCAAACAATTTGCATATTATAATAACAATCAATAAGTATAAGTTTTAAGTGCCCCAGATCCCTCATAGCACATAGCTACACAGTACATTGTATTTCCTTTATGGTGCATAATATACTATTGTAAAATTAGTTACCTGAGATCTTCAAGCATGGTACAGGAGTCTCGGAGCTTCTGTACCTCCATACCACCTGTCTGTTCCTTTCTATATCTAGCAATAAATGGAATAGTGCATCCCTCATCCAGTAATCTAACTACATTCTTTGCTGCCCATAATGCCACATCTAAATTAGCACTAATAACTTCATCAACTTTCCATGCCACGACACTCTCTTTATTTTTTACTGCTGGTTTACATTCAGTTTTTTCTTTTTTAACTGCTTTCTTTGGTGCATTTGGTTCTTTCTCTAGTTTTACTTCAAACTTCATTTTCTTGCTTTGGGAAATGCCATCTTCTTCATCCAAAGTGACCGACTCAGTATTTTTCTCTGTTTTAATAGCATTTGATTTATTAGCCTTCCTTTTATTGGAAGAGAGTTTTGTTGATTGCTGACTCATTTTTAGTTTTTACTTTAAATTCTTCATGAACTTTTCCTGAAAAGATCAAATGAGCTACTTTGAGTAAGAAAATTTATGATTAATTTACTACTAGGTCTAAATGCCTCAAGAAGGATGACTTGATGAGGCTGATTCTAAGAAACATATCTCAAAATTTGAGATGTAACATGTTAAACCATGTAATTATTTCAAAGGATTTCAGATTTCTTGACATTAAAGATTCATTTAACCCAAAGCTTTCTTGCAGTACCTAATATTAAATTTTGTACCATGTATACAGCTAAAACCACTTTAATTATTTAAGTCCTAAAAAAGTCTAATAAATTTATAGGAGCCGCAGGCCTTCACACCGAGAGACAGTTTACTGTTCCACAAACACCCATGAAATAACTGTTTTATTACCTGATACTTTGCAATCAAACTACAATATATATTGCAACATATAAATAACATTTTTACAACTGTTTTAATTGTTTACAACTGAATCCTTCAGACGAACCACTACCACTTTGTCAGAATTTGTATTCTGCAGGACCCACAGACTTAAGTTTTCAGCTAAAAATGTGATCTAAATGCTGTAAAAAATAAAACACAATTACGGGAATAAGGGAAAATTATTTAGGATGGTAAAAAACTTTTTAAAGTAAATATGGTCCGACAGCTTTACTTTCTTAAATAGGGTGAAAATAAATGAGAATTAAAAACATCTATTTGCAAGAAATTTGACAGTACATAAACTATCATTTGCCATCTGCAAAAGTATTTCAAAATTTCAAATTTATTCATTTATTTATCAGTCACTGATTAAGTACATTTTGAGACTATCCCCACAACATGGGCATGTAAAATTTGTTACTGACAAAAACACTTAATTACTATTTTTAATTATATTCAATGACTTTATGCTTTTATAATATAGGTAAATGTTTGTTAGAAATGATAAGAATATTATTCATGCACCAAACCAAGTTAATATTTTATTGCTCTACCTGCTGCTGATCAATATGCCTATCTTTATTTTATTTGTTTGTTTGTTTTCAGGGATTTTTTTTGGCTTATTTTATAGCCGTTATTGGGTCATATTCCCAATTGAAAATAGTATATTATTTTCCCAATCACCAGGAAAATATTCCCAATTGAAAATTACAAAACGAAAATATTGAATAAAGAATTCTAAAGTCTTTGAAAATAAGGGCTTCTTCACTGTAAGAATGCTTAAATGTTTGAAGATGCCATCCTAGACAGTGATTGTTTGCATTCATTTAATCACTGCAAAATTTCAGTCATGCATCTTTTCCCAATATTAAACAAAACATCGCTGAAATTCCCAATTCCATGGGTATGGATCATGTTCCCAAAATCCTGAAAAAAATCCCTGGTTTTGTTTGTTTATTTATTTATTTTTGCATGGGCTTGAAAAATGCTGTGAAGTGTTAAATTCTAGAGGATTAGTTCCGAATAATACAAGAAAAACTCAAATAGCAATTCAAAAATCGTGAAACAAGATAAGCTATGGATGGATTAGTCCTGTCAGAATAATTATACAGTTTCACTGTAGATAGTTTTTTTTACAACGAGTCAGCTGAAGTGTATCAGATTTCAATGTACAGTTTCATTTATAAACCTGTTGCTGGGAGTATGAAATATGTATACATGTTTAAAGGTCAAATCGTTTAAGCTAGCAAATATGCACGTTTTGACAGAGATTTTACATCAGTTAGGAGAGACACACTGATAGTGTGTAGCGGTTATTTTTTTATTGGGGAGAGAATTTTGTTGTTTTGAAGAGAATTTTGTTGTTTCGAAGTCAGTTTTGATGGTTTGTTGAAGTGGTTGAATATAATTGTGGTGATCTTAATTGATCAGGGTTTATTGGTTGTAATTAGTTGTTTTGGTTGTTGAGTTATATCTATTTGTGAAGATATAATTGGTTGATATTGGTTGAATGTTTAGTATTGTCAAGATTATATTAGTTGCTGCTTTGTTTTGAGGATATATGTAAATATTGGGTGCTTTAGTTTGCTTTTCTGATGCTGATTAGATTTTGTGAAGTTAATATTGTTGGATGAATGTTTGTGGTTTATACGGTATCTTAGAGTTGTAAAAATAGTCATTTCGGTGTTCTTCATTTTGTGGTGATTTTATTGTTTTGTTTGATCATAAGTTGTTTAGAGCTTGGGCTCGCCAGGTGTCTAGTATTGTTTCGTATAAAAGACGTATACGTGAAAAGATATTTCGTATAAGTGGCTGATAAATGATGTGTGTTTGTTTTGGGTGTAAATAATGATCAGAGTTCTTTGTTTTGGGTGTAAATAATAGTCGGAGTTTGTTGTTTAAATGTATATATTGATTTGAGATAGAAAAAGATAAAAATACCTAAAAAAAAATAGTGTTAACTAAACAATTACATGCTAGTTTTCCAACTGAGAATATTTCAATTTATGTCAGGCGGTGCTGCCCAGCCCCCATATCTCAGAAATTGGTTCTAGTATTTATTGCTAAATCTTTCCTAAGATTAAATAACATCAAGGCAGACATTTCTCCTGACAATTTGGGGGCTCGTCCGGGATATTATCTTTAAGTTGGAATTTTTCCTGGCAAAATATTGTTTGTTAAACTTTGATAAAAATTTTGTTAAACCTTAAATCATTTACGATCTGTTGGTAAAATGTAGCAGTGTAAAATGCTGTTAGGCGAAAATCGATAAATCTGTTGTAGTGTTATACAAGTAAACTCTCTGTGCAATAGAGTTTAAGTAGAGAGTTATATGTATAGAAGCGGTGACGGGCTGTGTTTAAAAGTTTATTTATACTAAAGAAGTTATTGCATTTTAGCAGGAGAGCACCCTTTGTTGAATACTGTTTATACGGTGATAGAATTAAGTGGTTTTTGGGAGACATTTGTTTCGATAGTTTGAATCATTGTGTTAATAAGTTTATATCGATGATAAAGATATAACTTATAATTTGTTGAGGTTATAAACATCAGTAGTTGATTAAAGTTTATAACCGGTGTTCAGTGGGTGATTATTCATAAAAGTGTATGTAATAGTTGAATAGATAGTTTTTGCTGCCGGTGCTCAGTTGGTTGTTTTCTTAAAGTTTACATAGTTGTTAAACACTACAGGAAGATTATTATAAGTTCCCTGGTTGTTACTGTTAATACAAGTTCATTGCCGGTGCCCGGTAGGTGCCATGCTATATAGAGATTATATTTGGAAAAACAATTGTCGGTGCTATACAGGGTACACCATTTTGTTGAGTAATAAGCATTTACTTAACAGGTTTTGTAAAAGTTGATTATTTTATTGAATAGTAATCCACTGTTAACCAAGTATGGATTATGAGAAATGGGTATCATTGGGAGAGAGGCTTGGGTTGAAGGACGGGGATTTACGTGATTATGTTCAAAAGAAAGAATCAGAATATCTTGATAGAGAAGAGAGAAATATTAGACATGAAGAAGATAAACGGCGATTTGAGGCTGAGCGTAAAGCAAAAGAAGCTGAACGTGAAACCGAACGTCTAGAAAAAGAAGCCGAACGTGAGGAAAAGAAACGTTTATTTCAAGCTGAAGTAGAGATGAAAATGAAAGAGCAAGAAATAGAATTAATGAAGTTAAAAATCGAGGCTGGGGATCGCCTTGATACCCCGTCTAGCACCGGTTTGAGGCCAAGATTGCCTAAATTTGAAGAGTCAAAAGATGACATAGATGCTTATATAGAGCGTTTTGAAAGGTTCTCCATTAGTCAAGGATGGAAAGAAGATACATGGGCAATAAACTTAAGTTCTTTATTAACGGGGAAAGGTCTTGAAGTTTACACTAGTATGCCTCCTGAGCAAGCAATCAAGAATTAAAAACAGCAGTTTTGAAAAGATACCAATTAACAGAAGACGGTTTCAGAAATAAATTTAGAGAGAGTAAGCCGGAACAAGGGGAGACCGTAAACTAATTTATGGCTCGCTTAGATAGGTACTTTAGTAGATGGACAGAAATGGCCGATGCTGCGGATACAGTAGATAAATTGAAAGATCTTATTATTAGAGAGCAATTTGTCAAAGTTTGTTCAACGGAGCTAGCTCTTTTTTTAAGGAACGAAAGCCAAAGGATCGTAGAGATGTCATCTCTTTGGCTGAACAATACTTAGAGGCTCATGGCGGTACAATTACAAATAGTAAAAGCTCAAAAGTTGCCAGCTTTTCAAATAAATCACCAATACGCCTTAATCAAGGTAATCTATCGAAACCAATACAGCACTATCACAGAGAAAACAGAAAAATAACATGCTTCATATGTAATAGAGAGGGTCATGTGGCCAGAGATTGTCGAGATCAGACTAAGAAAAGATATGGGGCTGCTGCAATATCATATGGAGAGCAAAATAGAAATTACTTTAAAACAAATAGGGATTCTTCACCAAGGAACTGGCGTAGTAGGCCTGGAGAAAATAGACGTGATGGTAGATCAGATGATAAGAAAGTATCGGGGTTATGTATGTCAATTTCTCCGACAAGTTCTTACGATGGCTGTATTGAAGAGGGGAAACTTAAATTAGCAAATGGTAATTCTGTGCCTGTCATTACAAGTAGCTGTACAATTGAATCATTAGAAGGTGAACATCAACTGGATCTGAAACTAGGATATGTTGGTAATCAAGAGGTGAAAGTTCTTAGAGACACTGGTTGCGAGTTAGCAGTAGTTAGAAAGAAGTTAGTGGAAGAAGATCAAATGCTGAATAAAAATTGTGTCATGATAGCAATAGATGGTCGGGCCAGGTTGGTACCTATGGCAAAAATAGACATTGATACACCTTATTATAAGGGTAAAATAGAAGCTATGGTTTTAGAGTCAGCAATTTGTGACTTAGTCTTGGGCAATATTCAGGGTGTACTTGATAAGCCAAATGAGAAGTGGGTTAGCCAAGAAGTAACAAATATAGCTGCTGTTGTTACTAGAGCACAGGCAGAAAAAGAGAAGAAAGCAATGAAACCTCTTAAAGTTCCAAAGGTCGAAGATAACGAAATTACGGTAGATGT